TTATAATAATTAAATTATTTTAAAAATCTATTATATAGATTTAGAGTTAAAGAACTTATATTTATAATATTTTAATTTACTTATTATTATTATTCTTATTACTATTATTATTACTATCTTTATTTATAATATCTTTAATAGCTAAAGTAAATAGATTATTAATTAAAATATACTATTACTAATTCTAAGGAATTATAATAATTATAATATCTTCTTTATTATTATATAATAATTAAAATAAAGTAATTAGCTAAATAAGAGTTATTAATATATAATAATTAGATAATTTATATTAGATCTAATTTAGAATAAATTAGGATTAAACTAATTAGAGTATTATTTTATATAACAGCTAGGTAACTTATACTGGACCTAGTCTAGGGTAAGTTAGAGTTAAACTAATTAGAGTATTATTCTGAGTAGTACGATCAGGTTATTATAGGCTGTATAATATAAGTTACTATTAATATATAAGTATTATAGAACTAGTAATAATAGATATATAGATAATATTACTAGGGAATTATAACCTTATTAATAACTATCTAAAAGAGTATTCTAGCTAATAAAATAAATATATATATATACTGGAGTTATTACTTACTTATTACTTATCTATTACTCTGCCCGAGTAATAAATCACGGTTTATTAGTTATAGCCTCTATAAGGCTCCACGCTATATATAACTTTCATACGGCCTGACAGAGGCCTTTGTTCGTAACATTTTAAATAGTATAATTAGATTATTATAAACTATATAATATAAATTATTATTAATATATAAGTATTATAGAACTAATAATAATAAATATATAGATAATTATATTAATAACTATCTAAAAAGATATTCTAACTAATAAAATAAATATATATATATACTAGATAGTTTATAAGAGCTTATTAATAATCCAGAGTAAGTTAAATAGAGGATTATAAGGGATTACTAATAATCTAGAGTAATCTAATAATTATTAGTTAAAAGTATAGATATACTATATAATATTAAGTATATAGTCTTTATTTATAATAAAAAGGATTTAGTATAAAATTAACTTATATTTCCTATTAGAAAAATAATTACTATATATAAAAGAAATAATCTAAGATTAAGTTATATATAAACTAAATTTCTATAATTAGTTTTTATTAATTTTTAATTTATATTTAATTTTTAATTCTATTCTTTTTATTTATATAAACTAGAGTAAAATAATAGCTTTTTTAAAAGATTTATAAAAAGCTTATTAAATATATACTTTAGCTATAAATTTAAAAGAAAGATATTTATTTATAATTAATTATAATATTTTTTTTAATAAATAAATAATTAGCTAATTAAATAAGTAAATAAATAAACTATAGAATAAGCTTTAAATAAAATATATATTAAGCTAAACTTAAAAAAAAAGTTAGAAATATTTTATATAAAGAGAAAGAAAATATAGATAAATATTAATATCTTTAATTAGAGTAAAACAGTTAGGTAACTTATACTAAATAGAGATCTAGAGTAGGTTAGAATTAAACTAATCAGAGTATTATTCTAAGTAGTATAATTAAGTTATTATAGGCTATATAATATAAGTTACTATTAAAATATAAGTATTATAGAACTAGTAATAATAGATATATAGATAATTATATTAATAACTGGTTAAAAGAGTTTCTATCTAAGAAGTGAAAATTATATATATATATAGAGCTCTTGGAGCGTATAGAGCGCGAGTGCTCTATATGATCGTTATAAACGTTAGGAGCGCTGTGGAGTATAGTGCTTCAGTGCGCTCTAACTGTATCTATGGCAGGTCTGTACGTAATATTATATAGCCCATTAGGGAGGCCTTTGTTCGTAATATAGAGCTAGATAAAAATTACTTTTATTCTCTTACTTTATTAATAAATATTTTCTTAAGAGATATATAATTTTAATAGATTTAATTAGCTTTATTAAATAAATTTAAAACTTAGAGTTATTATCTCTAATACTTTGATAAAATAAAGAAATAATTATTTAGTATTATATCTAGGCGAAATAAAACTAATATTATATTCTTTTTCTAAGATATATCTATATAAGTATCTAATAATAGTATAAGAATATCGAGTTTAAGATTAGAGCTAATACTATAATTTATATTTATAAGATCTATTTATTAAAGACCAGAGTAGACTTATCTATATAGTTTAACTTGCTAAAGAAGCTTACTACCTCGATATTGATATTATATATAAAGACCCAAATGAAGCACTATAGTAACAGCTGAAAGCAACATGCTGGATAAAGCTAACCCTAACCCTCTTTCTTAATACCTGTCACAGTCTCAACATGTTTCTTTTCTAAAAATGCCCACCGCACAAACAAGCCAGAAATCAGGGCACATACGGCAAAGCCAGTGTACATCTTGAACATGTTGCTAATGCTCGAAGAAAATGCCTGCTTCACAGCTGAAACTTGTGCGCGATCAGCCAGTTGGCTGGCAATATGCACATTGGCAGCGGCCTCCTTCCCTGATAGACGTCCAAGGATGTCTGCTGGCAAGCCTGCTTGGCTCAGATAATCGTGCTGCTGCTGCATTGATCCATTAAAAACTACACCACCAACCACAATGGAGACAGCCAGGGACACGGAGCGTATAAATGTAAAGGTGGAGATGGCGGAGGCAACGTCTTGCTGGGACACGGACGTCTGAATGGAAATGATGGGAGGCTCAATGAGGAGGCCGCTGCCGAGTCCAAACAAGATCTGACAGCCAATAATCTGGGCGATCGGAGAATTCATATCGAAGGAAATAAAGGAACCTGTACCTGCACAAAGGAAAATTGAGCCGATCCAGATTAATTCCAAGTATCGACCGGTTAACTTGATTGTGATTCCGGAGATGAGACCGCCCAGTGAGGTGGTCAGAAGCGTTGGGAGGAGAAGAACTCCAGACCTTAATGGCGTGGCTTGTAAGGCTGACTGAAAGAAAAGCGGCAGAAAGTAATCTGCGGCTATCAAGCACTTAAGAAATGGAAATTTTTCATTATTAGTGACGAAATGACAAGGTAGAGAAAAAAGCAAGGACTGCTTTTGTGCATGTACGTACCATGCCGTGAGAAAAGCCAAGGCAACAGCAAGCGACGTTGCTGCGGTTCTTGAACAGCCGCAGCGGTATAATGGGAAACTTGGCTAGTCGATACTCACTGTAGATAAAAGCAAAAAAAAGGGCTCCGCCAATGACGAACATAGCGATGACCATGGGCGAGTTCCAGGATGAAATAGGGCCAAAGTTGAGTGTAACCAGGATGAGCACTGCGAACCCAAGGAAGGTAATCATCCCGTACCAGTCGATTGCCCTGAGCCCATCTGACCATGATGTGTTGTCGTGTTTAGTATCGAAGAAAAACAAGAGAATCAGGAAGGCCAAGCCGGCGATTGGAAGGTTTATCCAGAAACAGTAGCGCCATGAAATTAAACTTGTAAACAAGCCGCCAATGATGGGGCCGATTGCACCAGCGGCGGCCCAGACACACTCACACAGGCCCATAAAGAAGCTGCGTTGACGCATGCTGAAGAGATCGCTGATACTTATGTGTACAAGAAGGATTATAGCTCCGCCACCCAATCCTTGGATTGATCTGCCGGTAATTAGAGTGGGCATGGTGCGAGCCGTTGCGCAGATGATGGAGCTGACAAAGAAGATGGCCACAGCGACGAGAAGAATCACTTTGCGCCCAGTGATGTCGGATACTTTTGCCCAGGTTGGGCCACTGGCGGCGTCAGCCAGCAGATAAGCACCTCCAATCCAGACATAGCCACTTGCCGACTTCAAATCGTCGGCAATGACTGATGCGGAGGTGGCAACGATGGTGGCGTCGAGAGCCGCAACGAAGAGTGAAAGCTGAAGCTAATTGAGCGCCGCAATTCGCAGTCGGCAATGGGCCAGGCTACTTACAAGCAGCGCAAGCAATAGGACAGTGGTGCGCCATTTGCTTCGAGACTTCACAGAGCCTTCTATGTCCGAAGATGATTCCATAGCTAAGGCCAGGGCCTTGGTCGGCTGTGGTGAGGATTGATCATCGGACGCAGAGCAAATCTCGGGCTTGACAACTTCACCATTAAGTTCCGGGGCCACTGGCTGGCTCATGGCGGCTGTATCAGCTCTATATTGCAATGTCCTCCACTAAGATGTGAAGCCGAAGAAGGAGAACTGTAGGGCTAGGTACAAGAGGCAAATTGACGAAGATTGTTTTGCGTCCATTTTTCTTCATCTTCTTTCCAAAGCGAATGAGTGGTCTGAAGGCTAACTCAAGACAGCCAACTAATTCAAGACAGAGTGAAGGGAATTCCGTTGAAGCTTGAGCAGGGTGGAGCCAGCTAAGTTTATCTACGAGGGAGCCAATTATCTGTTTTCCCCGCCAGAACTATCCCTGGAACCAGGTTCAACACCTCCACACAACGCAACCAAGTTGGTTTTATTTACGAAGGAGCCAATTGTTTTTTTTCATCCGCTAGGGCCATCCCAGTCGCGACCCTCTCTCTCTACTCACCCTCGGACGTTCCAACCAGATCACGGATGGTGGGTAGGGTCCAGAACCTCTCAGAATCACGAAACAAGCCAGATTCTCTCTTGTTCGCCGCGTATAAAATTACGGCATTGAGTGGGAATATATACAGAGCAAGAATTACTGTATTATTATTGTTTTTTATTAGAAAAGCCCAGACTTCGATTGATTCTAAAAAGCTATCGAGTTATAAGACATGGTTCGATTTCGAAGTTGGTGTCTATTGCCAGTACCCTTCCCGGCCGTCGATCTCTGTTTTATTGAGACATCTGGGTGAATAATGGTCTTCGGTGTTACCATCAGGCCACATGGCGACGAAGCAAATACGATCCGATCCACACCTCCCGCAATCCTTCCATTCAGGCCATTTAAGGACACCCATCAGGTTTCGAACAATATCCCGGGCTTTATCGACAGAGGTACCCACTTCTTTGGATATCTCGGCTGTAACAACACGCCGGACGGCGAATAGGGACTGGCATATGTGCGAAGTGACTGTTTGTAAAGCAACATAAATAAGGTGCTCTGGCCAAATGCTAGTCGCACTAGGAGCAGGGCCGAGAAAATGAGTAGTGCATTTGTTCGCCGCAACAGCCATGTTTGGATCCGGGGTAGAATAATCGATGTATATATCGAGCAAATCTTGAACTTCGAGGCTTAGCTCGGCTAGGCTTGACCTTTCAGCCATGAACTGCAGGCGGTCAGAGTATCTCGTCACGATCATATCCGTTATACCCTGCCAGTCCACGCTGGACGTATGTGACTGATTTGAAAGGATATCACGTAAATCAGATTTGACGGAATTCAGCTCCTGCCAGCTTGGATAAACAAGTCTCGGCTGATCAGCAAACGCAGGAATCGGGTTGCTCAAATTGATGGGATAGAAAAAGGCGGAAAGCATGCGCGAGTAATCAAGTGTGACCCGAGAAGCCGTGATATCCCAATAGCGCTGCGAAACTGCTCGCAAGTACTCTAGCTCCCTTAGGCTAGAATCATAGACAGGCGTTTTTGGTCGTTGGTTAGCTGAAATGAGCTCCATGCCGTCTGAAAAGTCACACTTGATAATCTCGAACCCTGCTTCCATGCGGACTATGCCGTCAATCTGCCATTCCCGGGCCAATTTGCAGAGTTCGAAAGCCCGTCTATGCTCATCCCAACCTAGACCGACTGACCGGTTTCGCAGTAGTAAGTCCTGCGTATCCAATGTTCCCATTTCCGTTTTAGCGGCAGCCATGCCGTCAATGTAGAGTAGGCGTTGAGGTCGCGTGGTGCGATAAATATGTAGGTATCCAGGGTCATGGCCCTTGGTGTTCGCATTTTGCGGCCCACCTGTCATCACAAACTGGCTGGGTTGACCGTCGGATTGTTCAGTTCTTGATAGCTGATAGTTTCGAGAGCCGATTCTGTCCATGTCGGCAAACATCTCAGCATGTTCTATTTCGAATGCGAGCCATTCCATGCCTCTGATAACTCCAGCCTTGTGAGTTCCATGGTACAAGTTGACGCCCTTGGGAATCGTCGCCGGAAAAAACGACATGCCGTTATGCTCAATGGAGGACCCCCATTGGCGCATTGCTGCATGGATAGCATTGAAGATCTTGAAGCTATTTCGCTGCACAGCCTCGTAGGAGGGTTCTTGAAATGTCCAGCTGGCGCGCGTAAAGAACACAAAGTAATAGAGAACAGCGTAGCTCACACTTGATAAGCCCATAAGAGCCATGATGTTAAATTTGCAATGGTGTTAATCCTACGGTGTCCGAAAGCAAATTGAAGGAAACGAGGACAACAACGGGCAAAATACCAAATTAGAAAATGGCTTACAGAGCAGTTAATATATATTTTTCTATAAACTCGGATTTACGTAAATACGAATGTGCGCCTCAACGGGAGATCTCTCGCTCTTTCGGTCCTCAAGCGAGGTCCACTTATTATACTCATACTCATACCTTGCTTATAGGTATTGAGTGATAATATAGTTGTAGGTTTGCCCAAGATTGGGCCGGTGATTTTAATGCCAGGTCAGATCGTCCTCGTAGGGTTGCGGATTCCTACATTGCGGTTTCGAAGCCTGTGCCTAGTAATCCTTGCCCCCAGCAGCCGTCAAAGGCCTTTACAGGAGATAGAGTGAATGTAGGGTCGTGCTTGACGGACGCTTCCATCATGATCCTAAGGGATGAAAGAAGCCCCAATAAATTGGCACATGAATTGGTACCCTCAAGCAGGAAGCCTACCGCTTCCAGCCCATCCATTACAACCCATTCATGACCCTTCGATCTATGCTATTCAGGTCACTTAATCCTGAAATGTAGTCCTTTGTACAGCAAAGCCACTTGCCTAATGCATTATGTTTCTTTGAAGTACCAGATTTAAGAATTCCGTTTCTACCTACTAAAGCCGGACAATTTATTCCTTAGTTCCCCATACCTCATGGAGGAATTCTTCTATTGTTTTTGGTTTAATAACAGAATCGCCTAGCAGCTTCACCAAGTCTACGCAACCCTCTCTCTTGACGATATCATAAGCACCTAATGCAATTGCTGCATCTAGATCGCAAAGCAAGGCCAGCAGTTCAGTCTCTCCCCCTGGAAAACCACTAACAATATCATTATTACTAGGGAGTAGCGGAACAGAATGGTTCAAGTAGGCCTCGATTGGGTAAACCACTGTTTTTATAGTCTCAGGGTACTTAACCTGCTCGGCTAACTTGACCAAGTCAGCTGTAGATAGCTGCGAACCAGCAATGGCCAGTGATTTTGGCCATGTCGGCAGATCAACAGCAGCGGCAACGTATCTTGCTACATCTGTGGCCAAAGTTGTAGCCATGATGGCTTGCCCATCCCCTGGGATGTATGCCATGTTGTGGTGCAGATCAATGATGGAGTAGGTTGGTTTCAAAACACTCTCGACTCTAGGCATCCCATAGTAGTCCATGAACATCCCACACATGAAGTATGTGTATTCAAGTCTTGTTTGCTCGACTGCACGACGGGCATTAACATGAAATTCCTTGCTCGGATACGGCAACACTGTATTTGGCAAATCATAATCGACATTGAATTCGGAAGGGGCAAATCGCCGGACGCAATTGGTAGCGGCTGCCGCACGAATCAGTCGTACTTGAGCGTCCGATGCCTCCCGAACATCGACTGACAGGGCCGATATAACCGTTTGTATGGATTTGCTCTCAAGCATCAACTTAAGAGCATCTTCGTCGGAGTAGTCCGCCACAAGAGTCGGGGAGTAAAGGCTGCCATCGGGGCCCAAGACCTGTTCAGTTGACGAAGCCTGTAGAAAAGTTCCATTGTAAGTCTTTGAACTTTCTTGACATTCACTGACTTAGTAGACCAACCTTTCTTGATACAGAGTAGACCCAATGTTTCCCCGTGGAACGCAGAGCGTTCACAATTAGCTTTCCAATATCCCCCGTTCCTCCGGCCACGGCGATTATACCCATGTTGCCTCAATCATAGAAGATATTACGTACTTGAGTATAGTGGTTGTGGTTTTTCTCTCTTTCGCATTTTTAAAACTTTAGCCAACATTATACTATCTATACCAACTGACTTGATAATAGGGTACGGACAGACCACTCGTCCCCGCAACCCCGCAACCCCATAACCACTAGCCGGATCATTATGTTGTGCTAGTTTCTCCGGTGACATTGCGTAATTGCCGGTCAAGACAGGGCTGGATTAAATTATGGTTGGTCTGACAAAAGGACCATTAAATCTTGCCCGGGAACCGGACCGGCGAGTATGATGCATGAACTTTATTCCCCTCTTCCGGGTGGCCGTGCCGTCCGATCGCCATATCCGCTGGGGGCAAGGGCAAGATACAAAGCGTCAGCTAACTGCATCGTAGCCATGGCCAACAAGTGTAAATCATTACTCCTTGTCTAGCCATCCTGACTGAGAAGACTACCATACCGACACCCACAGATCAAGGCAACATGACAACCGATAAGCAACTGACAGTTGTCATCGCAGGGGCAGGCTTCTGTGGCCTGACCGCTGCAATCGAATGCAAGCTAAAGGGCTTCATTCCCATCTTGGTTGAGTCTTACCCTACCAGTCGGACCCAAGGAGATGTCCTCGACTTTATGCATAATGCCGGTCGCCACATGCTTGCCTGGGACAACGGTTCTGTTGGCAAGAAGCTCTTGGAAACTGGTGTTCACACGGCAAAGACGCTCGACTATTACTCTGCCAAGGGTGAGCTACTCTATGAAGAGCCGTGGACCTTCCACGATTCACATGCCCACACGCAGTTTGCCGGACACCGTGGCAAGCAGCATCAGATCCTGGTCGATTACGCCGAAAAGCTTGGCGTCGACATGCGGTTCGGCCCACAATATTCTGTGGTCGAATACATAGACTCTGACTCTGAGACTGGCGTTTTGACCAAGGGTGGCGAGAAGATTCTTGGCAGCCTGGTTCTTGCCTGCGATGGACCTCGCTCTCTGGCCCGTTCCCAGGTTCTGGGCCTGCCCGACCATAAAGTGAACAGTGGCTACGCCATTTACAGAGCCTACTACGACATTACAGAGGAGCTGCGCAACAACAAATTGATTTCTCAACTGTGCAACCCTGATGAAGACCAAGCTGCGATGTTCATGGGCAAGGATATGCACGCTTTTGTCTACACTTGGGGCAAGGCCACGTAGGTTACCAACCCTGTGAGAAATTAGGCTAATGAGCACAATTAACGAAAAGAAATAGGCAACTAGCTTGGGTTTTGACACATAAGGTAAGGTGTTCTGATTCCCATTAACCAAATGACTCGCAATAGCTCACAGTACGATGCAGGACGAACACGATATTGGGGAGTCATGGTCCTTCCCTGGAAAGGTAGAAGATGCACTCGCCGATCTCGAACGGGGTGGTTTCTCCGATTTCCTAAAAGAAGTCGTGAGAAACACTCCTCGTGACCGCCTGGTTGACTACAAACTCGTTTGGAGAGACCCAATCCCTACCTGGCTCTCTTCAACAAAGAGGATTGCAGTGATGGGGGATGCAGCTCATTGTCATCTACCAACATCTGCGCAAGGAGCATGCATGGCGGTTGAGGATGCCGTCACCGTGGTAAGGGACTCTCCTCCAGCCCTAACAAAAGTGAAATAACATCGCTCATGATACCCCTTTGAATACAGGCCAGATGCTTGGAGCTAGCTAGAGGCGAAGTTGAGCTTGCACTTCAGGTATTTGAGCGCCTTCGTTACAATAGGTCCCATGTCATTCATATGTCGTCACTGTCAAATCGCGACAGAGCTCATTTGGTTGAGTGGACCCCAGAAAAGGCCAAAGAGCATTATGATAGCATGACCATCCCTCACGATGACTGGATCATTGAGTTCGATTGCAAGGCCGATGCGGATGAGCACTTTGAACGCCTGGCTTCCGAAGTGAAAAGCGGCAAGACTGGCACGATACAGCAACTGAGCGTGCCAGCTGGAGGTTCATTTGAAGACATCCCTGATCATATTAAGATTGATCAGCCTGCAGTGGCAATTGCCTCAACAATTTCAAACGAGCCAGTCAGGTCGTAGTTGATATTTGATCGTTACGTAATCAATCCTGACACTCTCGCTTAAATACATTGACTTGATTAAGACAAGATTCTCGGAGTGGAAACGCAAAAAGTTGAGCTCTGCAAACCCAGTTTTAGCAAAAGGTTACAAATAGTAGTGAAGGAAATTTACATAAGTAGATTGCTATCCTGTTACTAAATCTAATTTGTCAAACCTCGCTAACGTCGTAGGTAATCCTAAGTAATGAGCACATAACACACAAGACTCAGTCCATACATCCTTCACTATAAAGTAGTATCGGGAAATTCTTAAACACTGCGCAATGGTAAGTCACATGTATTATTATGAAACCATCTCAGAATAAAAATCAAAGTAAAAAAAAAAGCGATCTATTAAAGGCGCTTAATATATATGGAGACTTCCGAACATAAAGGCATTAAGAAACGCTGATCGAAGATACCTTTCCCGCTTTGTTTGCCCCGTCCTCCTCGGCAACCACAACATTTTCGATACCCTCAACGATTTGGTCCATCACTCCATCGTAAACTTTATTCCCATAGACGAACCAAGCCCCCATGGGCAGAACGATACATGTGCCAAGTATTAGAGACGCATACTAGAGAAGTATTAACAGGTGGCTTCTAGTGTTTAGGCGATGAAGACAAAACTCACATTCATGGTCTCAGCACTCGTGGGGATAGTTGTAGGAAAGCATAAGAAAATGACGAGATAGGTACACCACGCCAACGCAAAATAATTGATGGGTCTGCTCCATGTTCCCAATGTGAAGGGTCCTCTTGGCATGGGGCAGTGCTTGAAACCCCATATGCAGTACAAGGCGATCGGCATCATGTAAGATACATAGACGACAACAGTGACTCCTGACGACAGACCATAGAATGCCGTAGAGTTTCCAATATAGATGAGTGAAAGAAGACAGACGACAATGCAAGAACCAATCGTGGCGTTGAGAGGAACTTGAGCTTTCGAGTTCATCCTGCCAAATGCTTCGGGAAGCCCACCCTCAAGTGAAAATGACCAAGCGATGCGGGCCGTTGCTGCCATACAACTTGGACCAGATGCGACGATATTCATTATCAAAGTAGACATTGCTATGCCAACTGTTGCAGCCGCATTGCCCCCGGATGTGTTGTAGATCAGTTGGTTCAACGGGCTCAACACACCCACGGGGCCAGTTACGACTTCTTCAATGTCGGTTATGCAGAACATGAGAGCAATCACCCAAGGGAAAGTCAGAACTCCAGTCATACCGACCGCGCCAATCACTATTCAGAATTGTCAGGTCCATTCACGTTTATCCTCTTTCGTAGAGTGTAACTTCTCTTACTTGTGCGTGGGATATCTCTGGGAGCTTGTTTCATCTCCTCGGCCATGTGGCATGCAGAGTCCCAACCTACCATGCTGAGCGCGCTACTCATTAAGCCAATTGACCAAGCAACCTTTATGAGTCGAACAAGATATCAATAAGTATTCGCTTGGTTCCGGTATTCAAGGGATGAACTCACACCGGGAGACCAACCACTGAGGTTAGTCGTATCAGTGAAAACTTTTTCTGCGGACTGCTTGACTGGTGTCTTGACGAGGAGATACGTAATAGTAATTATGTATCCTGAGCAATGAAGAAGCATGCCGACATAGTTGGCATAGTGTAGCAGCTTCGTTGGGGAGAGGCTCATGACCGTGTACAAAATTGATAGTACAATCACAATCTGGATAATCATTAGAGGATCATGGAGCATATATACCAGCCGTCTCAGACTCACCAGAGAGGTATGCCACCTTTGGTAAGTGTAATCCTCAAGAAACAATATAATGAGTGACTGAATGGACATGGCGTTGGCAAAATTTCCAGCCAAGGTAGCCAAAAGCCAGCCCCAAAGAGTAACCCAGCCGGATAACCAAGACAGGATTCGCCTATACTTTGGGGCCGAGAGTGCCGCAACGTAGTGGTATTGTCCACCAGCGGTAGGAACCATGCTTGAAAACTCTGCGAGGGCCATGGCAATGGAGAAAGTACCACAAGCTGATGTTAAAAAGCCCCATACCATGCTCGAGCTTCCACCAGAGCTCAGAGCCTGGGCCATCGTGGACGTGACAGCTTCCCACGTGGTGCTGGTCAAGCATGCCATGAATGCGAGTGACCAAAGATTAAATGACTGCTTCATTTGAGGGCGAAATTCTTGTGCCTGCTCATGACCGGTCATTTTGCACTGTCTCAACTTTTCGAAAAGGTGGTTTCAAGGCTCAAGGCTAATTGACGGGCTCGGTTGGGTAAGAATCGTAACGAAGCATTGAAAAAATAGAACATCTCTCTTGTGGTTGGCCTCATACTAATACTCGCCAGCGAACTACCTAGTCTCTTGGGCGATATGGCTTCCATCCCATTGGTCAGCCGAACAAGAGTTAATCCGTTGCTTTGGGCCTTCTCCGTGAGGCTCGCTAAACTTCCCCGCACGGCGACCTTCTCTCTAAGCGGATTTGAAGCTCCTACCAAGAAATGACAAGGGAGTTGAGCGAGGAGACGAGTAGACCGGCAAGACCGCGTCGACCGGGTAGGCCAGACCGGCAACATTCCATTACAGTTCTTCCCTCCAATCCCATGATTTTCCACACGTAAATTGCTCGAAATCGGTTTACGCCCAAATCTCCACGTCAGCGACAAGTACAGCTTTGCAAAGAGCTAATAACGGACAAAAACAGCACATGATTTATCCCGTTATAAATCACCACGTATGGCGCGTTGAAGTAGTGTTAACTAAAAAGGCGCAGACGACAAAGGTTGGTAAGCGCGGGTTAATAAGGAGCTGTTTTGTACTTAAACAACGCTATAAGTTATAAGGCTCCTATCAATATAGCAATACAGCCTCGAGCAGATAATTCTGATCTTATCCGCCGCGATCCAGACGAATACGATCAACAGCCGCAGCCTCGAGCGGCCTCAAGAAGGTCAGTCTGATCCTATCCGCCGCAATACTGATGAATACGATCAACAGCTGCTGCCTTAAGCAGGTAAGTTGGGATCGTATACACGTAAAACCCCGCTTCGTCAGCTTTGCCTACCACTATGATGGCCTGCCAGCATCACGGTCTTGTCTTATGATCCTCAGTATCCTTTGTGGGGAGTCCCCATTGATTTTATCTACGAAGTAGCCAATCGCTTCTTGTTCGGTTATTCGGTAGGTCCAGCTATGTGGATTCGTAGCTTGGCCAATTGAGCTGAGATTGGTCTTGATATGTGCGCTGGACCCTGTAGAGAAAGAGACCTGCCCTTAGTGCTACTACCTTTAGTGACAAGTGGCAGGGAACGCATATTTTATTTACGATCAGCCGCGTAACCAAGTCGCCAAGGTGAACATATGCAAGTTTTTATCAGCAGTTCTCGTGCAAATAATGAGATGATACGATAAATTTCTTCTTCAAAGCACCCCTGCCTCTGTCCATTTATGTAAAATATCCGCTGGCTATGTAGACGATAAATACTCGAGTCGCACTCCTTCAGTTGCACTCGTATAGACAACAAGCCTCCCTTCAACAAGCTATTCATTACCCATATACGAAGCACATGCTGACCACACTAGTTAACATGAGAACACGAGATCTCTTCCCGAAGTGGGATGCGGTAGTGGACAAACAAGCTGCCCAAACCGAAAAGACCGAAATGAAGACTGTAACTGTGGCAGTTGACAGCGAAGCGCCAGGCAACGAGGAAAAGAACGTTTCCGACACGGTGTTGGCTACAGACAAGCTAGCAGATGCCGAGCATGCGCTTCCTTTGAGGCAATTCGTCATCGCATACGCAGTGTATGTACTCCAGATTCCTCTCAAACTCGTCCAGGCTTCTAACGATTTTCCAAGCATGGTTGTGATGTCGTTTGCCCAAGACCTCTCCTCAGGTATCTTCTCGACACTCACTCCTTATGTGACGAGTGCCTTTGAGCGCCACTCCCTGACAGCCACGACGTCCGTCCTCTCATACATTGCCAGCGCCATAATAAAGCTTCCCTACGCCAAATTGATTCAAGTCTGGGGACGCACTCAGGGATTCGCAGTCATGGTCGCCTTTATGCTTCTTGGCATCATCATGATGGCCACCTGTCAAAATGTTGAGACTTACTGTGCCGCCCAAGTTTTTTATACAATTGGAGCCAGCGGTATCCGGTTCAGCATCACTATCTTCATAGCCGACACGACAGCCATGCGCAACCGTATCTTGCTGATCGGTATTACCAGTATACCTACCATCGGTACTATCTGGGCATACGGCCCAGTAACGGAGCAGATCTTGAAGACAGTAGGCTTCCGATGGGGATTTGGGCTTTGGGCGCCAATACTTGCACTCATCTTTGCACCTCTACTCTGGTATCTCTGGGTTACGCAGAAGAAGCTTGAGGCAATCAAACCTACTCCGTCTACCCAGCCTCTCCGAACGTGGTGGCAGTCTTACGTACACTACATCAAGGAGTTCGACGTGGTCGGCATCCTAATCATCGCAACCGGCCTGACTCTGCTGCTCCTTAGCGTCAACATTTACTCTTACCAGCCCGAAGGATGGCGGGCCCCCATCGTCATCTGTTTCCTGATATTTGGTGTGCTGCTACTTCCAATCTTTGGCCTCTATGAGAGATACATAGCAGAGTATACCTTTATCCCCTGGAGTCTACTTGTCAATCGAACAGTCATCACCACCAATATCATGGTCCTCACGCTGCAAGCGGGAGAGCAGCTTGGTGCTGCGTACTTTTATTCTCAACTGATTGTTGTTTTCCGCCAGTCTGTTACAACAGCAACCTACATAACCAACATTTACTACATGGGAGCCACCGTTACCATGATCATTGTTGGCGTTGCCGTGCGCTATTATGGACACATCAAATACTACGCTTTATTCCTTGGAGTGCCCTTGGTCACGCTAGGATATGGCCTCTTGATCAAGTTTCGTACGACAAATACGCAGATTGGATTGGTTATCCTTTGCCAAATATTCATCGCTATCGGCGGAGGTATCCTGAATCCCGTTGAGCAACTGATGCTCATGGCTGTCTCAGACCACGACCACATGCCTGCTGTCCTCGCAGTCGAGGGATTGTTTGCCGAAGTAGGCAAGGCAATTGGGTTTGCTATTGCCGGTGCTCTTTGGACTGGATTGTTTGAAAATGCGCTCGAGAATCACCTTCCCGAGTCTGAAAAGGAGAACATTGGACAAATCTACGGTGATCTCGACGTCCAGAGCTCGTATCCAAAGGGTAGCGCAGCCTATGAGGGAATTTCGCTTGCGTACGGAGACGCTCAGCGTATCATTCTCATCACTTCCTGCTGCCTTTTCGTGCTTACTTTAGGCTGCGTGGTCTTCTGGAAGGATGTTAATGTCAAAGGAATGAGACGTTTGCGAGACAGGGCTTAATTGGCACAAGCGGAGGGAAGTGGGATTATTCCTGGCGGATGGGATTTGTTCCAATGTATCACAGAGTGGCGATTGCGCGAGCTGTTACGTACTGGAAGGAATGTTCTTTTCTTAACTCGAAGACAACTTTTAGTAACTATTACGTCAATTGAACATTGCCGGCTCATCCACACGGACCTTAGCACTGACTCATTCATTAGTCATTGATCTCTATGATCTTATCAGATGGGATCCGCTGGTTCTAGCCAGATGATCGTCACGTGGCGGGTCCCATCAGGACCAGGTGTCATTCAGCGAGCAAATTTCTTGCTCTTCTTGCCCTGATAATGCCTCACCAGCAGCCTTGAAAGCGTAGAATCAGTTCCTGAGAAATCACAGCTATCCCGAAAGGCGTTGTCTTATCGACAGTGTGCAATAAACACTCTGCTAGGCTGTACTTAATCACTTGATGTTCTATTTTCACTCTTGGCATTAGCCATGGGAAACTCCGTCCAGCAAAGTCAGAATGCTGGAGCCAAGAAATTCACGAGAGTAAAGGCAGCCAGAGTCACATCTGGTTGTATCACCTGGTTTGTCACTCAGTCACCTCATACACTAGACAATGATTCTAACTAGGGATAGCAAGTACGTGTTATGTCCTTTTCACGATGTATCGGACTCACTGTTGCTGACTATTACGAGAATCCGCCACCTCAAATGCGACGAAGGCAAGCCATCATGCCATAGGTGCTTATCTTCTAGATTGAGTTGTGATGGCTACGAGCCATTCCGGAAGCGTGTGCGACGAACGAAACGTCAAATCCAGGAGGCATTGGAGAGCGAATCAAGAAACAAGACATCTCCTAATGCCAATATTCAGTTTAATGTCATTCCCGCCTTGGATCTACTCAACAATAAGGCTGAGAGAGAAATCTTGCACCACATCTATAGCGATACGATCCAGGATCTGGAAACGACCCTTAGCCCTACCGAATTTTGGCATCGCCATGCGCTACCACTGGGACGCTCTGTTGACGCTGTCAAGCATGCAACTCACGCTTTTGGAGCCGCACACAAATTGTTTAAAATTCGATACTCAAACCCCTTGGCCCACTCCGCTATCCAGATGCTAAAGCAGGTTTCGATTCAAGAATACAACATAGCGATTCATCATTTGACAAGCCTTACAGGAGATGAGACGCAGAACCTAGAAGTGGTTCTTACCTGTTGTGCTTTGTTCATTTGCATCGAGAATTTAGTCGGGCATTATTCGTCCTCAATTCAGCATCTGAAGTCTGGAGCTGGAATACTGTTGGGCCAGGCGAACATGCAAGTGGCAGGGTGTGCTAGTGCTTCCGCTAGAACGGGCCAAATAGCTTCGAAAGCTATGCAGCCGTTATTTAGAGACTCCGCCGCACAAGTCATATGCCGACTCAGCCACGATATCTCGGCATATCTATACATCAACGTCCAACCAGAGCTTGACATTTATTTTTCGCCAGAATTCAAGAATGGAGATCCTTCCACACCATTTCAGTCTATCGCCGAGGCGGAGAGTGCACTACATGGTTTTGAGAAGATAGTCGAGGCCACGCGAACATTTTCCGGGCGGCAACCATGGGCGGAGGGTATTGCATCTCCTGCATTCTGGCCCAACATGACTCAACTCATTGACACCTTCGATGAATGGAGTAAGCGATTTGACATGCTCAAAGCCATACTCGCCATGGAGACTATATCAATGAGAGAGATTCGAGACATGAATGCTTTGTCACTGGACCAGTACGCCTGGTCGATTTATCTGACCAATCCAAAAGGTGCAGATTACCCAAAACAGCAGTGCGAAGAGATTTTCAGGCTCGCCGAAGCCGTCATTCAGTCTGATGATAGGCTCCATTCCTCTCCCACCTTTAGTTTTGATGGTAGTCTTATTTCCACAATATCTCAGGTTTGCAGACGATGCGAGGACTATGGTACTCGTTGGCGAGGTATAAAACTCCTCCGCTCGATATCAAGGCGAGAAGGCGTGTGGGATAGCCACGAAGCAGCAGACATTCTTGAAGCGTTGACGTTAGCTGAAAGCACTAACCTTGTAGTGAGAGACGATTTGCCACTAGGGATGCCAGATATCGCTAAAGTAATGTGCCAAATGGGTGTTCTATTAAATTGAGGACCAGATTAAACTTATCAGCGTAGTCCAACTTAATAAAGAAGCTCATTGAAATAAACCACATAGAAAGTTGAAAGTGTCGACCCAAACCGCTGGCTATGTAATTCTTCAGCAAAGATGGCGCCATAACGAAGAAGATTGTGGACCAGGTTGACAGCGGTGGCGTCACGGTCAACGGCACATTGTTTCACTCGTTCGTGGACTTGGCCCCATTTGGAGGAGTCGTGGACTCCGGCCATGGTGCCTTTCGTGGTGAGCATAGTATCGACTGCATAGTATCGACTGTTTCACGTATAAACGGGCAGTTGTTACGCCACCGTCGTTTATGTATAGGGTCCTCAGCTTCACGTATGCGATTTATGATATGAAGCATGTAGGTCGAATAAACATCGCCAACATCATGGGTTTCAAGCGAGGAGAGACATTGGAGGATCAAAGGCGCGTTGGTCCCAGCACGTTTCTGCGTTGGGCATAGCCTGCCATGAGCGTAGTGGCGCTGGCCTATGTTTCTCGAAAACAAATGGCGAGCATCTGTGGTTAAGGTGCTTTCAGTGTGAAGAATAGGTTTACGAAAAGCCGCTAGTATTCTCTCTCTCAAGCCATGACGCGCACGGTTTGAGTCACCATTGCGAAAATGAATGAATGAAAGTAGCCTACCCGCCACAGTAGACATTATCACAAGAGAGAAGAAATACAAGAGAGAATCCAAAAATGCTTTTCGATAATATTGACCCCCTGAGTTCAACCTGGATCTCTATATTAGATCTCCGGCTTTCTCCATCCTCCCGAGACGCATTGACTAGGAGACCCGTGCATGACTTCTTTTGTTTTTTCACAATTATCAGTGGTGCCTCATCTTCCCGGTGGAAAAGATAAACTCCTCGTCTTGTAGCACCCCAATTGTAAAGATATTATCTCCTTGTAAGTTCTGAAACCATCCCATCCGAAAGTGTGGTCCTTCTATTTTATTGTGATCTTTTGATAACACCCTTGGGTCGTGAAGAGCATTTGATCCATGAAGCAAAGCCTCCATTTTAGCAATGGCCTCAATTATCTGGCGCGACACCTTCGAAGTCCATATCGAGTCCAAAGGAAGGTATATGACGGGCTTGTTTCAAATAGGTCACTATTTCGACGAGAGAAGACTAATAAGATGGGCAAAACCGTCCCACAAAGTAAGAAGATGACGCAGAAAGTAATGGATACATCTTGTTGTAACCAAAATGGGCTCCAAGTCCTAGATGAAGCAATTGGGGGCTTCTGATACTTTCTATTAGTTTCGTTCGAGTCACTGACTCGTATGTGAGGAACTATGCACTCCTTGCCAGCTGACTTTCTTGATGCTTGCGGTTGTCGAAGTGGAAGGTATTCATTCATGAACCGTTTCTCAGGGCTACTCGAAATGGCATCATAACTGAACGGTACGTTGACCTCTGTGTCATATGTCACCTCCCGGCTGGCTGTTTCACTCGCCCGTTTAGTGCTAATGTTGACTAAAGACTCTCTAACTCGATAATTGACTTATCAACAAAAGTTGTATCTCTGTCGCTTGTATGATGTTCAGTCGCCGCATTTCCATCCAGTAGAGTTGCGGCAGCACCAAGTGCTTGAGCATCCAACGTCTCTTCATCTGGACCTCTCATCATTTTAGTTCTTTTGAACTTCAACGTCCAAGAAAATTTCCTGGTGATGGCGAGTGCGGTTTAGAAGAAATTCATGTCTGGAAAGGCTACCGAAATGCTATCGCTTTTTGGATATTCTCTGCCTTATAAAAGCCCCTTGGTAGCTGTACATGTACATCCTACAGTTGGAATTTGATCTTCGGCCCCATGTTAGACTGCATCCTGCTAGTCTTTCTTCCTTGGTTTCTGTGGCCCATTCAGACGTAGGAGCTCTGAGTAGTATTATGTAGTGAACGAATACTACTTGGGGGGGCAACTATAGGCCCCCCAAATCATGGGAGGATTTTGCGCTTTTAATTTTGCGGCGGCGGACGGCTTTTCGTGCCTTATGAAATCGAGGGCGCGATCATCCTTTGTAAAGGAAGTTTTTTTGCCGGAAGATGTGCACTCAATGCCACCTTAAGTGTTTGGGGGTCGTATTAATCATTACCATGGCAAGGCCATAGGCGCGTATGCATGATACAGGAGGTGCTGTTAACTGCATTCGCTTTATACACGGTTGCTCATCGACGTGAACATTGTTTATCTCTTCGTAAAGACCTTATTTTTTTTTATTTCCGAGACAGGCATCACCTTGTATATATCCCGTTTGTATTGGGCAGAGTCGTTTGTGTTCTGCTACCTTCTCTCATTTTGCATTTACATTCAGATACATAATACCACTTAGTGGTATGCAATGTCTAAACGATTCAACGTGGTGAGGATGGAGCACCTAGATCAGTCACAACCACGCACCAAGCCCAAAGTCAAAGTATTATTCGTGATGAAACATGTTAGAGGCCAGTATGGCTCTGAGTTCCAATTGCAGAAACTTAGCCGCCAGGAATACCTGTCTTTCGACGTGATAAAAAGAAACTGACTGTTGAGCAACAAAACTATATTCGTGCGTGAAGTTTTATCTATAGGTGTTATATATCTCTTGGAGGTGAAGCCGACCTCTAGATCGTTCTAATGCAAAGAATTCAATTGCCCCCTCCAACTAATTACATCTGTGCTGTTGCGGCCTCTATCTAGGCAACCCAAAACCAGATCTTCTCAAGAAGATTCCTTGGTACGGGAGGGACGTCTCTAGCCTCCAGCTCATCCATCTCCTTCTTTCCGGTAGTGACGTCAATCTGGTCAATGGGGATGTAGAATGGGGTTCGGAACCAAATCTTATGACCCAGGTAGAAGACAAGGAAGATCGGGATGGTGATGTACGCGGCCAAGAAGTCTTGGACGTTCCAGTTCTTGGGGATAAAGATTTGGAAACCGTTCGTAAGCGTCAGAAGGCTGATCACGAAAAGTGTAAAGTATGTGAAGTATGGTTGGAAGCGGGTCTTGTAAGGAAGGCTGCTGAGAAGGTTGTTGAGCTCCATGGCCTTTCGAAATCGGATATAGGTGACAAGGACGACGATCCAAGCGATGTATCCGGAGATCGTGGAGATGTTCATGAACCAGTTGAAGACCTTGGCACCATCTGGGGAGACATTGAGGAAGGCGAGTAAGCCAATGGTCCAAGTTGCAAGGACGGCAAGCCAGGGGACACCCTTGGCATTGGTGCGGCTGAAGATCTTAGGTGCTTGGCCACTGAGGGATAGAGAATATAGGATACGGCTGCCAGAGTACAAAAAGGAGTTACCGGCGGACCAGGCGGATGTCAGAATGCAAGCATTGATAATATGGTTCAGAACAGGGATGCCGGCATTCTGGATACCAATAACCCAAGGAGATGCACTGGCATTACCAGCTGTGCCAAGAGCCTTCTCATTGTAAGGCACCAGGATACCAATAAGGAGAGATGAAACGCCATAGAAGATGGCAAGACGCCAAATGAATCGACGGGCTGCTTTGGGAATGTTGCGACGGGGAGCGACGGTCTCACCAGCAGCGATAGCAATGAGTTCAGGAGAAGTGATAAAGGCGAATCCGCAGCTGGCGAAGGCGTGCCAATAAGCGAGGAACTTTCCAGCGTGGCCCGAGGTATTGTATTCGACAAAAGCACCCGGGGTCTTGTAGTAGTAGAATCCGCGGACCTCAGTCTGATTTGGGCCGCCGCCAAAGAAGATGACCCATCCAAGAATGATAAGTCCCATGATAAGAATGAGCTTAATACTGGCAAACCAGAATTCAGCCTCACCAAAGAAGCTAACAGCGATGATGTTGAGGAGAAGCATGACGACGAGGACAATGGCGATCCACAGAGCCATGTTGACGGGAGGGCTCCAGTAGTCGATGATGATGCCAGCCGCGACAGCTTCAGCTCCAACCAGCATGGAGTAGGCGTACCAATAGTTCCAACCGGCGGCGAAACCCAAGCTGGGGTCCACGAATCGAGTTACGAAGTAGGGGACGGTAATACCACGCATCGGCAGATAGGTAACCATTTCGGCGAGAACGTTCATAATGCACCAGACGAGGATCATCATGGAGCAGTAGCCCTACAGCGATCGGTTGGTCAGCCAGCGTCAATGACGAAGGACTATGCCATCTTACCATGAAAAGAGGTGCAGGGCCACTCGCAGAGAGGATGCTGCCGGAACCAACGAAGAGACCTGTTCCAATCGCGCCACCTAAATTTCATCAAAGTCAGCGCATGATAGTCACCTATCCTCTGGCGAAGGGACATACCAAGGGCAAGGAACTGGATGTGGCGGCTCTTGAGGCCGCGCTCGAGCTGGTCATGTTGGGCTGCGAGGTTGTACTCGTTTGTGGCGGTTGGGCCGGTCTCACCGTCCACGTCGACATCGCCGTACTCCTTCTCGATCTCCTTGCGCATGATTGCGGTGGTATGCTGGGAGACGTCTGGGGGGGAATTATTAGGGAGTGGGTAATGGGTACAAGAACTATCACCAGGACAGCAACCCCAAGCAATTATCAGGATGGTTGAAGTGGAAACCAGATCATCCAAAGTGGCAATGGGGAGAGATTTATACCCAGGCCGAAAACAACGGGTCGACGGTTAGAAGTGGGAGAAGATCAACCTTGTTCAAAGAAGCTAATGCAAACAGAGTACTTGCAGCGTACGCCCTGCAGCCAGACTTGACCATTCCTCCACACAACCAACGTTACAAACTAGCGCAAGGGGACGCCCAGATAGAGCCAGCCCAGTGGCGGGACCCTCGACATAAGCCGAGGACTGGTCCGTTGTAACCGATAACCGGAGGTGGGAGGCAGCCTCCCCCTGGTCAGTCACTGGAAGGTGTGTAGCAGTAATATTACGGCCGCAGTAAATCAGTGCGCCCAATGCCGCCTAGTGCGTCTTCTCCAACTTTTTCTGGCGGCTTCGAGAAGGAATCGAACGATCCCGGCCAGGCAAACTCGTCAACCACGCCTTTTGGTGACGAGGAGAAATGACCAGCTGAGCACAGAGTGCAAGAAGCATGTGGTCGCCGACTGAGATTGAATTATCTTCATCTCATTACGTACTGGCCCTGGGGTTCTTTGCGGGGGAAGAGGGAGAACCCCAAAGTCAGAGTTTTCCATTACTCAATGGTATCCATCCAGCGGCACAAACGTGATGAGGTGACCTGGGGGAAGGCCCGGAAGAGTGTCTGTGCACACACCAACACGACGGTTGCCTGGCTGCCTCCCTCTGTCGCTTCTTCTTCTCCTCCTTTTCCCCCCTATTCATCCCCTCCCTCCTCCGCTGTGATACTCAACCAGAAGCCCATCACGCAGACGGCAGATGAGTGTCAAGGAATGGATGTGCCGTCTTGGCCGCCAAGCCAGTTCCGGCAATGAATCATTGTGGCCGCTGCGGAACTGTCAGCGGCCAAGCCATGAAAGACGCAATCTAAGGGTGGTGGAGAAAAGATCTCCACCACCACAGTGTCTACTTCCAAGCTGGTCGCCCCTATTACGAGACTTGAGCCAATACTACGTACTGTGTGGAGCAAAAGGAGCTGCAGGATTGGGGAAACAGAATTTGATCCAGTTTGTTGCAAAGCTGATGTGATAAAATGGCTACACATGGGTCGCTGCTGGTAGGCAAGGTCGGATGGCCCGCTATTACACACATCAATAACAAACAAGATCTGCATTCCACTATCTCTCGATATCTTTTTATCTGGGAGGCCCCAAAATTGTGGAGGAGATGAGTCCTGTGCTCATGCTGATGAGCAAGCAGGGTAGTAATCACCTATTATGGCTACTAGCGACCAACAGTGTTTTACCCTTTTGTCGATTGCCCGAGTAAGATGATCTCTCAGCTGCCAAGAACGCCTCCAGCCGTTCTCATTAGACCAACATGCCGAGGGCGCACCGAGCACGACTCATGGCTCGGATCTCGCCACGCTCCGGCACAATCAGCAGCCATTCTCCAAATGTTTCCCCACACGAGTAGTAGCCTTGGTGAGAGAAAATTTGTTCGGCGAGGGAAAAAGCATAATGATGTAGGACCAATGGCGGGAGCTACCCCGTCACCATCTGTCGGGGCCCCTTGGAATGTGGCATCATAAGTCCATACCATATCTTCCCTACCCGGACCATATTATTTCCCAGCCAGCTCGTAATATACCATCCACATCCTCAATGAGAACCTGGCAAGTGTTCTATGCTGTCATTTAAATTTGTACAGCAAAGTAATCAGCCACACCCAGCTCGTGTTGACGCGGCTCAGCCTTCAGCTTCAAGGGGACCATCTGCACGGTTTATGTCGGCACAGGCATTGCATCCACACAGTGGGGAGCTTAGTCGCTACTTAAATCTTTCTAGCGGCTCGCTAGAAGAACAGAAGAACCTTCTTTTGTCCAGTTGTAGGCTCATAGCGTCCTCTCACTAGTTTGAGAAGGCTTGCAGGGGCCCTGGCAGAGGAAGGCTTTCTTCGGCTTAAGAGTCTGTATCCACATGAACACAACACTAGCTCCATGCTTGCCGTCGATAACTTTATTTACATTGCCACAAAGTGATGGAGATGATGATGGAGATGATGATGGAGATGAAAGAGAAAATTGCTCATAGTAATAATAAGTAAGGTATGGAAGATTTCATCCTAGCTTTAGCGGCAGCCTTGAAAAGCCTCGAGCAAGTAAGTCGGATCGTATTTGCTGCAGCGATAATAACCGTGAATAGTTTACAGAATCAAGCCTGTGCTGATGACCCTTCTGGTCTAGCAGAGGGATCCAAATGTACTTATTATGAAGCCCAAGGTAGAAAACGTCTTCTGAGCTCGCCACCTAATCTGATTCTCTCAGCACTAGCACCACCTCTCCCTTCAAGAACTGCTTTGTTTTCAGTCGCTCTTCTTGCTAGAAAAGGCAAACATTCTTTCAGTTCGCCATAGCTCATGGACTATATCATCAAGGACAATTAGTATGATCAGCGACAAATATAGCTACAGGGTACTAACCTTAACCACCAGAGGAAATCCGTCTTGTGTTGTAATAGACCCAGAAATCTTATTCGTCAGATCATCTTTCATTCCTTCAAGTTATTAGTATAAGAGTAACACTCTTGTAATAAGGGCAATTGAATACCGTAGATCTGTCCAAAGGAAATACTTCCCGCGACCTCGTTTGGTATGATCAACTTCCCGTCGGTGGTCTTTCTCTCCACCATGCCATACTTTTCAAGAAGGTGTATACCCAAGTCGACGCTGTAAGAATTATGAGTGGCAAATACAGCGCAAAGACGCGATGAGCCGGTTTCCTTAATCTGGCTGCGAATGACTGAAAGTGCCTTCTCTATGCCGTAGTTGAAGCTGGCATCTGTCTCCTCCTTACTCGCCCAAACGGGCCCTGGGCCGTGGCGACCTTCTTTTGCCCACCTCTCACCTTCCGTCTTGATATATGCTCCTCTAACCTGTTTGAAGAGCAACTTGTACCCTTTCTCATTTGCCCGGAGAATCTGCTGGTTGAGGAGCTGCGGGTATCTCCTGAGGTATGCTTGGAATGAGGCAATGCAAGTTGCCGGCCTATCCCCATCCAAGGTGTTATAAATCTGCATAAATCTGTCCGTGAGACTGTCAATAACAGGCTGGTACCAAGTTTGCTCCGCATCAATCACAACGCGGATATTGCTTTCCCGGGCCTTTCTCATGATCTTATCGAGGGTCCCGTACAAATTGAGAAGTTGCTCACGGTCGACGGGAGCAACACCGTTTACTGCCGCCTCCCAATCTCCATCATGAGGTAGCCCAGGGTATGGTACATCCAGATCAAGCCCCTTTGCTCTTCTTGCCTCCAAGATTGCATCAGAGCCATGTAGAAGAGCAACAGGGCAAGGTATAAGACCAGTAACCTTTATCCGCACCCAGGAGCGGTTGTCTCCGTTGGTTGTACTTGTGTCTGGGTAAAATTCCCTCGCAAGCCTTGCTTGGGATTCAATCGACGCCAGAACCTCTTCAGTCTGGGCTCGGATGAGATTGGGGTCTTTTCTCGATCCATCCAGCTCTGCTTCAATGTTGTATCCCAGGAGTGTTCCGATGCTTTCTTTTCGCAAAGCCTTGATCTTAGGCGTACATTCCTCGGTCGTTTCTCCGCCAAGAAATTGGGTGAAGAAAGTCCCCATCACAAACGAATGTGCGATAGAGGACATGATAGGAATCTTGGATACGACAGCGTAGAGCGTTTCACTCATATCAACCCATGTTGGAGAAGAGCAGAATGCAAAAGCTCTGCAAGAAATCTTATCAACATGACGCTTATTAAACTTATGAGCTCCTCGCAATGAGAGGGTGCAAAAGAAGACAACAACAAAGAAAGAAGAGACGCAGGGGAACTTACATCCAGCCAGCGAATAATTTGCTGAAAGGAACTTTGGAGAGAGCAGAAGCATCACGGGGGTCAATGGGATCCCGGTCTCCGGGGCCTGATGTCCACAGAAGCCCAATGGCAACAACGGTTACCCCTCCGCCTGCGAGGACAATCCTCTTCTCTCTGTGAGTAGTATTTTCCCATCTCGATACTAATTCTCTCGACCAACGGATGGTAGTTGACTCTGCTGACGTCGAGACTGACTGAAGCCTTTGTAGGCGCGATATCATTAAAGTAGGCCGAGGGGGTAGGCCAACTCTTCGGATAGAGGTGAGCAACATTGTCGGATCGTTCGTGAAAGCGGAAAACAGGAAACGTACAACAGGTTACAAATAAGGCTAGATTACCCGTTATCAAAAGGCCGACATATTTATATTGGCTGTGGAGGGTGTCAATGATAACCATCCTGGGAGTTGATGGGTCCTCCGAAGTTCGCAATCTCGCAGCGGTATTCGCACCCGCTCACGCTGATAACGGAGGCGATAATTCAAATTAGCCGTATCATTTCCCATCTTACCAATGATGGCTATCTGAACCTCACCAAAGTTACGGGGCAACGGCGGAGTGTTCATGGGTAAGGAGGCGGCAAGATATCCCGAACTTGGGAGCCGCGTCTCGGATAGGGACTCCGCTCCATGGCCGCGGTTGAACAAAAACAAGAATCTTCTGGCCTTAATCGGCGGCTTAATAAACGTGCAATATCCAATTCAAGGAAACTACACAATCCTAACTTTACAATCTATTATACCTTGATCATTTGTTACTACACAATGAAGACCGTCTGTCCTGATCGTGCACCCCGGACCATTGGACCTTATGTCCATGCCGTAGTACATGGGAATACTGTCTTTACCACCGCCTGCATCCCTCTTGACCCTGCCACTATGCAGATTGTCGGCGGGGGGGCTGAAAACCAACTACGCCGCATTTTTGACAATCTTAAAATCATACTCGAGGAATCGGGCACCGGCTTGGACCGCATCATCAAGCAAAACGTCTACCTTACCGACTTCAGTCAATTTGAAGCATTCAACAAGGTCTCGGCAGAATATCTCGGGGATCATAAACCGGCTAGGGCCACGATGAAGGTTCTAGAACTGCCCAAGAATGCACCTATGGGCCTAGATGTTGTGGCAGCCCTGCCAGAATAGAAGGGAATCAGGGGATACAGTTGTTAGGATCAAGACTGTGCCATTATAGAAGGGACAAATAAAGTTTATTCCCCCAATGCTTATCCTTTTGTGATCTGTATCGGTGATGTGTCTCCATAACTTCAAAGTTGCAATATCACAATCTTCGCGTATGAAACGGTCAGGACGCCTAACTATCTGTGCGGCCAGAAAAATGAATGTAGTCATATCCTCCAGTGCTTAACTCACGCTCCAGATAAGTGGTCGTTGCGTAATGAGGAGTCATTGTAACAGACTCTTCTCGACCAGCCACCTTATGAAACTAGTGCCCCGGTAGTCTAGTATTTGCTTATCTCGCCAAATGTCCCCCGCTCCTGAAGACTCTTGAAGACTGGACGAGCTCCCAAGGGTCCGCCGCGGAAGAGCAAGCCGCTATAAGTGGGTTCCTCTCCACACCTTCAAGTCTCCATGACTCGAAAAACTTGGGGATAATCAGGAACCGTGCTGGGGAAATGAGATTCTTGATTTTCATTACGTTACGGGAACCTGAACCTTACCAAATCCTGGGGTAGGGTATAAGTTGTTTGTTTGGTCCTCTGTCGAGCAGGCTGAGGTTGAGACAGACTTCTCTTGATTCTAACCTTCCAACTACTACTGATTCTCGATTCGACACTAATTTATTCCATCTGTTTCTCTCTCTCTCTTCCTACCTGAAAATCGCATCCCATCAGAATGGCACCCAAGGAGAACGACATCACTTCGCCTTCGCCCCGTGACTGCCAAAGCAGCATCCAAATGGCCCTCGAGAGCGACACGATCAAAATGGAGCCATCAGAAGACCAGACGCAGACGGAACTTAAAAGAGGTTTCAAAAACCGGCATGTCAACATGTTTGCTATTGCTGGTTCCATAGGCACTGGACTCATCATTGGAAGCGGTTCAGCCCTGGCCTCTGGAGGGCCTGGAAGCATCTTGATCGCCTACTGTATAATGGGAGCATGCGTCTACACCGTCATGACGGCCTTTGCCGAGATGGCCATCTTCGCACCAATGAACAAGGGTTTCAGCGGATATGCTACTCGATTCGTTGATCCTGCGTTGGGGTTCGTTTGCACCCACAGCCATTTGGTTTCTTTGAAGAACTAACACGAACATCGGCTCGATTAGGTTCGCGACTGGCTGGAATTATTTCTTCAAATACTGTGTTCTCCTCGCCAACAACTTGACGGCTACAGGTCTCATTATTCGATACTGGAGAGATGATATAAACGTGGGCGTATGGATTGCCGTCTTCGGTGCCGTTGTTGTGGCTCTTAATGTAAGAAGATGAGATGTCACATCACTTGTCCACGACTTGCGTATTAGATCACCGTCTTATCTTTACTCTTCTAGTTTCTCCCTGTCGAGAAGTTCGGCGAGACCGAATTTATCATGGCAATTGTCAAAATCATAGTCCTTGTTGGCCTTATTCTTTGCTGCCTCATCATCTCATTGGGTGGCTCACCATCCGGGGAGCGAATAGGTTTCCGATACTGGAACGAACCTGGTGCTTTTGCGCCTTACTTAGCCGAGGGCAGTCTAGGTCGTTTTGTTGGTTTCTGGTCTTGCATAGTCCAAGCCGCTTTTATGTTCATGGGCTGTGAAGTTGTGGGAATCACTTATGGTGAAGCCAAAAATCCTTGCAGGGCAATCCCACGTGCGGTTCAGCAAACCATCTTGCGCATTGCTATTTTCTATATTGGCGGAGTTATTGTTCTTGGCATGACCGTGCCATACACCAACGAGCTTCTGTTGTCCGCCAATAAAGAAAAGACGAGCGCAGGTAAGTCCATACATATGTCTTTGCCAAATAGCTAGAATATCGTGTGTTGACTGCTCAATTGCATTCTAGCTGCCTCGCCATTCGTTGTGGCGCTGAAGCTAGCCCAGGTCGAAACACTGCCGTCCATTGTGAACGCGTGCTTCCTCATGTTTACTATTAGTTTCGCAAATTCAGGTATGTTTTGCCTTACGGTATCCAGGACTGCCATTTAGAACATTAGTCTTATATTGTCGATCAGATATTTACATCGCATCCCGGACGCTTTACGGCCTGGCTCGCGATCATCAAGCGCCCGGTATTTTCACGAAGACGAACAAACATGGCGTTCCCATCTACGCCGTCATGGCTTCGTCAGCCTTCTGCTGTCTGGCCTTTCTCAACGTGTCCGCATCATCAGGCAAGGTTTTCGGCTATTTTGTCTCCTTGTCTACCGTCCTCGGCCTCGTCAACTGGCTCAACATTATCATCACATACCTCGCGTTCCAAAAAGGCATCAAGGCACAGGGAATCACTCGGGCTGATCTGCCATGGAGAGGTCCCTTGCAACCCTATGCCATCTACGTCACGCTTTTGATCACTTGCCTTGTCATTATATTTAGTGGGTATACGGCTTTTATCGGCGTATTCAAGGCGGACAAGTTCATCACCTCATACTTGGGTATTGTTTTGTACCTCGTAAACATTCTGGTCTTCAAGGTTTGGAAGCGCAGTAAGCGTGTTCGGTCCACGGAAATGGACCTGGTCTCTGGCAGACGCATTTACGAGGAGGAAGAGGAAGAGGAAGTGACCAAGGCAACAATCTCTCAGCGTCTAGGGAGTGCTCTCTGGGGCAGATAAAGGGGGGCCACGAGAAGTACATAAACATCACACTCAGATAGCCTCGTTTGCCACCACATACATAGCTGATAAGACTACTCTATCAAACGCCTGGTTTTTTTGACCCGTAATTGGAAGTCTAGTGTATTAGATTCAGCTTATCTAATACGATGGATGATCCTTTAAGTAAGAAGGGCTCGCACCCCGCATTCCCCATAATCTGCACATTTCTCACACCATGAACCAGCGGCAAACCAACCCGAGCCACGGCTCAAGGCGGGTAACCAATGCGTAAGGCATCTCCTTCCTCGCTTTCTGTGTTGTAGCTAATTTTGGTCGAAGATGTCGAAACTGCAGGCAGAGGAAGATCCGATGCTCCGGCTCTCACCCTTGTGTAAACTGCACACGCAGAGGCAAGGTGTGCCAGTTCGAGGATGCAGGGCGGAGAATTGTGGTTTCTCAAAGGTCAGTAATCGCCGCTCTAGAGGAGCAAGGTTACTTGGAGTTGCTCACATTACGCAATTTTTACAGATACTTGAGGCAGCTCCAGCAGCAGGCCACTGCCCCTATTAGGGAGACCGGGTCTGTTGCGGAGGATTCAACATGCATCGACGATACAACCCACACTTTCCCACAGGCAGAGAATGATGCCAGCGAGACTCAGCCTCGCGGGATGGAAGATGCGGCACCCTTCCCATTGCAGAACCAACCATTCCAGACACCCATATCTATTGAGTCTGTCCATCGTCATCCTGAAGCGTCAAATCCACTCGCGTCTGCTTCATGTGAATATGTCTCTGATGACAAAGGTCGACTGCGTATGTAACTACTTTTGATGTCAAGTTGAAGTTTTGGTGCTAATCCTAAGGCCAAGGATGTCTCGGGGAGTCCTCAACTTGGTCTTTCACACAGAAGACATTAATGCTTGCCCGTAAACAACTGGATGTTCAGGACCTCTCTTTGACGAACATTGCCACAAATGAAGAAAGCCGGGCTTATCCCTTAAGCTGGAGTTCATCAGGCTTTGAGGATCCAGCAAACTTTACCGACTTGCCCTCTGAAGACTACTCCATGTACCTACTCAATAGCCTTCAGTTCCATGTCGGTCAGCTCTATCATCTATTCGACCAGACCGAGTTCATGAAGCTGTTTCACATCTTTTACCAGTCGCCTGCTGAGGTCGCTAGACATAATCGGATCTGGTATGTCCAGCTGTTGACTCTTCTTGGACTGGCAAAATCCCTAATCATTCAACCTGCTCGCGACGCAACACGTCTACCCGGAACAGACCTATTTATTCGGGCCATGTCGCTACTACCAGATACGCCCTATCTGTACTCTGACGCTCTGACATCAGTGGAGACTCTTTGTGCCATATCGCTATTCCTCCAATGCGCCGATTCGCGAAATACTGCCTACGTCTATGTAAGTTTCTCTTTCATATTCAGCCTTCTTTGCAAATCAATTCACGTAAACTTAATTCAATACATTTTCTCAATGCATGCACAGATTGGCTCTGCCCTACGAATGGCCATCACATTCGGGCTGCATCGCGAACGCCCAACCCACGACTGGGGGCCTGAGTTGACCTTGAGATGCCAGCGTGCATGGTGGACGGTATACATCCTAGACCGAACATTTTCGTCGTCAATGGGTGTACCAATAGCCATCCAAGACGCCGATATCACGGCCAAAATGCCAAGTCGGGAAGGCTCGAGAAGTAGCACCGCTCTTCATATACATGTCAAACTTTCCAATCTGATATCCGAAGTGGTGAACAGTACGTGATACCCGTTTGAAGATACCTCGTTAGGTTTCGATCTTACCTTGCGTTATATTGATGGTTACTGGCGCCGTACAGAGATTTATGGTGCCGAAGGCCGGCTACAAAGCAGCTTCCTGCCCAATGTCCACAAGGTTCTGGGAAGCATCGCTTCAATTGCAGCCGATCTAAACAGCTGCTTTCCACTGTCATATGACGGGTCAGACGGCGGTATCTCTCGGGTCTCATCTCATCTGCACTTATTCTACCATCAAGTAAGACCTTTACTCAACTTGACAACATAATTTCTCACAGCGCTTAGACAATTCTCCTCACAATGTATCCGTTGTTATTGCATCTTTTCCAAACAAAATTGCAAAACAACGAAGGCGGTACAGATGCCACCCGGGGCTTCTCAGATACAACCCGAGGATTGCTTCAGACTTGCAAAGAATCTTGTAGAAACATGATCGGCGTTCTTACAATACTTCAACAGCAAGGCCTCTTAGGTATGAACAGCGTGTTTAAAGGCTACCTAAAATTCTTATGAGGCTGACGGAAATGCTTCTCTGATAGGCGGTGCTCTTCCCTTTGACCTTGAGAGGGCATTCTCATCCGGGTTTGTTTCCACGATTCTCTCAGTCATTGATTCTGGCGAACAAACTTATCGAGCTCTTTATAGTCAAGCGTGCTATCTTCTAGAAGAGTTTATTCATCGAGGACTCACGCCTGCTACTTTTCGGAAGTCTGAGATCGAGCTGCTCGTTGAAATGATACAACTTTGGAAATCTCAGGAGCGTGGGAACACACAGGGGGTACAAGGGGGTGAACGAGCCCAAGACCAGCGGGAGGTAACACAACACCCTGGCGGGGATGGATCCAACGATGACCACATTGTTGAGCATGACTTTGGGGCTATATACGATCTGTCACCGGGGGCTACATACGATCTATCACCGGGCCAAATAATGTCACTCGCTGAGACGATTGCCGTACAGGATGGTCAGTTTGAAAATAACATGGGCTGGATGGATGATTGGTTATGGGACCACGAGGGTCAACAGGTACAGGACCTTTAATATAAATATCGAATTTATCTTCCTCGGTCGCTACAGGTCCCCAAAACTCATTAGCTCTGTAGCTTTACGGTCAAATACAGAGAGTCATCATATCGTCAAATGCCATATGAACGATATGTGTCATCCTCACCAACGCAAACTAGCCAAAGGTTCTCATCTCCGCTCACTCTGCTTTAAGACGAGAATGGCTTAGGTATGTAGGTAAGAGGGACGGAGCGGATAGCCAATCCGCTACATTCCAAGTGGGGAAGCGGAAGCTGAAGCCGCTCAAGCGCTTCTCCGGAATCGGCTCACCACTTCGCTCACTCACTCATTCCCGAGTTTCACGACTCATTGTCTTGGCTCAAGGGATTATCAAGTTTATGATGCAAAAGATTCATTTACATAAATATGGCGTCTTTCATTGTTTATACTGTGATCACAGACAGAAAATCAATCAAATCTAGTCACAATGGCATCCATTGCCTTTTCCAAGCTTCCTGAAATCACCAATGAGCCCAATGTATGAACTTAAATCAACGCTTCTTCCCTTCCGCCAAAAGGCTTTTCTCACCCGAAAAGGTCGAGACGCTAACAGGGAATAACTTAGCATCACTATGAGGCAGGCTCATCCCAGCGAGTTGGTCTTGCCAAAGCCATCGAAAAGGCCAGAGCCTCGCCAGTCAGTGTACCACTTATCGTTGGCGGCCAGGAGGTGAGCTGTACTCTCATTTCCTATGATTAACATCTTTCTGACAAAGCCCAATTTCTATTAAACAGATCGACACTGCTGCCAAGGGGGTGCAGTACAACCCTGCCGAGCACCAGTCAGTAGTGGCCACTTACAGCAAAGCTGGCCCTCAGGAGGTCAAGCAGGCTATCGACTCAGCACTGGCCGCTAGAAATGACTGGTCCTCGCTCCCGTTCTCAGATAGAGCCACGATATTCCTGAAAGCTGCCGACTTGATATCGAAGAAGTACCGGTATGATGTGATGGCTGCCACCATACTTGGCCAGGGCAAGAACGCCTGGCAGACCGAGATCGATTCAGCCGCCGAGCTTGCGGATTTCTTACGCTTCAATGTGCATTATGCCGAGAAGCTGTACTCTTCCCAGCCATCACACCACTCCCCCGGTGTCTGGAATCGTGTCGAATATCGTGCATTGGAAGGCTTTGTGTATGCTGTTTCCCCATTCAACTTTACTGCTATTGGCGGGAACCTGGCCACGCTGCCTGCGCTTCTCGGAAATGTGGTCCTATGGAAGCCTTCCGACTTCGCCATTGCCTCCAACTACCTCGTGTATAATATTCTACTCGAGGCCGGGCTCCCTAGAAATGTCATCCAGTGGATCCCTGGAGACCCTACTGAAATCACTCAAACGGTCTTTGCCCATCCAGAGTTCTCTGCTCTACACTACACGGGGAGCACAGCCGTGTTCCGGAAGCTATATGGCGAGATTGGTCGAGGCATTGCAGACGGCTTGTATAAGTCCTACCCTCGCGTCGTCGGAGAGACTGGGGGCAAAAATGCTCATCTGATCCATCACTCAGCCGACATTGATAATGCCGTCATCCATACAGTCCGCGGCGCATTCGAGTATCAGGGACAAAAGTGCAGCGCAACATCACGCGTCTATGTCCCTGCTTCCAGGGAAGCAGAGTTCAAGGATCGGCTTGTTGCAGAGACCAAGGCCCTCTGTGTCGGAGATCCAGCCTCGTTTGAGACATTCATTGGCCCCGTCATCCATGCTTCAGCTTTCTCGAGGCTTCAAAGGGTGATTGATGAGGCCGCAGCTGACAGCGAGCTCGACTTGTGGCATGGGGGGTCTTGCGATGACAGCAAGGGGTACTTTGTCCAACCCACAGTCTACCGGACAACAAATCCCAATCACAAGCTTCTATCTCAGGAGTTTTTCGGGCCTATCCTTGCGGTATATGTCTATGATGACGCAGAGGACATCGAGTCAGTGTGCAAGCTTGTGGACGAGACGTCCGGGTACGGACTTACATGTGCTGTGTTTGCCTCGGATCGCCAGTTTATTTCCTTCGCAGAGAATCGTCTCCGAGATACCTCTGGAAACTTTTACATTAACTGCAAGAGTACCGGTGCTGTGGTTGGACAGCAGCCATTTGGTGGAGGCCGTGCGAGCGGTACCAATGACAAAGCTGGAAGCATCAATATTCTCAGTCGATTTGTCAGTATGCGGTCGATCAAAGAAGAATTCAATACGGCGGAGTCAGTGGTATATCCCAGTAATGTAGTATGAAAAATGGCACTGTCAGCGGCTCCTTCTCCTCTGAAGAAACTACTTGTCTGGCTTAGGATCTTGAAAAAAAAACCCACATGCCATGGATAATTAACCACCCTTTTGATGAGTGTTACCTAACTCCGGGTGTGCTCCTACACTCACAGGCAGGCATAATGCTGGCTAGAGACTGCCCCTTTTCGGTAAATCGCCAGCCGCACTGTCACTCTGTTGCATTAGACTAGCTGAACGTTGCCCCTAACTCTCTTAATGACCTTCCTAGGCATGTTATGAAAAGGTCGACGGCCACGCTGCACTAGCAGTGGACTCGCCTGGAACAGGCGTGAATGGCCCTGGGGAGAGCCCAGTTGAAGCAGACCTATTGATCATATTCGTTAGAACGTATCTGACAGATGGAATATCTAGAAAGCTATACTTACATTGTATCGGGAAACTCCACTGGAGAGTCTGCTGGGTTCGATAATTCTGCCAACCATTCATGTGCCAAAGCTTGGGAGGAGGTCGGACGGGAGGTTGGTGAGTGCGCCATCGCTTGTTCGAGGAAGCTCATGCACGCCTCACTTACCCCTTTCTCCGAGACCAGAGCCCTAGGGAAGGGCCGTCTGGCGGTGACATATCTCGCCAGCTCAAGAGGCTCAGCAAAAACATTTTCATGCGTGAGCAGTTTAAACATTATAGCCCCCAGCGCCCACAGATCAACAGCCACAGTGTACAGACTTGAAGAGTCCGCGATCGTAGCAATATCCTCTGGGCAATAAATCCCGATGACCTCGGGAGCAATATATCCGCGGGTTCCCACGAGTGTACGGAACGCAGTAGCCTCCTCCTCGGCTCTCTTGGAAATCCCGAAATCACTGATCTTGACCCACCAATTTGGCGAGTGCTCAGAGACGAGAATGTTCTACTCTGGTCAGCTCATTTCTCATACGTTCTAATTAATTAGGCTGTTAGCTCACGGCTGGCTTTAAGTCACGGTGAGCGAAGCCATTCTCGTGCATGAAACTCAGACCCTCGAGAAGTTGGAATACAATGTCCCTCACTTCATCTTCGGGAAATGGTCTGACCAAGTGACTTTGGAGATCGCCATGTTCCAAGTACTCCATTGCGATGAAGATTGCTTCCTCGCTCTCATACCACCCAAATGACTGCACAAAGCAATGGACGTACTGCAATTTGCCAGTTAGCATACAAGTACTAGGCGTGTCCTCCAGCACTATCAGCTGATGACATACCTTCTTGTGGGAGAACTTGGCAATGGCCTCCAACTCTCGGTTGTAATCAATCTCGCTGCTCCGGCGTTGGCGCTGGAGCTTGGTTATTTCTTTGACAGCACGAAGCTTCCCAATGTCATCTCCGGTGGCGCACTTCCCTAGCCACACTCGCCCAAAGGCACCGCTCCCCAGCTCACTCTGCCTTTCCCAAATTTCTTCCTTACGAATACGGCGCCGGCGCATGCGGGGATTCGTTGCGTATGAAATATGGCGAACGACTTGGCCATTAGGGGCAAAGGCTGTCTCAAGCTTCGAGTCGCGCACGAGATCAGGAATAGTCCTGCTACTGCTGATGCTGCTTAGATCCGAATTCGGCGTCTGTTGTCGTTGTATTCTTAGCTTTGGAGAGGGGGTCTGATGTCTATCGTCCGGATGCCCTAATAACTCCATCTGCCGGTGTTGGGGCATCTGCGTCCCTGTTGCTGTGCCCTCTCCCGTCGAAGGCGTAGGGGTTTCTCTTCCCTTGGTCAAAGTTTGTCTCCGTGAATCCTCCTCGTTGCTGTCGGGATTTTGCAGCTGCTCGGATTGTGGTGCAATATCTACAAGTTCCGAATGATCCTCTCCGGGAGTGCTTGCTGTGATGTTCCTTTCTGTTTCTTCCCTCGGCATTACAAGATTCTCCACCCTGTCGAGGGACAGCTCACCAGTTGGCTCATCACAGCCCTCTTGATCCCCCGAGCTGACTTCTTGTTGTCGTTGGATTTGCGTCTCTCGTTTATGCTGCGCTTCCACAGGCTGTCGTTGTTCTTCAGCTTCGGCCTCAGCCGCAGCTTCAAGGACTCGTCTTTCTTCCTCTTCCAAATCTCGTCGTCGTTCTTCAGCTGCCTCTTCTAAAATTCGTCGTTGTTCTTCAGCTGCCTCTTCAACCTGTCGTCTCTCCTCAGCTGCGGCTTCGGTCCATCTTCGTGCTTCAGCTGCAGCTTCGGTCCATCGTCGTGCTTCAGCTACAGCTTTATCAACTTGTTCTTCATCCTCTTCCATATCTCGTGGTAGTTTAACCTTGGCCTTAGCTGCGTCTGCTTCCTGTGGCTCTTGTTCAGCAACTCGTGGCCGCTTGACTTCATGTGCCCTCAATAATGCTCCATCCCGATCGTTCAGTGCTGCCTCGCTTTCAAGATTCCCATCCCGCACGGGAATATCGCTCCATGTATTCTTCGCGAGGCTTGGGTCTACATGTTTCATCTCCCCTTCTACTTCCAAATCTTCACCTTGTGTGCCCTTTATCGTAGTCTGCAATTCCATAAGCTCGGTGATTTCAGTCTCTTGTTCGTTCGTTCGGTGAGTTTCTCCGATACTGCTTCCCCGGCCCGGTGTCCAAGAAAGTCCCAATGTATGTGAACCACTCGTCTCCTCGTCGGAAATACAAGCGTGCTCCTCCTCTTCAGTCATTTCAATCAAAGCGCGTCTCACTTGGTCACCGACTTCATTGATTCTTCTCCCAAGTTCAACGTCTTTACAAATCCAATGCTGTGTTGGATCTGGCTGATCTTCCTCCTTCTGGACAATGTTCGCCACGATGAAATTGACTCGGTCTTCAACATTCTTCTTGATAGTTGGCGGCACCTTCAACGGTATAGACCTGCCCTCGCGCAGTTCATTGCCAAGATACATAGCCAAGGCATACTCTGGAAAGTAGAGCTCATTTGAAGAGGTCACATCCTCAACAGCTTGCCAAATATGTGCTACCGAGCGCGGATGGATTTTCAATCTCTGTATGGACTTTGTGGTCTTTTCTCTGGATACAACATGTGAACCTTCATCCGCAAGGAAATCAAACCTGGTCTTATATCTCAGTTCCTGTGGAGCAGTAAGAAACGTCAGGTTTGGTTCTTCTCTTGGCACTTCAAGAAGAGTCTGTGTTGGTGCAACCGTTCCTGGCCCAGATGGTTTCGAGACGTAAAGCATCTTGAAATTCTCTGAGGGTCCGGAGCCTGGTTTACGCGCGAAGTCGGCAAATTGCGCTGCTATCTTCCTCATCGCCACTGCGAGATCGAGATGGGTTCGTCGAAATTGCAAGTCCCGTTTCTCCACCTCGTTCATATCACCCATAATATTGTCCCTATTCCTTGCTTCAATCTCGTTGATTTGCACCTCCCACTCGTCCACATAATCGAATCTTTCATTCGCTGATTCGCTGAAAAGACGAGAAGAGGTGAGTCCCAACGCATCGTCGGCAAAAACGCACGCACCTCCAAAGTTGGCGAGGTTTGCAAAAAAGCGTGATAGGCCTCGCATTTCCTTCATAGCTTTCTCCAGTATTGAGCCACCCAGTCCGTGGAGCTCCTCTGATGGATCTCCCTCAATGTCTTGAAAGTATTTAGCAAGTTCTTTTCGACATCGTCTCATATTGTAGGTGCCGTGCTTGGAAATTTCGGTCATATATATATTCCATAGCCCTGCGTCGCGCTCTGTGGAGAACAATAATTTGTCCCCGTTCGTCTGGAGAAATTCTATGATTGATTCACATGCTAGCAGCATATGAATGGCCTGTAGGGTTAACTTTGCCACCATTTTGTGGTGCATTTCTCTGGATCTGTCTGTGGTGAAGTCTCGAGGCGTTGAACGTCCCCCGTTGTCCGCAGCAGGAAACCCAACGGCATTGTCCATCCCGCCCTGATTTTGCCAGCGTCCGTCCCAAATTGCAGATGTTGACTTGCTGGGAAGCTCTGGGCTGAGAGGTGCAGTTGAACCAGAAAAGCTTCCCGAAGGACTCACACGAGCCGATGACGCTGGAATTGGTGTCAGGTTTGGGAGACCTAAACTCGAGTTGGGGAGTATGTATCCCGAACCTAGGCGTGGCGGGGGCGGCCTAATGACTTTGTCAAGCCATCCATTGTACGAGGAATCTTCTCGTTCCTTGTCGAGCTGCCGATTGTCCTCAACGAGTGTCCGGATATCCCATAACTGTACTTGGAGGACTCGTTTATGGTGATAGTCACGCAAATTCCGTGCGTATTCATCGAGGATTCTTAGATTCCCAATAACTCAGGGTAAGACGTAGTCGTCGCCATAGTGAAGTAGGTAGTTAAGGAGTTGTAAGCCTTTGAATGCTCTATACCATTCATCACTTATGATGACCCTATAGACTGCTTTTAATGTTTTAAGCGTCTTGTCCGATCTATTTGAGCAAAAATTGAATTAGGGCGTGGTTAAACTCAAGCGAGGTGTCAAAATATTTCGCGTGCCACTCACCCAGAACCGGTCAACTGGACGACCTGACTGAAGCTGGAGAGGTCATTGTTGACTTGGTTGCCTGAGGTAGCCTCAAGGACTTTGGCTTGTATCTCATCATCTTCGAGCCCGAGACCAAGTATCTTCTTCCATTTCTTGGTCGGGAGGGACAGAAATGAATCGCGCTTCCCTGACATTACGCGAGGCAGCCAGCCCGAATCCGACAAGAGTTATAGTCTCGCCACCTAAAATTTGGCAGGGCGAATTGCGTACGCTATGGCAAACAAGATCACGGTTGAGTAAGTAGTGCCATGGGACCTTATCATTAAAGTCAAACAAAAAGGCGTTAGATGGGAAGCTTGAGTGAGATTGAGAAAATATCGTGGTAGCTGATGAGTGTGGGGAGCTGAGTAGGACTTCGGCGGCTGCAGCAAGAAGTGGCCCACCCAAATAGCAGCTTGGACCTATCACATGAGCTGGTGAGTCTTACATCCCAGCTCAGCTCCTACGTTATTCTTGGCCTCCCAGGCAGAATGCTGACGGGACGTTAGTGATCCCTCAAAACAAATACCCTATACCAACCTATGGTGCCAATCGAACATCTTCCAATATGCCCTGCCTATGATTCTCTGCCCTGTTTTTCAACTCAGCGATGAATATAATTAGTATAATTGTCATTGATTATTCGTATGACTTAGATTAAAAGGTGGCAGAAACTGATTGCCGAGCTGGTTGTATTCCAAGACAAGGTTAGAAAATGTGTAAAAACGCCAGCTTGGCGGCGTTTGGTCACCACAGGACGTGATAATCATTGAAGGGCTGGCAAGAAAAGAAACATCAACGCCTACTCCCGTCATTAGCAGTTTGTCTTCCCTACAAATATGGTTAGGCAAAGCAACGTGAATACTCATAAAAAAAAGTCCACTATTTGCACATCACACTTTATGAGGAGTTGATTGGCTAGTTGGGCGAAAAAAAATGGACGAACAGGGAATCGAACCCTGGACCACTCCCATGGTGTCGCGAGCTTTCGCCCGATTTAGTCGCGAGCCTTCGCCCGTGCTAAGGGAGTATTATACCACTAAACCATTCGCCCTAATTAAAGGATGAACATCAACGTCCTTATTTCTCTATACAATTCCTTGCCAAGTGGCTTGAATATTCGAGATGGATTTGTCGGATACGTCGCGCGAGGAATGTCTTCAATGGGCATCCTCATGAGACTCGTGCCGGATTGCGTGAAAGAACACCCTCCATGACACGAAAACAGCAATAGACCACTGAGCGGCGAGTACAACACGTCCCCTGTCATATGCTTGCTCAGCCGCAGTGGAGCAGGAGTGTCAGCATCGCCACAAAGTGCTGGGCGCGATCTCATGCACACCTTCCATAACCCCTATCCATGCCTCCTCCCGTTGGCATCCGCGGGCTGTTATGGGGGCGTTTTTCTCCAAGATATGGTCTGTCGTTTCGAGATGCGGAGCGAGAAGCCCCTTCGCATATCCTGATGCTCTTGGCCGGGACAGTATCCGACTCGTCCAATTCATCAGGCCAAAGTGGTACTTCTTCGGTCTCCAGAGTCCCAGACTTGTGCTCTCAGCTTATCCCATACACGACTTGCCCAAGTTTGTTGCTCTTTCCTACACTTGGGGTCATCCCCATAATCAGAGTTCCGGCGTGATCAAGGCATATCAGCAGCACTTCCCCATCTACGTCAATAACCAGCAATTTCACGTCCTCAAAAACCTGAAAGAGGCTCTGTCTAGCCTGCTATGGTTTTGGGAGTTTAATGATGATGTCCAGCATTTATGGATTGATGCGATTTGTATCAACCAAGATGACATCGCTGAACGAGCTGCTCAGGTGAGCATTATGGACCAAATATTCATGCGAGCACAAACCACGGCAGTTTGGCTTGGACAATCCAACCCAGGCAGTTGGGAAACCCTTGGATTCTTCGACAAGATGCTGAAGGTGCCAGCAGCAGATCTGATGCCTTATTATAAAAACTTCCCCAATGGACCTCCACCGCCACCTGAGTTCTGGGAACGTCATGGTCTGCCAAGAATTGACGATGCCAAGGCGTGGAAACCATTGACGCAGTTCTTCGAGCATCGGTGGTTCAACAGAGTCTGGATCATACAAGAAGTCACTCTGTCTACGAAAAAGGTTGTCTTATTCTGGGGACATAATGCCTTACCATGGGTTGACCTTGGGCATATTTCTTTCGTTGGTCAGGTCGCCAAGGTTGGCAAACTTAACTCCATGACCGCTGCGGGACATCATGACCCTCTTAATCAAGATGAGAGTCTGGAAAGGGATTGGGCTGTTTCCGGTCCTTTTACGAATGCCTTTCAACTATATCATAGCCGACAAAGATACCTCGAAAGATCTCAAGGGAGTTCCGACGATACGCTGCTTCACGAGATGAAATCTCTTACTGGGGCAAAAGTCCCAAGTGCCTCATCCTGGCTGATGTATTTCTGCATGGTCAATCGATGGACGGATGCTTCAGATCCGAGAGACAAAGTATTCGGCCAACTTGGACTAGTGAATCATATTGTCGAGCAAGATGGTCTTGAACCAAACAAGATCCAGGCTGAGTATTCATCGCATGTCACACCGCATCAGGTGTACCAGCAACTCATGAGTCAAGTCACGGAAGAGACAGATAGCCTGGCCGTATTGATGGCTCTGAACGACCCTGCGCAAGACGGCAACCATCATCTCCCGTCTTGGGTTCCAGACTTTTCAAGACGTCGCGGTCTCGACCTTATGGCATTAATTCGACCGCAATTTGATGTTTGCAGGTCGGGTTCAGAATCAGACCAAAGCGGGAGGAGAAGACTCAAGGTTTCTGGTTCGACCTTGTACGCTGAATCGTTCAAGATTGGACATGTAAAAGCTCTCAGCGCCTCACTTGCCGACCTCATTGGGCCGCGATGGTATAGCTGGACTCAAGACCTTTTATTGTTGGACCCGATGTACTCATGGACTGGGGAGTCCCGCGTTGAAGCGTTTTGGAGAACTCTTTTGATGAATTCCGTCGGCCGAAACTATCCAGCCCAGTGGCCTGATTCACAAAACGGTGATATGTTTCGCGCCTACATTCTACAGAACATCGCGCAGCATTTCCCCGGAGGTGGCGATGCGCTGGACAGGTATCTTCAAGACCTTCAGGGGATCAACGAGCTCGCCAAGTCTGATTCCTCAGGACATATGCCTTCGTTCACGGGCCTAGAAAATCTAACATCACAAATTCTGAACAATAACTTGAGTAACCCGGAGGCATTCACAGAAGAGTTGATGGCCAACAAGTTGGCCGAGTGTAGGGATAATGCCTCTAGATTCCTCATGGGGATGGACGGAAGTATGCTGAACAGAAAAATCGCCATCAGCAGCCAGGGGCATATTTGTAACGTTCCAATGCAGGTTGAGATCTCGGATATGATTGCGATCGTGAATGGTTGTCCATGTCCCCTTATTTTGAGACCGCGCGGGGACACTTTTACTCTGGTTGGAACGGCATATGTTCACGGAATAATGTATGGGGAAGCTATGGATAGTGCTATCAATTGGGAGGAGATATGCATAGTTTAAACAGCCTCATGCCATCATGCTACTGACATTTCTTGAACTAAAGCCCATGAAGTCATTAACCGCAGCCTCACAATTTAGCTACGCAGCTGAAAAATAATAAATAATAGCGTCGATCTAGCAGAAGACGAACCTTGTAGCTAGAAGTGCTAGAAGTATGGAAGACTGGGCAGTGCTGAAAGTCGGTCATGCTCCAGTCCTTGGCGAGCTACCAAAAGTTGATACGGGCGATGGCGTACGCTCGGCGCAAACAATATGAAACAAGGACCGAGGCCGGGATCGTAGCTGGGTCTCGGTCTCAACTAGCACCGGGGCCGAGGTGAAAGCAAACAACAAAGATCAAGTTATCACCGCGAGGAGTATATATGCCCACGGTAGTCAGTAGTGCAATCTCAAACTCATCTTCATCATCAATCCTTCCGACCCTATATCCTGTACAAGCCGATCAACTTTGCTGAAAGTCGCCATGAAACACCATACTCTTATTGAAGGGGCGACTGTGATTGTATATGATGAAGATATTGACTCTTTCAAGTCACTGCCCAACACGTCTGTCCTGATTGCTGGCGACACCATCGCAGCCATCTTTCCAACCGGCAAAGACCAAAGCATCCCCGATGATGCAGAGGTAATCGATGCTATGGGAAAGATTATTTCTCCTGGTTTTGTTGATACTCATCACCACGGCTGGCAAACTGCCTATAGAACCATCGCAGCTGACAGCCACATCGCCGAATTCTTCGTCCGGTATGGGTGGGCGGGGACCAGCTATGACAACTTTGATCCTGAAGATGTGTATTTGGGTCACTTGATTAGCCAGTACGAGATGTTGGACGCAGGAACAACATCGGTGTTGGAACATGCTCTGGCATCCTTCAATCAAGAAACGGCCGATGCATATCTTGCTGGAAGCCTCGAAACTGGTCTGAGAACCTGGTTTGCGTTTGCTATCCAGGACTATTCCCGTTCTCGCAAAGACTTCCCTGGGACACTTGAGCAAATCAACATGTTTCATCAACTCTGCAAGGAACCGAAACTGGCTAATTCTAATGTCTATCTTGGGATTGGCTATGACGGCTGGCGCTTTGATTCCGAGACCACTGACGCAGTGGTCAAGCTTATCAAGTGAGTTTCAAGCTCGCCATTGTATGAGGCACCGGACATTGATTTACTTGGAATACTTAGGTCGGGCGATGCCGCTGTCGTGACGAGCCACTTCTCCGGGCCGTATTACACAATGAGCAGTCTAGGAAGGTTGGACAACTTGGGGGCATTCGATAATTCCGAAATCCCATTCGTGCTTTCCCACGCATCATTCGACGTTTTCGATGAAACACAGCTCATGCGAAAGAAAAACGTGTACGTTTCCACGACGCCTTTGTCCGAGCAGCTGTGGGGAACCGACCTCACCCCGACAGCATACAACCTCGACCAGACCGCCCTGGGCGTAGATAACCCGTGGTCCTGTGCCGCAGACATGCCTGGCCAAGCTCGTCTCTACCTCCATCGCGTGCGTGAGCAATTCTTCAGTCAAGTCACGCATAATCGCCGACTTCCCAGCACGACTCCCATGACGGTCGAGCAGGCGTTCCACCTCATGACTCGCTCCGGAGGTCTTGCGTTTCGCCGGGATGACATTGGTATACTACGCGTAGGGGCAAAAGAAGACTTGCTCGTCATCAACGGCGACTCGTACAACATGCTTGGTTGGAGTGATCCCATCGCGGCCATTGTCATGCATTCGCACCCTAGCGATATCGAGGCTGTCATGGTAGGTGGGAAATGGAGGAAGCGCCATGGCAAGCTCACGCTTCCTGATGGCGCGACTAACATCGACCAAATCAAGGCTCGGTTCCTCGAGTCCGCCAGGAAGCTTCAGGGCAAAATTTTGAGCAAGCCGCGCCCGAATTTCGAGGGAAGTTTTATGCCAGGAATGGAGTATGAGGCGCCGTACCAGGTTTCCTTAGGTAAGAGGAAGTAGACAGTGAGATATCATCATTACGACGATTAGCTACGCCAAGACGGTCGTAAACTTGAACTTGCGGCGGGTTACAACTCAGGCTGCCCTATATCTTATGCTTCTGAGATATTCATACAATTACAATCTTCCCCTGTATTCACATTTTGTTGGCATGCAAATGCTAAGGAAGTAGGCTTGACCTGCACCCTAAACCTCAGCACCAAACCTCCCAACCTACGCTTTGCGTAACAGCAAGCCGGCGATGGCTTTGTCCGTGATGACCGATGCCCCGGACCCCTTCAAGCTAGAGATACGATACGGTCAAGATCATCATCCGCCAAGCCCATGCATTGACACGAGCGTGCACTATCTCAAAGGCCAACAATTCGTTCACATGCTCCGTGTTTGTTGTTCACGTTGCTTGCCCATCAATGCCGACATTGTGGGCTTTCTTTATCGCGCGGCTTCCGCGCCCAGCCTCCATTGCCCAGGCATGGAAGGTCTTAATAATAATAGCCGGATACGCCGTCACAGATCAGCACTGACTGCCTAAGATCGGCACATCACACGCTGTCCCTATTTATATCTAGTGGCCAGCTCGCCCCAGGGCTCATCTCCCATGGCCCCATCAAGAGGCATTGATAACCAAAGAACCACCCATTTAGCACTAGGCGTATAGCTGCTTCTTTCAAATAGAGTAGGAGCGGTGATGCGGTGGCGCTGCCCCTGTCTATCTAGTCCGTATTTGACAGCTGGCTGACACTCCGCCATGTTAAAGGACCACAAGTGACTATCCACATTCTCCACGGCACAGAAGATGAAACAGTGGGAAACTCCACGCCACGATGGGCTCTGTGGTATAAAGAAAACGATCAATTCCACTGGCGATGTTGGCCGTTTCCCATCTCGAATCTCTATCTGTCGGCTTCGTGAAGTGAAGGGAATACAGTTCGCTCATTCGTCAAATAACCATCGACAAAATGCGCTCCTCAGCTCTTCTCAGTCTCCTGCCCCTGGCTGCGGCCACCCCCTTTAAGCGGGCCCCGCTGCTGACTCGGGACAACGCTGAAGAGGGCAAATACATCATCGTCATGAACCAGGGAGCCCAAACCTCTTCCATCAGCTCGGTAGTCCAGTCCATCAGCGCCGAGGCCGACCACGTCTACAACACAATCGGCGGTTTTGCTGCCTCTCTGACTGAGAAGGAGGTTGAGACGCTCCGCAACGACCCCAACGTCCGTATTTCCTGCTTTCCGAGTCATGTTGGCTCCTCGGCTTACTGATATCCTTTGAACAGGTTGCCTATATCCAGCAGAACGGAAAGGCCAGCATCTTTGCCACGCAGCAGAATGCTCCGTGGGGTCTGGCTCGCCTCTCCAACCGCCAGCCAGGTTCCACGACCTACACCTACAATGAGAACGCTGGTGACGGTGTCTGCGTGTACGTGGTTGACACGGGTATCGACATCAAGCACCCTGTATGTTACCCCCCCAGAATCAGTTATGCGCCGCTGTCTTCTAATAATGATGGTCATTAGGAGTTCGAAGGTCGTGCTACTTGGGTAGCCGCCGTGAACGGCGACATCAACGAGGATGACCACGGTCATGGAACTCACTGCGCAGGCACAGTTGGTGGAAAGACTTTTGGTGTTTCCAAGAAGTCCAAGCTGTTCGCCATCAAGGCCTTCGATGCTTCCGGCGATGGCTCTGAGTAAGTGACTGATTAACTGCCCTACACACAAGGCTTTCACCCTGACCAACGATTCAATTAGTGCTTCCATGATTGCTGGTATGGAAAAGGTCATTGAGGACGCCCCCACCCGAGACTGCCCCAACGGCGTTGTTGTCAGCATGTCCTTCGGCGGTGACAAGTCCGAGGCTGTCAACGCCGCCGGCAAGGCTCTGGTTGACGCCGGCTTCTTCGGTGCCGTCGCTGCTGGAAACGGAGACTTCCTTGGCCGACCCCTCGACGCCGGCACTGTTTCTCCCGCCTCGGAGGAGTCTCTTTGCACGGTTGGTGCGACCGACAAGAACGATAAGACTGCCTACTTCACCAACTACGGCAAGGTCGTTGACATCTTCGGCCCCGGCGTTGATGTCCTCAGCGCCAAGCCCGGCAACGGCAGCCAGACTATGAGCGGCACTTCTATGGCCACGCCTCACATTGCTGGTCTCGGTGCCTACTTCCTGAGCCAGGGCACGCCCGCCAAGGGTCTTTGCGAGCACTTGCAGAGTATTTCTCTCAAGGGTGTGATCAGTGCTGTCCACAACAGCACTGTGAACTATCTTGCCCAGAACGGTGAGGCTGCTTAAGTATAATAGAGTTTGGTTCTTGGGAATAGAAGCCTTGATGACTGTATTTCTATTACTTGGGCTGGGCTAGACACGGCGTAAAGGAACGACTTGCTTGTTAATTTCTTTCTGGTTCATACTAGGCTTCCTCCCATCTATGTAACAAACCTATTCTCAGACGGCAGACAGGCTTTGGGATCGGTCAAACCTAGACCACCACCACAATCAATGTAATTGAAACTATGAATCTCAAAGTAATGGTATCTTATACAAAGAAGTTAAAGAATTCGCGAGCGTGAGATCGGCTGCGTAATTTCTGGAACGATCATTGGTCATCCTCGTAAAAGAATTGGTGAGCGTCTTCAAAAGCACCATATATCTCTGCAACTATACCAGTCCCATCGCGTGCGTACACCGGGTTGTGCGACGCACCCTCAGTCACATGAAGCTTGACCCGGTTACCCTCTACTTCAGACATTTCCTGTGCAAAGTCTCGGGTTGATTCATACAGGCCCTCAGCGTCGCCCGTATGAACAAAGAGTGATGCCTTTGTTTTGAAGGCATGGTGCAAAGGGCACAAGTAAGGGATCACCTCTTTGGATAATGGAACGGGGAAGTAGGCCTCGATTCCCCATTGCAGAAGCTTGGTCGGTAGAAGATCTGCGCTGGCGTTCGTCGCCTGGTCATATTCTTCTTTGACCTTCACAGACGGGTTGGTCCACGGTGACCACAGCATAATGCCCTTCGGCGAAGGAAGGACAGATGTTTCCTCGAGGTAGCGGACGAAACCGGTCAGAATATTGGCACCAGCTGAGTCACCGGATAACAAAATGTTGCTTGGATCATACCCCAAACTCAGAACATGGTGATAAAAGGTCACCAAATCTTGCATGGGTGCTGGAAATCTGGTGCTCTCATCTTCAGCGACGCGGTATTGTGCAAAGAAGAAGCGGTCTGCCTTGAGTTTCTCCAATACCGGTTTGCTGAAGTTTTGTCCGTTAACATCAGCACCGAAAGCCATGACGAAGGCACCTCCAGGAAAATGCACCACGATTTTCTCTCGCTTGACATCGCTAGTTGATGACGGTGGACCTGGATACCACAAGCCACCAACAGAAGCAGGGTTTGCGGTAGGCTGGGCTGTCAAAACACCGGTATAGTGCTCGATTTCAGCGGGCTGAGCCTGGGTACACCGCTCCTTTATCTTTTCATGGTCGGATTTGACGGAGCTCATGCCGCTGGAGCGAGTTTGAGCTGCAAACAGGAGCCATTCGCGGACCAAAGAGTTTATAAGAGTGATCTTGAAGCTCAGTCTGCCTAGAGGCCGGAATGGTTTGAATGCGAAACGAGTGCCAAGAAGCAACATTAATGGTACTTTGACCATCAGTATAGCGACATATATGGCCTTGAAGGGCTGCTTCGACCACACAGGAGCCATTGTGTTTTCCGGATTTTGTGCAAAATAGTCAATTATTAGGTGGATTGAAACAGCGGTAGTGAGATAGATGTGCTTCACCCTGATGAGATGGGGTGAAGGATTGAAAAATCATTTAGGACCGTCATGTTGATTTAAGTATATCCATGATCGATCTAGTGCTCGCATAAGCATAAGCAACCACCCTTGCAAGCCGCGTGTTCCAAGATTGAGATTGTGAGTGGATTATTAGGGTTTAACGGAGTATGTTATCCGTTCTCCATGTCTTACGCCCAACAAGGATCCCTCGAGTAGCTGAACCAACAAACTGAAGCAATCGCAATGGGTAATGGCTTCATGCAACTGGCAATATGGAACTCTCGAAAGATCATAGTCTGGGCTTCTCTATTGGGTTCTTACATGCTCATGGATCATGGAAATATCGCGATAAATCCTACGGCAATTGAAGTTCTACTTTCTATATGTCCGTTATGAATCTGTTTTCGCCATACAACAGGCCACGGCGATGAGCCATTTCAGCATATAAACATCCCATTCACCCTGGTGCTTTCTGTTCTTGTCTTGTGAATGTGGGCTACTTCCACTTGTTTGTGTTCAGTAAAACCATGATTTAGCATGTTGGTAGAAACCATGATTGATTCTTACTAGAGGATAGTTCTATTTTGATGTCGCGATGTAGCCTGCTTGAATCATCGCTTTGAGAAACGAGACGACAGAGCGAATAGCTACGGGTGTGATGCTGCCCTCACTATCAAAATAAGGATCATACGAGGCAACAGTCAAAGACAGTGGTTGAGTCCGGCTAGGGATATCCGTCAGACAACCCACGAGATCCTCCTCTAGAAGCCCACCTGGGGCAGAGAATTTATTCACCCGCCCAACAGATACATCCAGACTATCCAGGTCCAGATGAATCATTGAGGACGCCAAATCTTTCTCCATCATGACTGATCGAAGCTCGCTTTGAAAGTCCACCTTGTTCTGTGCGTCGCCCCAGATGACTGTAAATCCGGCTTCCATCACCCGCGATCTCTCCAACTCGGTTACATCCCTCATTCCGCAGTGAACAAAGTTCTTAACCAGGTCCATCGGAGTAAATCCTGGGATACTCTTTAGCAACGTTTTCCAGCACAGATCACCCAGCATAGCGACCGGCATGGAATCGAAATAGCCACTAGACAGTGCATCGGGCGTGTTGAAGTCGTCGTGAGCATCGAACCACACGCATCCGTGACCCTTCTTGGAAGCAGCGGAAAGCCCAGCAGATACTCCAACGGCTGAGGTGCAATTACCCGCGAGCACAATAGGGAATGATTCGCTATCGACGGCTTTTGTCACAGCTTTGGAGGTTAGACGAAGAAGCTCAAAACTTCTGCCGATTTCTCCCTCAAAGCTGTCGACGTGTGGCAGAGTGACCTCGTGGACGTTGACAACTTGGTTTCGTATCTTGTCAATCAGTCCGCCGTTGAGTAAAGCGAGTGGGCCGTTTCCGACCGCCTGGGCGTATGCTCCAACATGATAGGGGGAGCTTATGACGGTGATTGATTTAGCTGGCGACATCTTGTTGTTGGTTGCAAAAGTCCTTGACACGTTGAAATGGCTCCCGAGTGGGAGAAGCCGAGAGGTCCTACTAAAAGCTGTAGAGAGACTAGCGTTTCGAAAGCAGGAGTTTGCTAGTTGAAGCATTGAGAGGTAGAAAGAAAAGCTTCCAAATAAATAATTTGGCGAGAAAAGAACTCACATTCATGGTTACATAGCTCTCGTAAATCTCGGGTTCAGCTATTCCTCTAAAGTTGAGTCATAGCGAGTGACTAACCTCTAAAGTTGATTGCAGCCGAGATAAACGAGATGACTTATCCGGAACTTTAGAGAGGGTTGGCCCCACGTTTCGCCCTGGCATTGATTTGATTGCAAAGGGCGTGGTTGATTACTTTACTGGGTCTTGAATAATTCTGAGGAGAAACAATTGAAGGTGGCACGTCCTGATTCTCGTGGCCATCATAAATATCATAAGTTCACACTACTGCTCGAAGGCTCTGGGTGTCATGAAGCAAAGATTTGGCAATGGCACCAATTTTAGTTATCGAAAGACAGTTATATCTCAATTAGTCAACATCTAGTATATTCTGTATACTTGATACTCATCACCAGCTACGACTGGCAAAATGTTGAACTTGGCAAACGAGTCAACCGTCTCTGGTTCAAGAGTATTAAATGCAATCACAGCATTCTTCTGTCGTGTGCTAACGACATATCCTCCAGCTGGGATCTCCACCTCCTTCTCAAACGACTCCGTCGTCACAGTGGTCATCGCAATGCCCTCGTACTTGGTGGTGGCGAGCGTCGCAGTCGTGATGTTGAGTGCCGAGACGGTGCCCTTGAAGTTGGTCTTCAGCTCCTCAACGACGACACCCGAGTCTCTCAGAAGCTCTGCGGCCAAGCGCCACGCTCTTGGGAAGATGTATGCCTCAGGGCGGGGGCGGGTGAGGTTAGCCACCATGGGAGTGCAGTTCATCAGCGTAACGGGCACGTCGACAATCTTGCCAGTGTCGCGCTCAATGTATGGCCAGGTGATGTTCGTCTCTCTCGCGTAATCAGTGATGATAATATCCTTGTCGCTTGAGATGAACTCAGCTCGAGCATTCTCAATCGTATTGAATACACTCTCGTAATTATCAGAAGCAGCCTGTAGGAGGGCCTCAACCATAGTCAGCTGTGACACCAACCGACGCTTCCAGTGTTGGTCGCCGAGTCTGATTCCGCGCGTCTCAAGCGTAAACACAACAGCTTGGTTCAATCCGATGGACACATCGCCGTATTTGGCATCACTTGTCGTCTCCTCGAGAACAATGTCGTCAGTGCCAGAGTTGCCCGTAATGTAGGCGCTCCACCGCAAGCCGTTTCTCTCCAAAGCAGCGGCCATGCTATCGGCGAAGAGCCCCTCCTGAAGTTTCAGGATATCTTCATGGACGTTGAGGTTCTTCACCCCGCAGAACTGACCATCTTGTGAAGGAAGCCACTGTGCATTGGCTCCTACTCCGCGCGGCGCAGTATATTCATGGCAGTCAGCTGCCAGATGAGGCGCGAATTCCATGACCAGCTTCTTGATATCGCGAGTCTGCTGGCTTGTCATCTTGGTGTGATCCCGGTTAGGGTCGAGATTGCTGGCAAGCTGTCTCTGGAAATAGGCCACGCCGTCGGGGTTGTAGCGCGGGAGAATCAGAATGTCGATGTTCTCGAGAATGGATGCGGCCCATGTCTGGTTGGCATCCATTTTGCCGATCAGAGCCAAAAGACCCTCGTCACCCGCGGGCTCATTGCCGTGCACACCACCTTGCAAAAGTACTCGGATCTTCTGTGTGGAGTTTGTGAAGCTGGAGAAGCTTCCTGGTGAGCGCAGGTCGGTGATGATGCTCTCCTGGCTTGTGCTTGTTGAGAGATAGACGTAGGGGAGGGTGCGGCCCTCTTCAGACCGAATGGAAGGGTTGTGATAGGTGATCCAGTCGTTGCGAGCTGCCAGGGCTTGGAGGTAGCTCTCCATCTTGTATTGGCTTGTAGGTCCGCTGGTTCCATTGGCAAAACCACCGGGCACAGTCTCGGGGTCATTGAAAGATGGAGAAAAGATGTCGATTCCAGTGGGTTCTGGGAAATTGGCGGCGACATGAGGCTCATCCTGTGTCAATCCAGCTTGGTTGTTCTGGTAGACAAAAGAGTTTCCTAGACCAGCCAAGCTTAGCAGGCTAACGAATAACAGATTTGACCAAGCCATGGCTTCCTGTTCTTGGCTGTTTTTTCTTGATTAACCGGACAGGCCGAGGGATGACGGTCTGCGGTGGCGTGGTACTTTATACCCAGCAACAAAGTGGGACACGATGATCTCTTCTTGTAGCACTCAACCATCTCCCACCTCTGACCGATACCGGTGATAAGAAGGAGGCCCGAAGCCATGGTTTTTATCAACAATACACGTCTTAGACTCGTCATTTAAGGTTAATATAGCCCCGGAATGGGGAGACTTTTAGTTGGCGCCGTAGAAAAAGGAAGGTCAAGAATCGCCAACCCTGTCACCCCGCTTCTTGTATCCTCTTTTTCTCCTCTTTGCTAGTCGGTTTTTATCTCTCTCTAGTATTTCTCGCTGAGGGTTGCCATGGCGGTCGGCTATGAATGTCTCAAGCAAGGAGTATGATCGGAGGTTCCCCGAGTGGCAGGCAGCCACCCAGTCCCAGGCCTGATTAAACGCTTGCGCCGAGTCAATTTGTCATAAAATCATGGTTGGTTAGTCACTTGACTGCTGTCTTACTGCCACCCGCCCAAAGTCCCAGGCCAATTCTACCGGTGAGACAGACCATCCTGCGCCAGAAAAAAGAAGGGCTTTCAGAAAGACAAATGTAAACTGTTTCCACGCGGTTGGACTCTTCAAGAGCTTATCGCCCCCCGTACTGCAAAGTTTTATAGTTGCATGTGGCAATTAATTGGCAACAAGATCTTAATGGCGTCTTTGCTCGCTTCTGCAGCTGATATCGACACCAAGGTCTTACTTGGAGAGACAAGACTGAGCAAGTTTCCTGTGGCAGTCAAAATGTCATGGGCGGCGAAAGGGAGACTTGACGTGTCGAAGGCGGTATTTTCGATATCAACATGTCTATGCTATACGGAGGAGAGGGCCACAAGGCATTTTACCGGCTGCAACAAATGATCCTCCAGGAAAGCCCATGACCTTTCGCTCTTTGCTTGACAGCAAGGCCCCACCTCCACTCGCCGATATAGAAGAATTTTTGCTGGTGCACCAGCTGAATTCTCTGATGCATTCAAAGATCTCGAAAAAGATATCCGTCCGAGAATACACGACACGGTTCTCACTTCCCGCGCTCGATTCAGACTATCATGGTATCCTTGCTAATATCTGATGCGACAATATACAGAGTATATGTAGTACTTAGTTTATTAAACTAACTTTACTTCTCTGCGCTCAGACCTCCAATTCTCGGTTTCAAATAGTTGGCTTTCGCTTGTAGCACCTACGCTCGAGATAGCTGCCCAACCAAGCCGTCGGTATACGTCTTGGAAAGGCTGAAGAATAATACAATTCCATGATGCATCTTGGTTACTCTCTAGGACCAAAAGTGTAAGCTGTGTTTTGTCTAGAGGTTGAAGAATCTGAGTGTCTTCGTAAAATAACCGCACGATCAAGGGCATTCCTTTGACTTGGGCTTTAAATTCCGTCTGATTAACGGATGTGAGCCCACTATAATTGCTGATGCTGAAAGTCCCACCATTGGGAAACTCCAAAACTGGACCTTCCAAGCAGATCATCGGCCGGCGTTTGAGGTCAGGGTCATGCCAATCTTGGATAGGTCTCTCCGGATGCTGTACTACCAAAGATGCACCAGATGACGGCGTATAGAAGCGGGTTCCAGACTTGTAACAAGACGATGCCCAGGACCAACTGGGTAAGTCTTGCTGCTTTGTACCCATAGTCCAATTTGGCAATGCGCTGCACCACGACAGACCTCGTGCGATATGAGATTCAAATATACCGTAATAATATCGATCGCCATACTGAGTTGCCAGTCTATCCGCTATCCCTCGAATAGCGATGAGACGGTCAGACTCAAAAGTGAAATCCCTGCTGCTATATTCATCGCAAAGATGAGCCCACAAGACTCCAAGGTCAACTCCAGTATCTTTAAGGTTAAAGATGACTCCCCGAAGCTGCTTATTCCTTTCTAACTGGTGATTGAGAAATAGAGAACTGGCTACTTCCGGTGGATGAGAAGGATCGAGCTTGAGCGGATCATAAGGGTAAAGGTCAGCAGATTTAGGGTAATCCCCATAACACTGCCAGAAAATTCCGAATTTTGACCAGTATAAGACCCGTGGGGATAGATGGTCCTCTTGAAAGCACCAACCTCGGCGTGTAAGTGCTGAAGAGTTTATCGCCTGCGATAGGGTTGCTCTAGGCGTTGGAAGGTGGAGGTATTCGCCTGTGCGACTGTTGAAACCCACCACACAGCTCTTTGCAGACTGAAGACCAAACGCACTTCTATCAAAAAAGATTCCCTGGCCGCTAGTCGTAGCTGTGAGGGCTGCTATAGTGAAAAGGGCATTCCTATAATAAGAACCCACTCGAGTGGCTTCTCTTTCCCAATCGTCAAGGTAGTTATCTTCCGAATGTCTTTGAATGATGCACAGGGCGTCAACCCAGAGAAATCGGACACCAACGCTGCGCGCTATGGCAATAGAATGGTAAATGGTAGCAGGAAGATCGGACATGTCGATCCTTTGCTGGCGGGATGTTATGTTGGCTCTTGTCGTCTTTGCAGATTCGTTATCTGCGCCCCAGCAATAACTTAGGATAAGATAGTTCATATCCGTGTACAAATGTTCGACTTTGCTCGTAGTGACTAGGCGGATTGAAGAAGAAGGGGATTCTCCCAGGTCAATCAATCGAGTTGGTATCTCGGCCATAGGCTCCCTCTGATTGCACCTGTAATGGTATCCATTGCCATTGAGGCATTCGTTCAAGCAAGGTTGGATGAAATCTCGTGCTATACTCACCAAGTCCTTATCAATAGACTTGTGAGAAAATGCTGTTAAGAGTCAACTTCTGAAATTAAAAAGCTCAATTGTCTTGACGTACATCGTGGGGGTGGTAAGGAGGCCCCAAAATCGGAGGTCTCTGCAGGTCCAAATGCCTTTGCAGAGAGCGAGAGCTCAATCTCGTACCATTTTCTTGTTTCCTCTGATCCAATTCTGATCCCTAGGGGATCTTGAATCCCAGATTTCAACTTCGGTTCAATTATCGAACGGATATAGAGATTGCGACAGAGCTCACAATCACCAGGCCCCGTGTTCTCCAGGTAACCTAGTGATTTTAGCGGATTAATGTAAAAGCCTTGTTCCTCAGTATTTGATTTGTTGCTTTCATCTTTGCAGCTCCATTCATCAAGGTTCCACGGGATTTTGCGACATCTATGACATCTCCACTCCGCCGTGTGTACGTGATAGTTCATAGCAGATACAACAAAAGTGAGGGGCAAAAGTAATTTGTGCCAAGTTTGGAAGAAGCAAAGATTTAATTGAAGGGAGATCTTGTTCGGTAAGTACAGCTGGGCATCAATGCATTTATCGCTCGCAACGAAAAGAGGACCCAGCTCCTCTTTATTGCATCAACAACACGGGATAAATGAATAAATAAATAATTGATAGCTGCCCTTGGTATCTTCATTAGTAATCACCTCCACAATGCTTTTGTCAATACCTACCCAACCGTCCAAATGGGTGGAATAAAACACGGCAAACCAAACCTCTTTCCGTGTAAGCCAGGGACCTCGTTTCTTAAGTAAGTACAATAATAAGAGAACAATAAGAGAATAATAAACTATTCTATAATACTTAGCTTAATATTTTATTCAGTACTGGAATATTTATAGTGATATTGTGTTGAAATTTAATGCTGAACTATGTCGATGTGCCATGTTTTATTCCACCCACTTGCGGTCCACAAGGGACACGGAGTTGTTGGACGGTTCATTCTGCCAATGGATTAATCAATTAATCTACCATCTACCGGTTGAACGGACCATCCTGCCGCTTCTAGCTAGCGCTGCCAAGTGCCGTCGTTGTGTGCTTCTTTGCCCGTGGGGGCCAATTACAAAAGTCCCAAGCAAAAGTCCCAAGACTATATCAACATCTCATCGTCAGCTACGTTGACTGTTTATGTTATCTAGTTAGCTTTTCGCATCACTCAATCAATATTGATGGAATCAGGACAGGTTTGAATACAATACATGAGCGTTCCTTTCAGTGCAGGCTTATTGGAGTAGTGGTTTGATGCAGGTAAGCTTGCGCATAGGCGTAGTCTCTCAGACCACGGGCATCGAGGCTCCAAGTAGGCAGCTATATAAATGACAGAAATTTAGTCCACTGAATTAGCCAGTCGTTTCACTACAGATAACAAAGAATTCTTAGCGGTGGAAGTTTTATAGGGGTTTTAGATTATAATTGTGCGAACGAACCCGAAAGAAAGATTCTGTAGGGATACATTTCGATCCCAATTCCCGTACCCCCTCTTTATCGTTTCTTGATCCGACTAACAATCTCAAAGATCTTGAAGGATTTGTTTTGCCTAGCAACTGGGCTACAGATGGAATAAGACATCGCATTGAAGGGCGACCGGTTTCTACGATGACTAGAGCATTCAACAATACAAGTTGGCGATATTAGTGTATTGCCTCATGCTTTTCATCAGCACTCGATAATAAGATCCAGGCTCGAAAGAATAACCAGCACAACGCTTGATTTAATTGAGCATAGAACCCTAAATATAACGCTAAAAATAGGCCCCTGCTTTCAAACCACGTCTCGTCAGTGACTCCGTATCTTGCTAGATAGCAAATTAGCTTCCAGCTATGGAGCAGAAGCAATTTCGTCAAGGTTATTGCTTACGCTTACTAAACGAAAGGATCACACTAATATTCCGCTTCTTACAATAATGGTTTTGCGTGTCCTTATTTCCTCCAAAAAAACAGTTTCTCAATCGCTGAAAGCAAAATGCAGTGGCTCAGGGGCTCAAAGCCCCCTCCTCTAGAGCCCGTTGAGGGCGATGTTGTGTATCCCACTCACTTCATGGACAACAAAGCAATCTTTGACAGTATGCTGCTGGCTTCAGCATGGCAGTTCAACGATGCTCTTGACCCAGACAAACTCCATGGTTCATTCTGTCGCCTCCTTGAGATTGGCGACTGGAGGAAGTTGGGCGGGCGCTTCAGGCGACCTCCTGGGCAGAGGTCTTGGGAGCTTCACGTACCAGCCGAGTTCACGCCAGAACGGCCGGCAGTAGTCTATACGCACGAGGTGTTCAATGTGAAGGTCCAGGAGCATCCATTGGCCCGCCAAATCCCCAGACCTACCACCGGAGGCCCAGCATTTCATCCATCCCCGGTGATGCTGCGGCCGCTCATGGTCAGGCCAGGGGCTGCCGAGACGATGGAGGAATTCCTCAGCACAGACGATCCGGCCCTGGCCCTCCATATTGCATCCTTCCAAGATGGCACCATAGTCAGTCTGACCTGGCCACATTGTCTCATGGACATGATGGGTCTCAAAAGCCTGGTTGAGGCATGGTCCCTAGTCTTGGCAGGACGAGAAGCCGAACTTCCTGTTCTCGCCGGCGCGCGTGAGGACCTCTTGTATGAGAGTACAAACTTGGATCTTGCCAAGAAAGAGACATCTGTTCTTGATCAGGATCGCCTCGATGGGTTTCGCATCATCTTCTTCGCGCTGTGTCTCTTGTGGGATATAATTTGGAATCGAATCGAGGCCCGGATCCTGTACTTGCCGAAAAAGACTGTGGAAAATTTGAGGTCTAAAGCTCTTCTCGATATCCCCGCGGATTCAACACCTGGTGCAGAAAAGCCGTGGATTAGCGAAAGCGATGCGCTGCTTGCCACTTGGGCCAAGGCTTTGGCTCACTCTCAGTCAAGTCCTCGACCAATCATCGCGATGAACCCTTTCGACATGCGTGGACGAGCTCCTGGGTTCAGCAACTCAGGCCAGGAAGTGTACATCCAGAATGTTGTGACAGAGAGCTTCACAACTCTCCCCCCTAACATTCTCTCTTCTTCCATTGGGCAGATTGCATTGTCATGCAGGAGGTGCTTGCAGGAGCAGATAGCGCCGGCGCAAATACTCGCATTGCTACGGAGCCTCCGTCAACTTTGGGATTCTGGCAAGGACGTTCAAATTCTCTGTGGGCCGGCTAATGCTACCCTCCTGGTTACGACCAACTGGGCCAGGGGCAATCTCTTCCACATTGCTGATTTTGGGCCGGCCGTGGTAAAACAGGGGGAAGATGAGAGTGAGAGGACCAACCCAGTAGGGACATCTCGTTTCTTTGTCACCATTCCACTCAAGCTCAGTCCGACAGCGAGAAACTCGATGACTCAACTTGGAAAAGATCATGACGGAAATACCTGGGTAATGGGCCTATTCAATCTTCGAACCTGGAAGGCTATTGAAACTTTGATTGACGGGTATTCTTAAGAAACTGTTCTGGTTTTGTCTTAAGCCTTCGCTTGCTGATAGTTCGTATTCTTTCAAAAGACCGTAGAGAACCTTTCTAGCCGGACTTATATATGAAAACATACATTTGACCACCTCGAGCGATCAAGATTAGTCACTCTATCATTGAACGTCTACATATTCTTCTCGAAAATCTTTAAAACCTCAAGATTTCCATACGCCGCAGCCATGTCAAGCGGTGTCTGCTGCGCGTCGTCCTCCAAGCTAGCATCCAACCCACAATCCAGCAACTCCTTGAAAAGCTCGGCTTCGCCACTTGCAGCAGCATGCAGAAGCCCCCTTCCCTTGTTGTCTGTGGCGAACAAGTCCGCGCCTAGTCTTTTGAACATTGGAATGACCTTTGGTGGGTATTTAAACCCCTCTATCCGATCCGGAAGAGTGTCTTTGCAGCAAAATAGAAACAACGGGGTTTCTCCCTGCTCATTCCGCCCATTCACATCCATTCCCCGTTGCACCATCTTTTCGAACAGTTCACGCTCATCCTTTGTGCGAAGCCCGGCAGCAAGAAGGTGAAGAATACTGTTGCCATGTTTGTGGGTGGCCAAGTAGTCAGCTCCAGCAGATATGAGCATTTCAGCAGGTATAGGTTTATCTCGACGGTGGTGATGAATTGATCTCTCAACCATGCGCATTACGGCGAGGTGGAGAGGGGTGCTGCCAGAATTATCCTTCTGGTTCATGAGCTGCGGTGCCCTTCGGACGCTTTCAATTAGCGATATCTGGAAATCCCTCGGATCCTTGTATCCCATGATATCGCCGCGGCCGATCATCAAATGGAGAACATTCCGACCCGCGTTGTCCAGAGCTTCCAGATCTGCACCCATTGACAACAGCTTTTGAAATGTCGTTACCATTTCTTCTGTGCTATCTTTCTGTTGCTTCCAGGAGAGTGGGATATCCGGCAAGCCTGAACAGGCTGCAAGAAGGAGTGTCCACCCCCTGGCATCTCGACGATGTATGTCGAGCTGCGGGATTTGGAAGAAAGGGTCAATCGCCTGACGGAGATGCAGTAATTCGTGCAAAACTGTGGCCTCTCGGAAATTCTCAGGTGCTGTATCACCGTAGGTTACTGGGCTTGGGGTCAAGAACTTGGCAAATGGGTCGGCCCCGTGGTCAAGCAGCATCTGCACCATTTCGAAAACGCGCTCTGCGACTCGCAATGTTTCCGGTCCGCCCCTCACCCCCCCTCGCCACCTCGTTCCAGCGTAGTATAGTGGGAATTCCTCGTGATCTTCTACTTCACAATCATACGAGGACCAACCGACTCCTTCTCCAGAGAAACGGCTCTTTCGTTCAGACGCCAATACATCTTCAGGTGGTGGTTTGCGACGTGTGTTGGCACTAATACCGCCCGACAGGAGGACTTGAAGTGTGGGCGCGCTCTCAGCGGCGATTGCTCTGAATATCGATTCTGTTGTCACAACTGCTCCGCGAGAGATGAGAAGCTTGCTCATCTCATAGTCGCCATGAGCGTAAGCAAGACAATCCGCCCCTGACTCATCTACGGCATTGACGTCTGCCCCTGCTTCAATCAGCAGTCGCGCAGCATCCCGCTGAAAAGGCTGGTCCAGATATCTCCCAAGAGTAGTATGAAGGGCTGTTTGCCCCTTATTGTTTTGGAGGTCTATATTAGCTCCCGACCGAAGCAAATAAGGCAATGCTTGGTGAACATGCCACCAGTGGTAGCCGAGGGACACTGTATGAAGAGCGGAATCCCCAGCCGTGCCGCCGTCACAAAACTCGGCGCCGAGGTCATCAACGGAAACCAGCTCATTGACATCGACGTGAAACTTTTCCACCAACAATTTGACAACCTCCATGTTGGGTAGCTCCCTCATAACAGCTGCGGTCAAAAAAGGAAGAACAGAGCCCACGATCTCATCTTCCTTGATAATACCCCGGTTGGCGAGCCAAAGCCCTGGCCGTGTCGTGTCGCCAAAGGCATGCCAATTTCCCCTTCCCATCTCTCTTTCTGCCACAATCGCACCAATTCTCTCAACAAGAGAGAAATAACCATTCTGGACAAGAATAGAAAATTTCGATTCTTCACGGGGAAAAGATGGCAAGAACTGTACATCCAGTCTCGCCATCTCCTCAACCAATCGATATTCCCTTCTACGCAAGAAGGATATGAGGGTATCTGGATAGGCTTCCCCATTTTTGATTAGTTCAGGAGATCTCAATGCCAGAATAGCCGCATTCTTTGATGAGGAGTGCAGATTTTCAAGGGCAGTCATGATAGAAAATTCCTTCTCTTTTTTGGCTGAATAGCAAGTGGCCCTGAAACAAGCGCCTGTATAGTCTTCCTGGTGGAAGAAAGCCCTGTCAATAAAACTGCTATTCTTGTCGAGTTGGTCATGCTTGTACACGACATTATCCATTTTAGCAATCTCATCTTCTGCCTGGTCACAGCAATCAACATGAGAAATCTCAGCCGGATCAAGCCCGTGCGTAACAAGCATATCCAGAATCTCCTCCAATCGAACAGTTTCGTCCACTTGCAGCTTATCCAATGTGAGTAAGCATTTTGTACCTAAGACGATCGTTTCATCCATCACCGTGAGACGCATTTGTTTCTGGGCTCCGCGTGAATCTTCCGGGAGACCCTGCCACAACTCATTCTCTCTTTCAAAGCCAGCACATGCATGCAGGACATTTCCTTTATTTATATCCGCACCAGCTTCAAGAAGAAGTGCTACCGTTTCTGGCCTTCCGGATCGGCAGGCATAAAACAGCGGAGTGGTAGGGTAGGCATCCAGAGCATTGTTCGGGTCATAACCATGGCTGCCTATTACTTTAAACACAACAGCGTCTACTCCCAGCACAGGCAGAGCGGATGACGGGCTTCTGCTTCTCAAGGCTTCCAGTAGCATGCCTACTACGTTGCTCTGTCTACTCTTGGAAGCAAGGTGCAGTGGGGTCATACCTTGACGAGTGGCTTTGGCCGGGTTCGCGCCAGCTTCAAGAAGCCTTTTGGTGTACACCTCACCAATGGTAACAGCCCGATGGAGCGGCGTAGCACCGTATTTATCCGTTGTGTCCACGTTTTTCACCCTCGAAATCACGAAGTCGATTGGCATCAACGTTTCCGACGGCGGGGAATCGTCCCATGGGACTGCTGAGCATAGGATGTGCAGAGGAGTGAGTCCATCATAGTTGGCCTGGTCGATGTCCAGCCCGAGACTTAATAACCTTTCCCAGTGGGAAACCAGGCCCAGGCTATGACCTATGTAGTGGTTTAAATGAACTCGAGCGAGTTCGTGCAATAGACTGTTTCCATCATAGTCAACGCTGTTTGAATCAAGGCCGAGCCCAAGAACTGGGTCAATTCGGTCTGATATGTTGTAACTGTATTCGCATCCTCCTACAGCTGCGTGTAGAAGAGTGCGACCCTTTCGATCCCGGATCATCGTCGGTGCCCCTTTCTTAACCCAAGTGTCGAGTTTTCCGCTTCTTCCACCAAGGTAAATATCAAACTGCCGGAAAAGTACATTTCCCCCACGATCGTCTGTTGCAGATATATCAGCACCTGCTTGGATGAGGAGATCTATAATCTCTTCCTCCAAGTCATTACCGGCGGCGGAGAGCATAGGTGTGAGCCCTCCGTCGTTCTTCAGGTTGGGGTCAACCCCCCGCTTCAACAACGACTCGACAATATCTTTATCCACACGGTAAGCCGTTAGCACGGTATGGAGCATTCCGTTGCCATATCCATCCACGATAGTGCAGTCCGGACCATATTCTAGGAACCTGGCGGTCATTTCACTACGACAATTCACAAGCAGGGCATGAAGAGGAGTTCCTCCGTCGCGTCTGGCAGCATTGATATCCGCGTGTCCCTCCTCGACAAGTAGGCACATGGACTCTATATTATGGACGCAGTGGAGGGGTGTCGCTCCATCATTGTCAGCTGCATTAGCATCAGCTCCAGCTTGAAGTAGAAGTCGTGTCAAAACTGGAGATTCGATCGTGGCATGTAGAGGAGTCCTTCCATATGAGTCACGTCCGTGAATGTCAATGCCCGCCTGGACGAGAAGTGGGAATATGTCAAAGATCTCATACGAAGACCTAGGTAGCATATGAAGGACGTTTCTACCATCATTGTTATCGAAGAGATTGTTAGGGTCTGCCCCGGCCTTCAAAAGGCAACCCATCGTCTCAGGGTCCCCACAGCTACAAGCAGCATGCAGTGCGGTGCACCCGTGATCCCGATCGTTGACGTTGATTCCAGGAACTTCAAGAAGTCGAGCGACCACTTTGGCTCTACCCCTGGAAGCCGCCAACATGACGTGTTGTTGAATGATCTTGATTTCTTTAATGAAAGGCAAAAAGGCATCCACCGCCTCCAAGTGACCATTCTCAACAGTATAACTGAAAGCAGTATGTCCTGCTTTCTTTGGCGCTTGGTCCCACGCGTATTCAGAGTCCTCACCAGTTTGCTCCGTAAGGGGGTGCACCCCAGCCTCTAGGAGTGCCGTTACAGTTTCTGCGTGATTTCTTTTTGCGGCCTCATGCAGTGGCTTTAACCCACTGACTGATTCGTCGTGGTCTGGGTCTGCTCCAAGCTTGATCAGCTCCCTGACGATATCTGTATGGCCCATGTGAGCCGCCCACCAACTAAACCACAGCAAGTGTCAGCGCATTTATTTCAAGTCAAGTCAACTAAAGAAATTTTGGAATATGTGTGCTTACATTGGAGTTTTCCCGCTGGAATCTGGTTCGTCTGGTGGTATGGTTTCAAGAAGCTCTTGGAGATAGGAAAACAACCCAAGCTTAGCAGCGATATGAACTTGCGTGACGTTTTCCGTCAAGTATCCCCACTTGGCCTGCAGCCATGCCTCAATTCTTTTATCGTCGTCTAGAAATTGGCGGATCTTGAGGTTGATTTGTGCCTGGTCTTCTCCAGCAGCTTCAGATGCCTTGATATGATGAGACCAGTTACTTGCAGCATAATCGAAGAATGGAAACCTCAAGCGCAGATTAGTGTCATTGCTGATAGGCTTCAGTGGAATGTGTCGATTCATGAAGCCTTCTGGCTTCTCATTCTCCATCGCTGCAGGTTCCAAGTTCTCGGTAGTCAAATAGTTTAGGCAAGCAATCCCCAACTGAGTATGAGAGGGTCCTGATTCGAGAATGGGATATCCGGAACTGTCTTGAGATCTAGTGGTTCCTTTGAGATACTCCGTAAAAGAGTGATGAATAACGGACACCGTCTCATCTGCCAGTATTTCCAGCAAGGGGCCACAACCTGCCCGAATTAGATTCTTCGCATCTTTCAGATCGAGTGTTTGGCCATCCGGATTATTGCTCTTGACCATCTCAGCTAGCTCCAGCAGCCTCAGAGGTCGCCTGGCGTGGGTGACAGCCTGGAGAATCAATCGTTGAGTGCTATCTGCTACCCCAGATCGATGGGAATGGTCTCTGAGAAGGCCTGTGTACAAGACATTCAAATCCACAGGTAATTTTGATAGGACCAGGGTGATATCAGCGCCTGGCTCTAGAAAAGCATCCATAGCTAACTTTGCATAGAGAAATAGACCATTGGCCTTGCCAGGAACAGCATCGATGATAGTCTTCCAATCGCTCTTCGGGATCGCGGACTTGGAAAGAGTGGACTGGACATAGGTTCGTATATCAATATCAACCAAGTCCTCCTGAAGACGGATTTGAAGAGCAGGAGACTTTCTCAAAGGTCCCTCCACAGTCGGGACAGGGCGACTTGTGATGAGAACCTTGACTTTATCAGGTCTCCACGTCCCTAGCGATGCAAGAGACGTGAGGAATGAGTCATTGCCTTGATCGATTTCGTCAAGAGCATCAGCGACGCAGAAAACTCTTCCTGAGATTCCGGAAAGAGCCATATAAAGGTTCTGCCACAATTCGTCGATAGAAACGGTTTCAAGGCTCCGTGACTCCATATCCGATTTGAGTTTCTTCTGCAAGGGCGGGCTGTAGCTCAAAATCTGATGAATCCAATCACGGAGTAAAGCGTCGGGCTTGTGGTTGGCTTGGATGATCTGCCGAAAGAAGAAGAAGAGGACCGGTGATCCAGGATTATCCCTTCCTAGCTCGTCAATGAGGTTGGCTGCTATAACAGACTTCCCCGAGCCAGGGATGCCTTTGATCCATAACAGCCCGTGCTGATCATCTTGCAGCCATTGCTTGTACGTAGCGCTCGAGGTCAGCCAGGCTCCCGTGCCGGCTGCATGGGTGGCCAGATGTTTGCGATATTCGCCTCCAGCAATCTCATATTGGGTGGGCTGGAGCCAGGCCCGAATATGATTGATGGTTTTCTCCGGTTGTGGCAATATTTGGCCTGGATTGTAATCACTGACATCGTCGCGACTTATCACGATGGGATGTTCATCGCTATCGACATCATCTTTAAAGCTGCGTGCCATGATGGAGCTGAGCAAAGTAAAGAATGGATATTGTGATCAGGCCGCCAGACACGAACTCATTTGGTCTGAGGGGGATGTTGCAGGGGAGAGAAAAAAGCAACTCGATGCAGTTGGCGGTAATTCGAAAGTACTTGTAGGAGCTGGCCAAGTGGATGGTTAACCGTATATTGGCACAGCACACCCCACAATCAGGGGTGAATAGATGCCTAAAAGAAGGCATAAGTTGCCTCGTGTGAGGGGGGGCGGTAAGATGCCCCAATTTTCCAGAGAAATCAAGGCAGTTGATAGACAAACCCAGAAGATGGTCAGCATATACCACCAATGGCACGCCTCCCTACACGCGGATATTGATAAGTGATGCGAATACTCTTTCTCAGTATCATAAGTAATAGATACAGTCTTTGAATACGATGCTAAAGGCCGAGGTACTCGTATGATACATTAAAAAGAAGTTTACACCAGGGTTAAGTTTCGATCAAGGAGTCACTTAGACAAGGAAAGGATTCTGGTCGCAATTCAGTTCGCTGGCTCACTATCCCGAGTATCTAAAACCACACAGATCATCCCAACATAATTAGAGATTAGACAATCCCCAGCTTCCGAGGAGACGAATCATAGTATATCAGCTCGTGTGAAACATCTAAGCACGTTCCCCCTAAGTCTATGCATCGTACGCACGCGTCGAAGTCTGCCTCTAGACAGGCGTCGCAATGGTACCGAGGCTGGTCCCTCATGATTCTCATTAAACAAATGTCGCAGTGTGCGCGCATTCCGCCGCCCTCGTCGTTGCCATCACTCTCAGATCCAACATCGTCTGCGCCCTTCTCAAGATTCTCAAAGAGCTCCTGCATGCTGGGAGTGGCTACAGTGGACAGCCACCATCTCAGGCTTTTCCCTAATAGATCCTCCGCATCCAAGGAAGGCTTTGTGGCGTTGAATAATAGCCGAGCAACGGACTCGTATCCAATCCGGATCGCGATGCCCAGCGGTGTTGATCCGTATATGTCTTGCAGTGAGGCTTGGTAGCTTTCTCTCTCAAGAAGAAGCTTGACGACGGCTTGGCGGCCATGGCTGACGGCGAAGCACAGAGGGGACCGTCCAAGCGTGTCCATCGGCGGTTTCTGGCCGTCGGTGGCGTCGGAGAGCTGGCGGACAACGTCGACATGGCCAACGCATATTGCTCGGTGGATCACCGAGAAGGAACAGCTTGCTCCTTGCTTCTTCTTGATGCTTTGATCTGCTCCTCGCTCCAACAGAAGCCTCACGAGCTCTCCATAACCGCGCCTCGCAGCGATGGCTAGTGGAGTCCATCCATCATAATCCTCCCAATTGACGTGTGCTCCTTTTTGGAGCAGAATTTCGGCCGTTTCGAGGTGGCCGTAGTTGGCAGCAGTGATCAGAGGGCTCTCACCCCTGGCATCTAGAAGCTCGATATTGGCACCAAGCTCAATCAAGAGCTCGAGAGTCTGGGAATAGCCATGACGAGCTGCCAGAGACAGGGCTGTGAACTCGCCGGGGCTCCCAATATTGCAGTCCGCTCCACATTCGATCAGGGCCTTGACGGCCAGTCTTTGGTCGTGCCGTACCGCATAGGCGAGGGGAGTCAAGTTATCATCGCAGGTGATGTACGGATCTGCCCAGTACTCCATGAGAAGACGAATAATCGCATCGTTGTCATTCCTAGCGGCAACATGGAGAGGAGTCCAGCCGTCATTATCTAAAACGTCGACTTGAGCTCCTTTCTCGAGAAGCAGCTTGACCACATCAATCATGTCATCCCTACAGGCGATGTGTAGCGGAGTGAAACCATCTTGGTCCTGCCTTGCCGCAAGGTCGGCCCCACGCTCCAGTAGCAGCTTCACCACATCCAGACGGCCTGAAGATGCAGCTATACCCAGAGCAGTGTAAGGGCGCTCGGTGTTGCGGGCCAACTCGATATCGGCGCCTCCGTCAAGGAGCGCCTGGACGACTTCAAGCTGTCCCCTGCGAGCAGCTGCGTGTAAAGCGGTAGAGTTGACACCACCGTAACTATCAACGCGCGCTCCTGAGACCATAAGCAATCGGAGAGTTTTGAGGTGCCCTTTCGCAGCCGCAATTCCGAGTGCTGTGAGGCCGTCGGCAGCCACGTCTTCCTTATCAGCTCTTTGCTCGAGCAGGAACTCGACCATATCAAGACACTGCTCTCTCGACGCTGCTAAATGAAGGGCAGAATATCCGTTGCTATTTCTAGCCGCAATATTGGCACCCTTCTCGAGGAGACGCTTAGCTACGAGAGGATTGCAGTATTCGATCGCCAGGTAGAAGGGAGTGCGCAACTCATCGCCATCAACAGCCTCAATATTGGCCCCTTTTTCGATGAGCAGATCGGTGATATCCAGATATCCACATAGAGCAGCATGGTGCAACGCCGTCATTCCATCCATGGTATCCTCTAAGCTGACTCCTGAGTCAATAAGATATCTCACGATATCCAGATGTCTGTAAGAGGCGGCCACGCAGAGAGCTGTGCGACCGATCTCGTCCTTACCGTCAAGCTCCCATCCGTGCTTGACCAGTGTTTCAATTATACGGAGATGTCCATAGGATACGGCTCGGAAAAGAGGTCGTTGGTATTCATCGTTTGAAAGTTCTGCGTCTGCCCCGTGCTCTAGAAGACAAACCACCATTTTCAGGCTTCCTGCAACGACGGCATAGGTCAAGGGGGTGTCGTTGTTATTATTACGCTTCAGAAAAGGTGCCCCTAATTTGATCAAAAGGGTAACAAGTTCTTTATCTCCCATCTTTGCTGCCAGATGCAGAATCGTATCTCCACAAGGGTAGTCGTCATCCACGGAAGCACCAACTTCGCACAACAATCGCATGGTGTCGGTGTGGCAGGACATTGTCGCGGCCTGGATCGCCTTGCCAAGCTCTGGGTCACGCTCATGGACCGAGACGCCCTCATCCAGGAGCTGCTTGACGATTTCGGTGTGGCCATTGCTTGCCGCCAGCACGAGACGCGATCGTGGGACGCTCTGCGTGTCGATGTTCCTGTCAGGCAGACACGTGTCCGATCCGCTGGAGTCAGTATTTGCCAATCGAGATGACAGTTGTTCATCGGCCTGCGGTTCCAAGAGCATGACCTGCTCGGCTGGGCCCCCAAGTCCTTGGACCTGGCTGTCATCAATTGATGGCGGGGTCGAACTCATGGCGGGGAGCCCTGTGCGCGTGGAACCTGGCATCGGGTATGGTCGCGTTCTGATGAACTTGATGCTCTACGCCGGGAGTCTTTCTTTCGCGATGTGAGGTTTCATGGCTTGTATGCACCATCCAGGCCAAGCCAACCTTGAAGGCAGTTCGCCTGAGTGAGTAACAACTGTTGGTCGTTGATTGGCGGTCACAGAGGGGCCGCCTTCAGGCATCAGGCAGCAGCTGGACAGCTAAAGTCGGCCCACGCCAGTTCGTAGCTGAACTACCCTATACTGCAACACAGCCACCAACGCGTCAAGCCACATCACCAAACACAGTTCAGAGGATGAAGAAAAGAATATGTCGGTGCGTCTCTTATTGCTTACCTAGGTCTTTTTTTGGCTCATCACCACTTCCCAAAAGCTGGGAAATGGTGTGCGAGGTGAACGTCGTTAATCAGAGTTAGCGCTCCATCAGTTGTGAGATGAGTGAGCATATCCTTGAAAGGTCAACGGGATACGAGATACATCATTTGTTCACGTATTGAACCTCATAGTATTTGCATAAAAATCTCTTGAAATCCCTATATATTTTACGTATCGGCGGAAAGTATCCTACCTAAATACTGTCTGCTATGGTGTTCCTGTCTTCCAACTTCTCCGTCAATTGAGCATCTCTTCCCCACTGTAAACAAACGGGCACAGCTTTGGAGACTTGTCCACCGATTACGATTGGTCTGGGTCCCGACACCCCTGTTTTGGCAAAGGCCCTTAATTCTTGGCTCAACTTCAGTGTGATAATTAATGGTGAGTTAAGGTGAGGCCGTTCAGTTCACGAGATGGAGCATCCCAAGTCTTCCGGCATATACGCGCTGTTGCAGCGCCCCCACAATGTGCTTATGCCACGGCATTGATTGGAGATATATTGGTTCCCTCACACAGCCCATGCTCAGCCCTAAGACGCGACCCTGCTGTGACGATTCCAATCCTCCAGTGAGGCACAGCCCCGTGCATAATTAGCTCCTTATCCACCTCTTCCTGCTATACGCCTCTGCCACCCTTATTAAGCGGAGGAGCCGAGTCGGATGTGGTACGGGAGCAGGGGACATCTACCGGGTTCAATGAGCTGGCTTTATTCAAGAGCAGAGCCCTTACCGTGTGGCTGGTGTGTTTACGCATCTGTCTCTCTATCCATCTCGAACAGACACAGGCCAGACTCACGAGACAATGACATCTGTGGTGGGATCCCCGTCCTCCTCCAATGCGAGCTCCAAGACATCAACCAGACCGTCGGGTCGCAAGGGCAGTAGAAAGGTGCGGACAGGTTGTCTCACCTGCAAGTAAGTACATTGCACAGCATGGATCGCTCGCAATTGAACCCAGGCCCTCAGTAATGAGAAACTATGCTGACTGGCCAAGGATCCGCAAAGTAAAATGCGACGAGAACAAGCCCAACTGCTTGCGGTGCACCAAGACAGGCAGGAAATGTGACGGCTATCAGACGCCTCTGCCCCGTGCCCAGAGCAGCAAGCTCCCCAACCTCGCCCCGGAGCTCATGTCCTCAGAGGACTATCACGCCTTTGACTACTACCGCGTCCGCTCATCGGCCGTGCTTGGAGGAATCGTCCGGGACAGCGGCGATGATTTCTGGTCTGGCCTGGTCATCCGTCTCACCATCACCGAGCCTGCGGTCCGCCACGCCCTGCTGGCTCTAAGCTCCGTCCATGAAAAGGTCATCGCCATTGGGGATAAACCCGAGACTCGCATCCCCAATACCACCTTTGCATTTGGAGAGTACAGCAAGGCCATCTCCGCCATCTCCAAATGGACACCCCCCTCCAACAGTTCCGAGCCGGCTACGATCCCCCTCCTCGTCTGTGTTCTGTTCATCTGCATCGAGTTCCTCATGGACTACGAGGCGGCAGCCCAGGTGCACATCTCCCAGGGAAGGAAGATCCTCTCCCAGATCACCGAAGCGCAGGCCATGGCATCCTCCCCGGCCGCAGAGATGCTTCGCAATGTGCTCGTCCCCATATACACCCGCCTGAGCCTCGCCAGCTTCCTCTTCGGCCACCACCCGGCCTCAATCCCAGACTTCTTTCTCGGCGACTGGAGCGTCCCGTTCAGCTTCTCCTCCCTCCTCGAGGCGCGGGACGCCCTCTTCGGCCTCCTCAACTGCGGCCTCCAGTTCAGCAACGAGATCATGCCGCTCGTCTACGACCCCACCATCCCCCAGGACCAGCTCGAGGGCATCGTATCCCGCCAGCGCGCCATCCTCGCCCGCCTGGCCGAGTGGAGAACCTCCTTCGCCGTCCTCGAGGCGACGCTGGGCTCCAAGACGGCCCTGCAGGACCTGCTGCACATGTACTACCACACCGCGCACATCTGGATCTCCGGGACGCTCGGCCCCAACGAGCTCGTCTTCGACGACCACCTCGCCGGGTTTGGCGCCATCGTCTCCCACGCCGCGTCGGGCATCGCGGCGGCCCCCTCCCTTAGAGGTAGGGACGCGGCGTCGTTCGTGTTCGAGACGGAGTTCGTCGCGCCCCTGTATTGGGTCGCGATGAAGTGCCGGCACCCGATGCTGCGGCGGGCGGCGATCCGGCTGCTGGGGCGGAGGGAGGTGGTGAGCCGGCGGGAGAACTTCTGGCGCGCGAGGGAGTACCTTGGCGTTGCCATCAAGACGATGGAGATGGAGGAGGCGCACATTGCCAGCAGTCCGGGGGCGGCTGATCTGTGGGATGAGGGGGGTGGGGATGTGAAGGTGCCGGTGTGGGAGCCGCCGACGTTCAGGGTGAGGGAGGTGCCGAGTATGGCGAACCTGTCGATAAACGAGGATGGACCGCGGGTTCCGCCTGTTGGTCGGCTCGAGTCGCCTGACGGGTCGGAGTCGTCGGGGTCTTCGGTCGTTACGGCTGGGATGGAGATGATGGAGGAGTTGAGCAGCCTGGACCCGGACAGGTTGGTGGCGCCGTTCGGGATACCAGCAGAGCGGCGGTTGCGGAACGTACTGGTCATGCAGAGGACTACTGGCGGGGCTCGAGTTACGGTGTTCAAGGATCCCGGGTTGGGGGAGACAGAGTGGAAGGTCAAGGAATTTTTCTGGGAGTTCTAGATTTCTAGCATGGGAGTTATCATATGGGACGGCAAGCATAAATAAGATACCCTGTTCATCTATTCTTCATTTGTGTGTTTCGCTTTGAATTTCTATGCTATGTTCGAGTCTCATCCCGATTCTCATATACAAATAAAGAAAACTAGGTTAACGAAAGGAAGCCATCACGTAGTACCAAGGGGATAAGCCTGGGAGTGGGGGAGGGGATGGGGAAAGGGAATGAGGGGTCCAGATGGTGCGAGCTGCCGTTGGATATGAATGTTGGCGCGTCATGCTGGCATATATAGGAGCGCATCATGGCCATGTATTAATCTTGCTCAGGGCGGCAGCACTCACCAACGATTAAAGAATTCGAGCCAGGTTGGTGATGCGCTGCGCACATGCAGGTAGCCATCTCTTGATCCGGATGCCCAATGTACTTGGGGGTGTTCTAGTGAAGGTCTTGAAGACCTATTGTCGAATTATGTGTGATGAGGGGCTCTGGGGCCGAGTCCCCAAGAATTCTCGAGCTGGTCTCATTTCCATGATGAACTGGTGTATTATTTTTGTTTTGGTGCGGTATCGTATCGAGCCTTCAACCTCTGGCTGCTTCGCTTTTCCCTGCTAGAAGACCTGCAGCCAGCTTTCGTCGCTTATTACGCTCCTCCTGCTCTGCCAGTACCTTGGCGGTAAGCGACGCAGCCATTGGGTTGTTGATGCCGCTGATTCGGGATTCGATTGTGGTTTTCTTCCTTTCAGGGATGCCGTTGCTGCCCTCCTTGCGGCCAATCTGCTCCCTGGACTTCTCGACAGTGCTCTCGGCGTCTACTTCGTCGGCCTTGCGCTTCTTCTTCTTCTTGTCGGATTTGTCTTTTTTCAGTGTATGAGTGTGGCCGGTAGCACGCAACTTCTCGATCCTCTGCTCCAAGCGCGAGACTTCTATCGGCGCAATGGGTAGGATGGGGATGACATGCTCGTGGCTGAACACCTCGGCACACGAGGGGCACATGTTGTCGGGGATTTCCTTGATTGCGACATCGGCAAAGGTATGGCCGCAAGGAACCAGATAGACGGCCTTGGTAGCAGGACCCATCTCCTTCATGGAGATTGGGCACGTCCACTTGTCGCCGGTCTTGGAGAACTTCAGTTTTGCAACATCTCGAAGCGATCGAATGCCTAGGGTGGCGGGTGTGACTTCGGCGGGGGAGGGTTCGTCGGAGGGCATCAGGCCCTTGAGGATGGCTTCGTAGTTGAACAGGCGGCCGCGCCAATCGGAGGCAACAGAGGCGAGGTCGATCTGTTCGCCAGAGAGAGCGCAATGTGACCACGCGTGGCCGAGGGACTCGAGGGCGGTGGACTTAAGCTCGGAGATAGTTGGCTTTCGAGCAGCGTTCTTGACGAGTTCCCGCCTCTTGGGGATGGAGCCACCATCGTTACCCATGGTGGCAGGCTGCGAGGGGTTGTTGGTAGATGGGCAATCGGGGGCAGGCAGAAGAGGATGGGAGGGAAAAAGGATAGTTAGACAAAGGGGAGAGAGGAGAGACAAGTTGGTGTGCGCACCTGGTTTGTCGGTGGGAGGTGAATCAGGTGTTCGCTTAGAGAAGCGCCTGTAAATCGGGTGACTTTTTGCTCTTTGAGCGAACCCTCACCTCAGCCTGCGATATCCGATAAGAGCAAAGAACTGCGCCTGCACGTGCCACGCCACATTTGATGGAGCTGCAGCGCACTCATCGTGCACTTTGGGGCGCATCTGACGGATCGGGCACCCGCTGGGACCACTACACCCCCGCAAGTTACCGCAAGCCAGTGCTGTGGCTCCCTCTGGCGAACCACTCCAGCACTGAGTCAATAGCGTCAAGCACTCCAGGGCAGGGGCTGTGATGAAACTGTAGCACCGCGACCTGTATTTCCCCGCCTGTGACTGGTCGAGACACCATGAACCCACTTTTAGTTACGCTGAGCTTCGCTGTGGGAGATCCTGAGGATTATGTGGGTCCTTCGCTGTGATCAAGCACCTTTGTCTGTACCTGACCTATGGGATAATACCACGGTATCGGACTGTCAAAGGATCTTCCTGCGAAAACAATCTTGCATACCTCATCCACGATGTTTGGAATTCGAGTTGCAGAATATAGAGAACAATTGCATGGCGCACAACCCCGCAATCTGTTCAGCCCCAAGGTTTGCGGACACTGCGGCTGGTAGTCAGGTACATGCGCCGATTGTCCTCAATTGAGCCCCTACCGCGGTGTTCGAATTGTGGGTACAGGCACGGTACGTACACACGAGGACCACGACCGACCTTCTCCACCAAGGATATTGACTTCATCGCGGCAGCATCGCATTTCAACCTGACATCAGCTCTCAGCTTGCCAAACTTGTTCGAGGCCACCTCGCTGGCCACCCATCCGACGGCGAACTGTGCAGCCGCCCTACGTTCTACTTGATACCCGCTTCTCGGCCATTTCGCCTGACTTTGTCTCGTGGCATCCGTCGCTGCCTGAGGGACGGAGCTGGAACGAGAACCTTAAAACGAAAGCGCGCAACTTCCACCTCACCAACTCGGTCCACGATCTTCCACTCGACGACATTCATATCCCAAAGCTTCACGAAGCACTTCGATAGTACATGCAGCGCTGATCCATGGGCAGCGAGCGCCCGTAGGGGAGGATGGCGCACCCACAACAGCAGGTCGCCCTGGAGCGACTGGAGATCATCTCCCGCGGTCTGCGCTCGAGGTTCGTCTCTACACCTCGCTCCATCGCATACTGCCTGCCAGCTGACCTTTCTTTCTTTCTAGGGCCGGCGATGATGTGCGACACCGAGCTGCTTTGCAGCTCCGGGAGCTCGTGACGGTCTGCCACCGAGGCACGCAACCCCCTCCCTCGACCCGACAATGACAATGGTTCCAATTGGCAGCTAACCCTGGTGGTACAGACTTGAATCCCGAGCAGTTTGCCGACTTTTACAACACTGTGAATAATAAGATTACACAGCTCATGGCCCATGGAAGCGATGCGTACGAGCGCCTCGGTGGAATTTACGCCCTCGATGCCCTCATCGACTTCGAGGGTGTTGATGTCGCCGCGAAATACGCTCGATTTACAACCAACCTCAAAACAATCCTAAGAGGCAAAGACATAAACCCCATGCAGCCGGCTGCCATCGCCTTGGGAAAGCTTTGCCGCCCCGGTGGCTCCATGATCTCCCGACTCGTCGATTCCGAAGTCAACACAGCCCTCGAATGGCTCCAGAACGACCGCGTCGAAGAACGTCGCTATAGCGCCGCGCTTGTTCTACGAGAGCTCGCCAGAAATGCCCCAACTCTCATGTACCAATACATTCCGACCATCTTCGACTGGATTTGGGTGGTTCTTCGAGATCCCAGACAGCTCATCCGCGCGACCGCCGCCGAGACAGTTAGCGCCTGTTTCAAGATCATCCGCGAACGAGACCAGGACTTGAAGCAGCTATGGATGACGAAAATGTACAACGAAGCGAGGCAGGGTTTGCGGATTGGCACAGTCGAGTCTGTACATGCTTCTCTGCTCGTCCTCAAGGAGCTTCTCGAGCAGGGGGGCATGTTCATGCAAGAGCACTACCAGGAGACCTGCGATATTGTCTTCAAGCACAAGGACCATCGCGACGCCACGATTCGAAAGACGGTCGTTATACTCATTCCCGACCTTGCCAGCTACTCACCCTCGGATTTCGCCCAGTCCTGGCTCCACAAGTTCATGGTCTTCCTGTCCGGGATGCTGAAGAAGGACAAGGAGCGTAACGATGCGTTCTTGGCCATCGGAAATGTTGCCAACTCTGTGAAGAGTGCTATTGCCCCCTACCTCGATGGTGTGCTCATATACGTGCGAGAGGGTCTCAGCGTGGCTTCTCGTAAGCGAGGAACAGTTGACCCTGTGTTTGACTGTATCAGCCGCCTTGCTGTCGCCGTGGGTCAGACCCTAAGCAAATACATGGAAGCCCTTCTAGATCCCATCTTCGAATGCGATCTTACGCCTAAACTGACGCAAGCCTTGGTCGACATGGCCTTTTACATCCCCCCGGTCAAGCCGACAATTCAGGAGCGCCTTCTTGATATGCTCAGCGTCGTTTTGTGTGGCGAGCAATTCAAGCCTCTTGGTGCTCCCCAGCCAAACACGCTGAACTCGGTACCCATCATCCCCAAAGACCCAAAGGACCCCCAGGCGTACGAGCATCGAAAATCAGAGGTCAAATTGGCACTCAGAACCCTCGGAAGCTTTGATTTTACCGGCCACGTGCTCAATGAATTCGTTCGCGATGTCGCTATAAAATACGTTGAGGACGAGAATCCCGAGATCAGAGAAGCGGCAGCTCTGACTTGCTGTCAGCTATATGTCCGCGACCCTATCGTCAACCAGACGAGTTACCACGCACTCCAGGTTGTCGGGGATGTTATTGAGAAACTGTTGACTGTGGGAGTGTCCGACCCAGAGCAGAACATTCGCCGCACCGTCTTGGCAGCCCTTGATGAGCGTTTCGACCGCCACCTAGCCAAGGCAGAGAATATTCGGGTGCTCTTCTTTGCCCTCAACGACGAGGTCTTTGCCATCCGCGAGGTGGCCATTTCTATCATTGGTCGCCTTGCCCAATTCAACCCCGCCTACGTCATTCCGTCGCTTCGCAAGACGCTCATCCAGATGCTCACCGAGCTGGAATTCTCAGACGTCGCGCGCAGCAAGGAAGAGAGCGCAAAACTTCTCAGCCTCCTTGTTCAGAACGCCCAGTCATTGATCAAGCCATACGTCGAGCCCATGATCTCGGTTCTGTTGCCCAAAGCAAGCGACCCAAATCCATCAGTGGCTGCAACCATTCTTAAGGCGATTGGTGAGCTAGCCACGGTGGGAGGCGAGGACATGCTTCCTTACAAGGACAAGCTCATGCCCATCATCATCAACGCCCTCCAAGATCAGAGCTCGAATAATAAGCGAGAAGCAGCATTGCATGCTTTGGGTCAGTTGGCCAGCAACTCTGGCTATGTCATTGCACCCTATCTTGAATACCCACAGCTTTTGGAGCTTCTACAAAACATTATCCGCACCGAAGGCCACGTCGTCCGACTGAGACAGGAAACCATTAAATTGATGGGTATTCTGGGAGCCCTGGACCCGTACAAGCACCAGCAGGTGGAAGAGAGAGCCCCGGAGAACCAGCGCCTAGCCGAGTCCAACCAGATGACCGACATTTCATTGATGATGACCGGGTTGACGCCTTCTAACAAAGAGTACTACCCAACTGTTGCCATCAATGCCCTTCTGCAGATCCTGAAGGATCCATCACTGGTCCAGCACCATGCGGCTGTGATCGAAGCCATCATGAACATCTTTCGCACACTTGGTCTCGAGTGTGTATCTTTCCTTGAACGTATTGTTCCGGCGTTTCTTATGGTGATAAGATCGTCCACATCGACGCGCCTTGAATCGTATTTTAACCAACTTGCGACATTGGTCAACATTGTGCGACAGCATATTAGAAATTACCTGCCGGATATTGTCGATGCCCTCCAGGAATACTGGAATACTTCTGCGACGCTGCAAACTACCATTTTGTATCTCGTCGAGGCCATCTCCAGATCTCTTGAGGGAGAGTTCAAAATCTACCTCGCCGGACTCTTGCCTCTCATGCTTGGCGTTCTCGATAAGGATGCGAGCGCCAAGCGGACTCCCTCGGAGAAGGTGCTGCATGCCTTCCTGGTATTTGGTGCGAGTGCTGAGGAGTACATGCATCTTATCATTCCAGTCATTGTACGGACGTTTGAGAAGCAGGGCCAACCCCTCTCCATCCGGAAATCAGCCATCGAGACAATCGGCAAGATTTCTAAACAGGTAAACTTGAACGATTATGCAGCCAAGATTATTCACCCTCTCACTCGAATCATCGATGCGGGCGAACCGTCTCTCCGACTCGCCGCGCTCGACACGCTCTGCGCATTGATCCAGCAGCTTGGAAAGGACTACCTCCACTTTGCCGGAACAGTCAACAAGACTATCACGCAACATCAGATTCAGCATCAAAACTATGACCTGATGCTTAGCAAGCTGCAGAAGGGTGAGGGTCTTCCACATGACCTAAGCTCCGAGGCTCGTTTTAATGACGGGTTGGATGAGCCTGCCTTTGCCGATCTCGGAACCAAGAAATTGGAGATGAATGCCATCCACTTGAAGGGCGCATGGGATACCCGGGGCAAGTCTACAAAGGAGGATTGGCAAGAGTGGCTACGACGCTTCAGCACAACTTTGCTCAGCGAGTCGCCCAATCATGCTCTGCGAGCCTGTGCGAGTTTGGCTAGTCTCTACCCTCCTCTCGCTCGTGAGCTGTTTAACTCGGCATTTGTGTCCTGCTGGAGCGAGCTTTATGAACAGTTCCAGGAAGAACTTATCCAGAATATTGAAAGCGCGATCAAATCCGAGCATGTACCCCCGGATCTGCTTGGTCTTCTTCTGAACCTTGCCGAGTTTATGGAACATGATGATAAGGCACTGCCGATCGATATCAGGGTTCTGGGAAGAGAGGCTGCGCGATGCCATGCATATGCCAAGGCACTTCATTACAAGGAACTCGAGTTTTTGCAGGATCAGAGCAGTGGCGCAGTAGAAGCACTGATTGTCATCAACAACCAACTGCAGCAGTCTGATGCAGCTATCGGTATCCTGCGACGAGCCCAGCTGTATAAGGATGGCATTCAGCTTCGCGAGACTTGGTTTGAGAAGCTTGAGAGGTGGGAAGAGGCTCTCGAGTTTTATAACAAGCGTGAAGCAGAGATCCCAGAAGACCAACCCACCCCTGTTGACATCGTCATGGGTAAGATGAGGTGTTTGCACGCACTTGGAGAGTGGGATGCGCTCGCATACTTGACCAGCACAACCTGGGCCAACTCGTCCACCGAGGTTCAACGACGAATTGCGCCGCTGGCAACGGCTGCCGCATGGGGCCAGGGCAAGTGGGATTCTATGGATAATTACCTCTCCTCACTTAAGCGATACTCCCCCGATCGTGCGTTCTTCGGTGCCATCCTGGCTTTACACAGGAACCAGTTCCGTGAGGCCATCAACTGCGTCCATCAGGCTCGCGAGGGACTTGATACTGAGCTCAGTGCGTTGGTTAGCGAGTCATACAACCGGGCCTACCAAGTCGTCGTCCGCGTTCAGATGCTCGCTGAACTGGAAGAACTTATTGTGTACAAGCAGTGTGACGAGAAGAAGCAGGCGGTCATGCGCAAGACGTGGGAGACTCGTCTTAAGGGATGCCAGCGCAATGTTGACGTATGGGCGCGTGTATTGCGACTTCGCGCCTTGGTCATCACACCCAATGAGAACATGGACATGTGGATCAAATTTGCGAACCTCTGCCGCAAGTCCGGCCGTATGGGTCTCGCTGAGAAGTCACTGAAGCAGCTTATTGGCACCGATAAGAGTCTCGAGACGGTGATTCCATACTGGGAGGATAGCAATGTGGCCGGCCCTCGTAATATTCATGCGCAAGTCATTTATGCTGTCCTCAAGTATCAGTGGGAGATTGCCCAGCAGTCTGTCAACCGCACATCGCAGACTGCCGAGAAGACGTTGTACTGCCTGAGAAAATTCACCAACGAGACCGCGCACCGTCTTGATGTGGCCAAGGCGCATCTCACGGCACAGACAGGTAGCGAGATGAACCTCCCCACTGAGTACGGCTTCCAGCAGCAGTACATTGATCCGTCGGTTATGAGCCCCCAGACTAAGCGTGCGCTGTACGATCAAACCGTTCTACTCGCCAAGTGCTACTTGCGACAGGGTGAGTGGATGGTGGCGCTTAACAAGGACGACTGGCAAGAGGAGTACTTGCATGACATCTTGGGTTCTTACGCACAAGCCACCCGCTACAATCCTCGCTGGTACAAGGCATGGCATGCCTGGGCTTTGGCCAACTTCGAGGTCGTCCAGCAGATGACCGCCCGGAATGATGCTGGCATGCCTAAGAGCAGCCAAGCCTCGCTCATCGAGCACGTCGTCCCCGCCATCAAGGGGTTCTTCAAGTCAATTGCTCTTTCTGAGGGCAGCTCGCTCCAGGACACCCTTCGTCTGTTAACCTTGTGGTTTACGCATGGCGCGTTTCCTGAAGTCAATTCTGCTGTCACTGAGGGTTTTGCCAATGTTAGCGTGGACACATGGCTGGAGGTCATTCCTCAACTCATTGCTAGAATCAACCAGCCGAATAAGAGAGTCCAGCAATCGGTGCACAACCTCTTGGCAGACGTGGGTCGCGCCCATCCACAGGCGCTGGTTTACCCTTTGACTGTCGCGATGAAGTCTTGGAAGAATAGCCGCCGCTCTAAATCGGCAGCTCAAATTATGGACAGTATGCGGCAGCACAGCGCCAACCTCGTCGCACAGGCAGAGACAGTGAGCCATGAACTCATCCGCGTTGCCGTTCTCTGGCATGAGCTCTGGCACGAGGGCCTGGAGGAGGCCTCGCGGTTGTACTTTGGCGACCATAATATCGAGGGTATGTTTGCCACGCTGGAGCCTCTGCATGATCTTCTAGAGCGAGGACCAGAGACCCTCCGTGAAATCTCATTTGCCCAGGCGTTTGGCCGCGACCTTAAGGAGGCTCAAGAGTGGTGCCATCAATACGAACAAAGCGGGGACGTGAATGATCTTAATCAAGCGTGGGATCTTTACTATCAGGTTTTCCGCCGCATCTCAAAGCAGCTGCCACAAGTTACAACTCTGGAGCTGACCTATTGCTCCCCCAAGCTACTCACGGCCAAGAACCTCGACCTCGCCGTTCCAGGTACATACAAGAGCGGACAACCCATTGTGCGAATCATGTCGTTCGAGACGACGTTTACAGTCATTGCATCTAAACAAAGACCAAGGAAGTTAACCGCAAATGGAAGCGACGGTGTAGCCTATGCATTCCTGCTGAAGGGTCACGAAGATATCCGACAGGACGAGCGTGTCATGCAGCTCTTTGGACTCTGCAACACGCTGCTCGCCAACGATTCGGAGTGTTTCAAGCGACATCTCAACATCCAGCGGTACCCCGCCATCCCGCTCTCGCAGAACTCTGGTCTGCTTGGCTGGGTCCCCAACAGTGACACACTCCACGTACTCATCCGGGAGTACCGTGAAAGCCGGAAGATTCTGCTCAACATCGAACACCGTATCATGCTCCAGATGGCACCTGACTATGATAACCTCACTCTCATGCAGAAAGTGGAAGTATTTGGTTATGCTCTTGATAATACCACGGGGCAGGACTTGTACCGAGTCCTATGGCTCAAGTCCAAGTCGTCCGAGGCTTGGCTCGAGCGACGCACGAACTACACTCGCTCACTAGGTGTAATGTCGATGGTAGGATACATTCTCGGCCTTGGCGATCGTCATCCTTCCAATTTGATGCTCGACCGCATCACTGGAAAGATTATCCACATCGATTTCGGTGACTGTTTCGAGGTGGCGATGAAGCGAGAGAAGTACCCCGAGAGGGTTCCGTTCCGATTGACGCGGATGCTCACCTACGCAATGGAGGTTAGCAACATCGAAGGTAGCTTCCGTATTACGTGCGAACAGGTTATGAGGGTGCTACGGGAGAACAAGGAGAGCGTCATGGCGGTGCTGGAAGCTGTAAGTCTACATCTACACATGTTATCATCTTTGTCCGGCTAAGGAATGACTTTACTAACTCTCCATCTCATAGTTTATCCACGACCCTCTTCTCACTTGGCGTCTCACTAACAATGCCTCGCCTGCCGGCCCGGATTTCCGGACAGAGAGGGAGTCTACGATGGTCGTACCTAACGGGGCCCGAGCCAGGCGACAATCCATTCTGGAGGCTGATATCGCACCTTCGGCGCTACTGGCAAACGGCGATCTGTCCGGGGCACCTCCTGGGCGGCCCCGAGCCCGCACAACTAGCACGACTGGCACAGGGGTTGAGAATGGTAATATGGTCAATGGTGCAAATAATAACGTTAACGGCCAAGAGACCGAGAGCCAAAATGCAAGGGCATTGGAGGTGCTGGATCGTGTGCAGCAGAAGTTGACTGGTCGCGATTTCAAGCCTGAAGAGGAGCTGGACGTCGTCAACCAGGTCAACAAGCTTATTGTTGAGGCCACGAGACTCGAGAATTTGTGTCAACATTATATAGGATGGTGCAGCTTCTGGTAGAAGGTAATGGAGGTGGTCTTTTTTCAAAACAGAGAGGGGAAAACAATCATTTAGAATCGATCTTCCGGCTGGTCAGGCAGACCCCAAAGGGCGGATGTCAGTCTTCTTTGTTTGTTGCCTTTCCTTAATACGTATATAGATTACTCCGAGCATCAAGTATCGGATGGACAGGATGGGGGTTTAAAGGGGTTGTTATTATTTGTTGGGGCATTGTTCAATCATTGTCCCTTGGTGGCAACAGAGAGGCAGAGGAACTGTATGAAGTGATGGATGATTCTAGCGGTTGGTGTTTTATTATCGACTGTATGACACAAAGGTAGATAGCTATCTGCAGCTATGAAGAATCGATGAAGTGTATACATAAGGCTAGCGAGTTCACATTGTAAGCCTTGAATCTACGAATGATGGAGACTTCGTCGGTGCCACCAGGAAATGTCATGCACTGAATATTCTATGAAGCAAAGAATAAGAGCCAACCAATTCGGCATTCCAAACCCCGGCCATTTGCTTTACTTCTTCGACTTATACAATTTCTTGACTCTCAACAACGGTGCCAAACACATCGGCAATCTCAGCCAGTGTCACGCGCACCAACTCCTGGGCGTCAACGCCGGGAATATGCCGGTCTCCTACGGCGTCCTTGGCCACGATGACATCCCATCCCCTCTCTGCACCCTGGCGGGCTGTTGTCGAAACACAAACATGGGCCTGCATGAAAAAAGACGACGGGTCAGTTTGAGGTCTATCAACTCTCTCTCTTTGGTCTACACTTACCATGTATCCGGTGAGCACAATCTTCTTGCGTCCAGTCTTCTCCAAGATATCCTGGAGCTCTGTGCCGGTAAATGACCCGGGGTGCTGCTTATGGACGAGACTCTCCCCGTCCTTTGGCGTCAGCTCCTGGAACTCCTCGGCCAGCTCTGAGCCGGGGGTGAAGACTGGCGCGCCGGCGGGAGTATCATGGACCACGTGGACCACTGGCGCACCGGCCGCGCGGTACTTCTCCAGAAGGGCCTTGATTGCGGCTCGAGTTGATTCGACGTTTTCTGTCTTGAGGAGGCCTGAGGCGTACTCGTTCTGGGCGTCGATGATGACGAGGACGCTGTCGCTTGTTGAGGGCTTGGAGGGCGGGACGCCGAGGTGTTCTCGGAAGGACTTTGCTGTGGCGGCCATTGTGGACACGGTAAAACAATCTTTATTTCACTTGATCTAGAAGAGAAGTAGAATTCTAATTGCTAGATTGTTGTTCTATTCGATGGGGATGAGACGGCTTATATATCCCAATATGCCATTTGCGGGGATGACAATGACACCATCGCTACGTGCTGCAAGAGAGGTTCAGCTAAACCGGAAACGGTAGTCAAATCCGCCAAGACTTCTACTACTACCTCAAAACACCAAACAACTGGATTTGGAGAGGGTTTAGTGCTGCTTAGTTGATGGAGAGCTGTCTCTATTGGGAAACTAAATTCGCCAAGCCTCGGGTGAACGGTTGTTCGGACATCTCGAGCATTCTGCACTTCGTGGCAATGGCCTTCAGCCGTATACTGAGGTGAGGGTCTGATCGTATTTCTGGGATGAATCTGTATGAAGTAGCTAGACCTTGTAGATAGAAAACAATACTCCCCTTTCCCCTCTTATTATGAACTCTTTTCAAAATACCCACCTCTGAACAATGAGTCTTTCTACACCTTCAAGCCATAAACATGATGTATTTAAGCGAATAATTTCACGAACTATTTGATCGAATAAGATCAAATCCAAGAATCTAAGCACTGATTTTATATGACTTCAGGGTCTTAATGGCCTTCAGTGTATGTGACGGGTGCAGGTGTGAGAGTTTGAATGGCTTCACTAATAGTAAAAACAACAATCCAAGATGCGAGGCCCGACATGTCAACACAAAAGAAAAACGAAAGGCGAAAACAAGCCCTGCCAGGCCACGGCTACAGGCATGTAGGAGGGAAACTCCGTAAACCTTCATACCGATGACTCCATTGCCGTCGGGACGAGCCGCTGTCAGATGGCTATTTACCCTCCTTAGTGCATGTGACTTCTCTTGATCATCCACGATGTGGGCTGCAGGCTGGTTCTTCCCTAGCACAATACTTGTATAAAAATGACCAGCATAAAGTGCAAGCTGAATAGCTGACTGTGAAATTAGTAAGATTTGATAGATGTCATCTCTGACCATCTTTGGAAGTGCCCGAAGTGCCTTCAGATCCTTATCACAAGTTCTTCTCCATGGGCATCGGCGCCCACCCACGAGCGAGTTGGCATAGAGTGGCAAACTCTTGCTAGAACATTCTCCATTGTTTCTGATCCTCTAGAGTGTGCGCCTACGAAAGATGTTCCGGAAGTTCACAATGAGCTGGTCAAAGGGTAGGTGGTTGTATTGCAATAGGGGTGGGTGCCTCCGGAATACTTGTATTGATTCATTACCTGACAATTATCAAATGCAGGCGTTTATACTATAAAATGATTATGAATATTTTAACCCTAACTAGATCCCGTTGATTCCTGACATCCGCGTGGCGTTGCATTTATGCCGGTCAGATTTGCCACCCCTTCCATCGTGAGCACCGTCTTCCAGCGAACCTGCGACCATTATTGGTAGATAGTTAAGCAGCCTAGAAAGTGTACGATTAATGTGGCAAGAGGAGCCTATCGTGGCGCAGAATATATTGGTTCTTTCGAGAAGCCATTGACATTGAAGGACGCGTAGAGAAAAGGGTGGTCTTATACAACAGATCTTTGCTTTTTCTGGTAGTGCGGTTTAATACTAGCGGAGAGAGTTTAGTAAGAATGATTTGGAATACTTCAAATCTTAGCTTCTTTGCTTTCGGAAGTGTTTTAACTGGTAATGGAGACTTGATGTGGTCTCGTCATCTTAGATATCTATTCCCTAGCTACATATGCAACGTTGTTCGGCATAGGCTAGAATCGGGTCAACCCGCTGAAGTTTGAATTGTCTCCTTCATCTGTGTTCTAGAAAATGACAAATGCTGAGACTATCTACCCCTGACATATGGAACTGGTGATCTCAATCTTGGGTTGCAGACGGTTATTCCGACATTATATTATAACCCTAAAGTAATATGAGTTCCCTTCTGCTGGGACAGTGCCGCAGTGCAACGTTATAGTGACCGCCACGCGAAATAAGCACTAGGAGCTAATTTCGGCTGCATATCTTGGGTTACAGTACCGCCGCCACGGGCACAGCTCGGAGTGGCCGGGGGTATTGGTACTTTGGAGTGCATTTAACCGATCCGTCATCGTCGATAAGCTTCTCTCTCCCGCATGATCAATGATGAATGATGAATGACCAAGAGTGACGGCCCTGCCAAGCCTCCAGCTGCCACATTATTAAGCGCCAACCCAGACCTCAATTAATCATCTCGAGGCGGAAAAGTTCTTCAGTGAAATATTTAGACTATTTTTATTATCAGGATTCTACCTAGCCAGGAACAACACCGACCACCGCTCATATGGTGCGAACGTGGCCGCCCAACCCCCTTTTCGACACCACACATCTCCCATAGCAAACACACGATGCCCGGCGTGTCTAGATCAAAAGCGTGCGACACTTGCAAGAAGCGCAAGGTAAAGGTAGGTGAGTGCCCTTTCAACTGCTCCTCGACCTGAACCTGCGTTGACACCGCTCCCTTCTAGTGCGATGAGAAGTGGCCAACCTGCTCGCCATGCGCGCGACACAAAGTCATCTGCCCCGGCCCGTCATCGCCAGGCTTCAAGTTCGTCCACCAGGAGAACCAGCCGGCCCAGAGGCGCCCCGTCGAGCGCGAGCGCAGGCCGCGTATCCCAGGCGAGAGGGAAGACCCGGGCTCCCTCGCCCTGCAGGTCCGCAAGATGCGCTCGGCCGTCCACGGCGATGGGAGCAGCTACGGCTCGTTCCGCCTCGTCAATCCCACCCCCCGACCGCAGCCGACGACTCTCTGTGACAGAGTTGCGCAGCGCCTGGTGGGCCACCTGGAGCGGGGTAGGGATGGAGGCATAACCCTGCAGATGACCTACCTCAAGTATCTCCCCCAGCGCCTGTCTGAGAGTGCTTGTCTGCGTGACAGCGTGGCTCTCTTCTGCACCTCGTGGGCTGGCTTCCGCCGCCAGCAGCCGCGTGGGGAGATTGTAAACACGGTTGGGTACGGCAAGGTGCTCAGGAGTCTGCAACGCGCGCTGGAAGGTCCTCAGGCCCTTTCTGTCGAGACTTTGGCTGCCGTGACGTTGCTGGAGAGGACCGATGCGATATTCAATCGGAAGCCCAAGCATCACTGGGATGTCCACCAGAAGGGGATCAGAAATCTTATCACCCAGAAGGGTCCGCCTAATGTTGACGATATGCTCGACGTGTGTCTAGCCAACGAGAACTATGGCATGTTGGTAGGTGTCAGTGATACGAACATCCCTTTCCATTCTCTTGTAATATACTGGTCACCAGCTAACGTCTTCTTCAATATAGCTCGGCCATCTGGCAAGAGCAGGCGGCTCGAACTTCATGCTACAACCGCCGTGGAAGGAGGTAATGGAGAAGTGCGAGGATGTATATCTGAAAAGCCTCAACCTCGAACCTTTCTCCGATGAGTCGATTAGGTTGATCAACCGTGTGTACGCCGAGTGGCCCGACTGGGTAGCAGAGAAAGTCCGGATCCGTCAAGATCCGCTGAGCGATGAGATGATGGCCGCCGCTGCATCTTTCAGGGAGAAGCTTTCTTCCATTGAAGCCGCTGTGCGAGACGCGGTCATTCCCCTGACCGAGGATGGACTTGCGAGCGGGAGTATTGCTGAGAAGAAAGAGTCCAAAGCGTTCGTGGGCAAGAAGTACATCTTCAAGACTGATAGCTTGGCGCAAATGTTCATGTCCGCACTCATGCTGAGGGCTCTTCTCCTTCTCATGATTCGTCAGCTGGATAATCTGTATACTCGTGTGGATGACGTGGTATGCGCAGAATATAGGAAGGTCAGCGTGCAAATATGGATGTTTGAGACCTACCTACGCGCCATGGAGCCACTGATTGCGGTCAACTTCATGGGAGGCATCCATGTCTCGCTAGATGCAGCCTCGCCGGAGGAGAAGGAGCGTATCGTGGACTGGGTGATGGACATCGACGAGGGCTTACATACACTTGGGCTTGAAAAGTCTGTATTGGCGGGTTACATCCAGAAATATACGGATATAATGACGGGGGAGCAGACGATGCCGAAATGAAAAGGGCCATGTAAGATAAATATTACCAGTGTTTTGCTTATATAGAGATCGATTACCAAGTCAAAGAGCCAATGAGCATTAATACCAAATACACCAAATACATCTCAGTTACCACATAAATCCACTCCAGTTAAGCTTCGTGGAGCCTATCTCAGAATGTGGACACACATTGTCTCCTTTTACTGGTCCACGCGTACGCCATGCTTCTCCCCAGTTTCAGCGTCTACGGCATAAGGCATGTGACTAGTCTTACCTACCGGCAAATTGTGATGATAAGGTGAGGCAAAGGGCACCATGGCGGTGAGTCAGGGGCCTCCTGGTCCCGAATCCCAGGAAATGTGCGGACTGGTAACAGTTCTGCCCTATGCCTTATGCCAGGGCTGTTCCAAGGCCTTCTCAAAAAGGTTACATGATTCATCAAATAGCATGTACTCCGTAGGCTGCCTCCAACTCCGCTCTGGCCGGTCCAAACCCTCCATGAGGTATGGATGGCGGAATTTGGGGGTGTGGGACGTTCTAGCAAGCTATTTTTAGTTTCTAGGGACGGTAAACTCTCCAGACACGTGTTCCACGACCATCCAGTGGCACCCACAGGTTTATCTCAAGGATGGACCAGATATAACTGAATAGCTTGATCTTATCAACCGGGCTCTAAACCATTGTGGTGATGGTCGATGAGTGAAGACGCTGGAGGAGTTCAAGGCACTGGGGGAAGATTGAAGCACCGAATTAAAGAAACCGCCCCCACAATCAAGGATGCCCAAAAACAAACTTGGCTCATTGGGCCGGTAATCTAACTCCCTTTGTGTTAGAATTACTGCCCCGTGCTGGGTAAATGCCTTTGCTTACTGGCTAAGACCCAGAAAACCCCTGGTTAGTTTCAAATGCCGCTGGACGGTAGAAGATGCCGCTGACAGAAGGATTACTCAAAAGCCAGGGAGGGCATGGCCTTGGCGACAACTCCAATCTCGCAATTGGCTGACTGAACTGCCGGGATGAAGCAAAACTCCGCTCCCTGCCCAGGCTGCAAGGGTGAATATGGAGCGAAGACGAGTATCTGAAAAGAGGCATCCGATTAATCAAGCTTACCGAGTTTGCTTATTTTCTTAATTTAAATCTTCTGCTGTTTCGTTCACATCTTAATTCCTTGATATATTCCGTTGTTCGGGCGTGAGTTTTCTCTTCTGTTTTCTTGCTTATCGTCTTGAACTCTCATCTCAGCGACGCGTTCTTCTTTTCCTTAACTCCTGGACCATGAATTCATCATCACGGCGTCGCGACGCTCAAAATAGGAGCGGCGTAAGTTCGGAGACAGACATTGACCGGAACGACGTCTACAATATCGAAGGCAGTCCCAACCAGTACCAAGCCCCCAGCCTAGGCCCACGAAGTGTGTGGTCCATCCTCGGACAATGGTGGCCAGAGTTTTTCGCCTTTCTGGCGGCATGCGGGTTGCTGGCGGCCATATTCGGTGTTCTTGAAAAGAACAAGGACCAAAGAAGCAACTACTGGACCATCTCGGGACTCAGTCTGAACTCTTTCGTCGCCCTACTTTCAGCAATCTTGAGAGCCTTGGTTCTCCTCGTTGTGGAAGAAGGTCAGTGAACTCGTTGTCAGGTTTGGCTTTGCATTAACGCACGCCGCTAACCATTGAGTAGTTATCAGTCAACAGAAATGGCTGTGGCAGCTTCGCCGCAGACCGGTCGGCCAACTCAACTCGATCGACGAGGCAAGCAAGTCGCTTATGGGCTCCTTTTTGCTTCCCTTCCGCCTGCGCACATGGTTGTAAGTAGTCTCTGTGCCCCAAAAACATTATGTATCCGAGCAAACACTCACAAGCATGCCATAGTTCCAACATGTATATCGGATGTCTCATCATGATCTTGTCCTTGGCCATCGGGCCATTCAGCCAGCAGGCAGTAGGAACTAAGACCTGTGAGATTTGGCAGAATGGCGTCAAAGCCCAGGTGCCATATACCACTCGAGGCCCCGAGTACTTTCGATTCGGAGCAGGACTGTTCGATATCGAGCCCGGTTATGCCGGCAGAATGGCCAGTGCGTGTATGGATCCGTCCACTCAGAACTCGACATTCCTCGTCGAGGGCTGCTCCACGGGAAACTGCACATTCATACCCAGCCAACAAGAGGACTACGCTTTATCGACACTCGGAGTGTGTTCCAAGTGCATGGACACCACCAAGTATCTTCAGAAGAACAGAGACAACAGCAGCGGCGGTTACGATATTGTTTCGATCCCCAACATCATCAATATGACTGGAAGCTACCAGATCACTGGCTTGGAATCACGCATCAGTTCCCTCAGCTACGCCCAGTCTGACTTTGACGACCTGCAACGAGCACTCTTCCCAGCATCCATTCTCAACTATACAGTTGTTGGTACAACATCTGCCGGCTGCTCATACGCCAACGAATCGAGCATCATCACCGGATGTACTCCTACAGCCCCGCTAGATTTCACATGGAAGGCTGCAAACCGAGATCCGCCAATGAACGTTTTCTCTTCAGGCTGCACTTTCTACATGTGCATGAGACACCACAGCGTCAAGGTCGACCGTGGTGTCTTCCAGGAACAACTTGTTTCTTCTTCTCCGGGTTTCCACATGGAGCCTGAGGGGTCCCTCGATCACGTCTACTTCTGGAAGGACAAGTGTAAGGTTGGCGACGAGACGATTGACATGACCAAAGCGCGGACTGTGAGTTACAAAGACGGCATCATCGATGTTCGATTAAACGATGAAGACACCGTGGGTCGCACATTCCCCAACACGACGGACTGTCTCGAGTCCGTTTCGTGGCCAAGTTGGAGAGGCCTCCAGAAGTCGATGCAGGTGCTGAACTCAACGTGTCGCTACCCTTCTCAAGCCACCCTTGGCAGCGTCAAAGGCCGAAGGGAGCAGATCCAATGCGATGACTACTATCTCTCCGGCCTGCTCGCTAATGGATTGGGCTCTGCCTCAACAGTCTCGAGCACGTTCCAAGCCGTTGCCAACGCAGTCACAAACCGCATGCGCCAGACGGCCGTGCTGTCCAACTTCACCGGCGACGCGGGCAGCCCTACCTATGAAAAATCCCAGGAATCTCAGACCCAAGGTGGATTCGTTCAGGGAGGGTATGTCTACGGCAACGTGGTCGAGTACGGCGTCTGCACCGAGTTCCACGGCGAGTGGCTCATCTTCCCGCTGCTGCTCCTCGTGGCCACCGCCTTGTTCCTGCTGCACACGGTCATCCGCTCGGTCCTCCGCCGCCACCAGGAGCCGCTATGGAAGAGCTCACTGCTACCGGCGCTTTATGCCAGCCCCGAGTCGCAGCTGCAGGCGGGCTACCACTCTCTGCAGCAGCTCGAGGAGAAGGCTGACCAGGATTCTGTGCAGCTGGTCAAGACTGGAGATTATAAGTGGGAGTTGATTAAGGATGCTGAGCATAGTGAGCAGGAACTGGCGCCAATGGCTGCGCCGGTAGATATGGGACAGGAGTATACATCATACAAACGATAGTTAGTGAAAAAGCCTGGGCCATATCAGTTGTGCTATGGAATAGCACGATTTCGTGTGTTCGGGACTGCAATCTTAATTATCTAGAGTAATTGGAATCAAACGCAATAAATTGCAGTACCGAGATGGTCAACTTTGTTAATCTAGGGAGTTTCGTGTAGGCTTATAAGAGTCCCTCGGGTGACGAACGGTCTAGAGTGTTCAAACTCTCGATATAGCTTTCAGTGGAAAGAAGAGTTGGCTCTTGAGGGAGAAAAGTAAAGAGAAAATAATGAGGCTGAAGCTTGTTCCTATTTATGACTCAGAATTATAGACAACATCCAATATATGATGAACCTAGGATGAATTCAACTGGACCGAGTCATACCTGTACTGTAACCTTCTAAGCAAAAAGAGTTAGAAAGTAGGGTACATGAAACGCACTCCTCTGAAATAAATATAGCTGATTCTTCATGACTTGTTGTACTGGTTCAGTACGTAAAGATCTTTAGTACTGCTATTGGGTTCGCCACGGTTCAACAATCCCTGCTAAATCAAGCTGAATGATCTAGCTGTAGAGTTACATTGGAATATGAGAATAGCAAGACGGACCAATTCAGCTAAGATATCACTCGAGCAGGATCTAACGGGAGTTAGAATTTGTATTTCCCTGATGAGCCAACACGCACTCCATCTGAACTAATCCAGTGATATCATTTCGAACGGGCCCTTTCCTCCCTTTATTGGCGTCTGGCTTTAATGTCAAGCGGCAAGATTGAAGGACTTTGAATAAGCTTGTCTAGGTAAGGGCATACATAATATTAAGTTCGTAATCAAGACTACCAATAGAATAGAGTAAAAATGATGTGGGAGTTTTCACTAAATGACCAAGAACACCAAATTCTCCTATAGTGGTCGGTTAATGATCCTGTAGCTTGAATGTGTTGACCTTCTAAGCAAAATGTAGACCCTATCACACCATAAGAAGAAGATCATAAAGAGAAGAACTGTGGCTTGACAATGGAGGGTGAGGATATGATACTAATAATAGCCTGTATGCGTTGTATCTGGCTGTGATAAACGCGCATTATCTTTGACGCGTGGTCTAACAGTTCGTAATCGACGATCGTCACCGGCCATGCGTCCCAATCTCCGATCGCAAGTCAGGGAGTCTATCTTGAATGGAGAGAGAGATCACGCTAATGAATGAGCAATTTTAAAAATTCAATAGTCTGCTTGAACTTGGTGGCTTATTGAGATCGGCCCCTGGCTAATGCAGCTAGATGGGCCGATGGTCTAAGTGGGCTCAACCTCTCGCCAATATCTTCATCAGATTGAACAAGTCATGTCACTAGCGCTGGATCCGCTATTGCTTGTTCTCTTTATTTTCCTCCTTATCCTTCCCACCCTTCCTGCAACGGGCTGAGCGTGGTTGTCTTTTCCAACATTCGTTTGACACTGGCAGAACGCCGTCTTCACACTCGTTAACTAATTGCAACAATATTGCCATACGCCGACTCGTTAGGCTTCCAATCTTGCGATTCGCTCCCTTAATTTGCAAAACCTTGACTTATAACCTAATATTTTTAAGACTGCCAGCTCGCGTCTTCTCAGCCATGCTCAACACTCTTTTCATCGGCAGCTTGCTGTTGCTGCCAACGCTGGGACAGGCGGCAAGCATTTTCCCTCGTCAACAAGCCCTGTGCGGTCCTCAGCCAAATCTATTAGTCAATCCCTCCTGGGAGCTGGGGACTATCGGATGGGCGTATAGCAACAATGCCTCACCCCAGATAGCGAGCGGTGTTAGCAGCGACGGTGCTCAGTCCCTGTAAGTCGTGCTGTGATGCTACCTACCAGAACAATAGAATCATGGCTAACTCGATGGCACAAACGTCATGTAGTTCAATTTCCCCAGCAGTATATAACACATTCACGGTTCGCCAGTCCGCGGGTGGCGGGACCCTTGACCGAAGCAAGTCGTACACATTCTCCGTCGACATCGCAGCCGTGGCATATCCTCCTTATGCTGGTCCTCTGGTTTGCACCCTCCAAGCCTATCACTGCCAAACCTTCAACTATATTTTCGACAAGACTGTGGCTTTCACTCCAACCTCTACTCCATCGGCCTTTGCAACCTACAGTGGCTCCTTTGTCCCACCAAATTTGGTCGAGGACATTGTAATTACCGGGTACTGCAGATACTCGACTCAAGGTTCGAACCCTACACCTGGGCCGTTCACTCTATATATCGACAATGCCAAGTTCAGCATGGATGCTCCCGCTTGTCCATCATCGACCCCAGTATCTACAGTTCCCTCCACCACGACGCCGGTGTCAACCCCAGAGCCTACCACCCCATCCGCGACTTCAACTGTTCTTGCAACGACAACAACTCCAGCAGACTCGACAACCGTCGCCTCCACGACCCCTTCGGATTCCGCGACCCCCTCAGACTCCGCAACACCTTCAGTTTCCACAACCCCTTCAGTTTCAGCGACACCATCAGCGACCGATAGCGTGTCTTCCACCCCAACTCCATCTGACACGACTACCCCGACGCCCACGACGCTTGCCACAGTCACTACCCCCAGTTCCACAGTTCCTTCTGGAACCATCACATCCCAACCGGAATCTCTGACACCAACAAGCTCCTCGGCTACTCCTGTGCCAACATCTAGCCGTCCATGCAGGCGCCGCAATAGACGGACTACAACCGTCATTTAGATTCCGTTTGCTTGGGGAGGAAGGGCGTCACGGTTCTAAACCAGTACTTATAGCTATTAATTCAGTTGTGGTTCAGCATTTGTGATCAGCATGGGTCTTGTTCGGGGCATTGTCTAGAGTAGCCATAAGCTTTCCTGCGTCATTGGGCTTAAGGAGAAAGAGAATTTTTACGTTGCCTCGATGAAGGCGGAACCGGACTTTGATTTCCACCCACATGTGATGCTAGCTCAAATTCAACCCGTGGAATGTTGTGCCTATAAATAGTAATGAAATGTGCTCATTGAAAAGAGTAGAAGCCTCGATTGAGAATATGGAGTTGCCAGATCTTTAGATTATTAATTTTAAAGGCCTTCTTGAGATACTTGAATGACGCTTTATATTGCCGTTTGAATACTCAAGCTGAGTCTATTGAATCCATGCTCAAATTTTCTTTATATGCTAGGAGGGATAAGATTATCATGTGTAGTTGGGCATTTATTCCCTTCAAAGACCCAGAAACCTTCTTAAGAATAAACCAGTTTGTGCAGCAATTCTCAGGTTACTAGGTTGATTCTCGTTAACCGAATCGGCAGTCATGACGCCGAGGTTTAAATTTGAGTATCAAGGCTCCGAGAATAGAATCAAGTAATTCTCTTTCCACACAACCTCGTCAATTTTCGTTTGAATTTACTTGAGACAATTGGGCTGAGGGGTTGTGGTGCCACTGGTTGTAGGGTAGTGCACATGTGTTGAAGTTCAGCTCGGCACTCGGCCTTGTCCGTGACGTGTGTCAGCTCGGACAAGAATGCAAGAGTAAAGTCCGAACCAATGATATTGCAACACAGCAAAGCGCCATCAAACATCTACCTATTTCAAGTCTGCTCTTTCAACTCAAATATTCGTACTCAGAGTACCCAGAAGTCCTCTGATTATTACAAGATTTCATTCCGGCCGTCCCACCGCCAATGAGAAATGCGGTTGATCGAACCTGTCCGATATCATGCCTGAAAGCCAAGGGCCAACTCCACCAGAGATGGGCCTCTCACGGCTGTCGTGCGTTTCATGCCGGGCCCGAAAACTGAAGTGCGATCGTACCATGCCAGCGTGCGTTCGGTGCTCCAACGTCGATAACGAGTGTGTTTATCCCGAGTCGAGGAGGAAGCGCATCTATAAGAGGGCAAATGTGAAAGAAATGGAGGAACAGCTAGGTATCTGAATGCCTTCGATTATTTAAATGTTTACGGCACAGAAGCTCACATTCTTTGACAGCCCGCCTTGAACAGCAACTGAATCTACATATAGTCAATGGCGAGAAGAGCCGGGGCACTACAGGCACCAAAACCGCGCCTGACCCTCAGCCCAAAGAGATGAGTACCACAATCGATGCACCGGAATATGAGTTGCCTGATTCCGGGTCTGGCTACCATTGGGTCTCTGATGGCCAACTGATAGACCTTGGAGTATCAGAGCCGTTGCCGCCCTTCGAAGTAGTGGAAGAACTGTGCGGTTCCTTACATGCCTATTGAGATATGAATTGGTACTTAGTATTCATAGGCACGACATCTATTTCCGAAACCAGCACCATTCGATGCCGATGCTGCATCCCACGCTGTATCTACAGGCCATACATGGGCCGCCTAACAAACGACCGCCGATGTGCTTGCAGTACATTGTCTGGGCTATGGCATCGAAAGGAAATGAGAAATATGACTTCTATGCAGATGCATTTTACAAGCGGGCGCGACAATATGCCAACATGGATGAGATGCAGGTAAACTGGGAGACACTGCAACATCCCTCAAGGCTACCTTGTCACTAACACGTGCAAGGGCGATGGAGATCATTTGACCCTCCGCCATTTGCAGGCATTCATACTTATGGCCGGATTTGAAGCAAAATGCATGCTCTTTACAAGAGCGTCTATGAACTCGGCCAAATCTGTCAGCCTCGTACACTCTCTAGGTTTTGATAGAGTTGACGATCCCGATATTTCGCCAGCATCAACCACAGTGTCCGCAGCAAGCTGGATTGAGATTGAGCAGCAACGGAGAGCGTTCTGGGGCGCCTTTGCTGTTGATGCACATGCTAGTATATCCACGGGATGGGCTAGTTTGATATACTCCAATGACGTGAGTACTGGCATATCCCATCACCCGACTATCTAATGCTCATACCCGAATAGCTTATGACGCGGCTTCCCGCATCAGAAGATGCGTTCTTATCTGGACAGATAGAAGATGCTCCATTTCTCGATGAAGTCTTCCAGGGGGCTTCTCACTCTACTTTTGCTACCACACTTGTCATCTGTCACATCTTCAAAATTACTCTAAACCATACCTCTCGCCACTCACATGGCGCTGCCTTCTGGAAGCGCCACAAGGACCTTGATCATAAGCTTTCCAGCATTTTCATGTTTCTACCGGAGCGGTTTCAGTCGCCAGATTATAAAAGTGACCCTGTCGCAGCCCATACCAACCTAAACTTGCACGCCACCACCATTTGCCTTCACTACGCGGCCGTTGAGATAGTGGATAAGCACAGTCACTCTGAAGCTACCAAACAGCAAAGCTTGAGTAGGATGAGAATCAGTGCGGAAGAGATTGTGGAAGTAGTAAAGGCCATCTCTCCCAATTCATTTATATATGTATGTTCACTGTCTCCCCAAAAATGTCCCGAAGCTAATGTTGCTATAAGAAATCTGTGCTATGCTCTCTGTCACTGTACTGCGCAGCAAGCGTGTACATCTACCTTGCCAGGGATAATCCGGTCGAAGGATTACCTGCAAATGAGTTGGCTAACTTTGAGATGATTCTCCGGTCTATGGAAACCACCGGTCACGACCATAAGATCACACGAGCTCTGTTGCTCCAAGTCTACCGAGATGCGGAACGTTACGGACTAAGTTCTATCCTGCATTTGCCTGATACTGGACAGGTCACAGAAGTTGAGCTAGGATATTGTCCGAGCGTTTTCATGAGCGTGAAAATCGCCATGATAAGGCAACCCATCTTTAGTCCTCTCCAGGTGGGAAGGCTGCCGTTGGGAGCAGGAGATCTGGCCTTTCAAGACTTGACGTATAATACCTTGGAGAATTCGTTGGACCTACCAGATACTAGCACATACACGGAAGGCAGCACAAGTACTGGACAGCATATCCAAGATGTCTCAATGCCTTTATGGCCGCAGAGCGGCAATGACTTCTCATCACAGATGTTGGAATCAATGACGAGTCACGACCCTACTCTGAATGATGGCTTCGAATTGGAACTTCTATAAAGTACCTTGCAGATAAACTGAGAAGGTATCAATAAATAGAGTATACCTCAAGATGCTGTTTAGACTTGGTTATCTGCTAGGGAAAGCCCAACGTATCAGGTGGGATAATTCGCATTCTCACGCCTCGCACTATCTTGGTCATACATGTACATGCAACCTTGCGACTGACTTCCCATCACGATAAGCATCCAAAGCTTCGTTTACATATGTCGCCTCTAGACCCTGCTTAACAGTGAATCTCAGAGGCTTAATTTGGCCCTGCTCGAGATATCCAGGGAGCCGCTTCCAGAATCCGAGCGCCAAAGCTGGTTTGGCATGAGAGCTCCCGATGACTTTATGCCACACAAAGCCTGCCTTTTTCTCGGTTATCCTCGGATCATTTGCCTGCCCACGGGGGAGGAGGGTCGCCAGAATCCCCTTCTTGGAGCTGGAGAGAGCGTTGAGTGCGAGGATCTGATCCTCGGGCGGGTTGATTGTGTCACATGCATATAGCAAATCATCGCCGACAAGGTCTTTGATCCTAGACAGTACAGCATCGTATCCGCCATGCCGATCCAGCACATGTGTAGCTCCATATGAGAACAACTCATCTGCTGGTCCGCCGACGGCAATGATACGGCCAATCCTGGCCAGTTTGGCCAGCTGGACGGCGAATTTCCCACAATTGGTTCCGCCTCCAATGATGAGAACTGTTGTCCCATTGTAGTCGAAAGCTTTGCCGTCCGGCGCCCATGGCGCAGGAATGTCGAACGTATCGAAAATGGCAACAAGAGGGGCAAAGATGTTTGAGGGAAGCGTAGCAGCCTGATCATCTGAAATGGAGGCTGGGATTTTTGTTGCTGCTAAAACATCTGCGACGGCATATTCCTGAAGTCCTGTTTGGCTTTGCTCCCTCGTGAACTGTGCTTGGTAGGCGATGCGGTCACCTACAGCAAACTCCGTCACACCATCGCCCAGCTTGGTGACCTTGCCCACTACATCATTGGCAAGTACAGCCGGAGGAGAGATGTAGTGGCCAAGGTCCCGAACTCGTTGATCATGAGGGTTGAGGCCTGCGACAGAGACTCGCACTTGGACCTGCCCTGTGCCTGGAAGAGGAATGGGATGGTCACCAACTAGTTCCACGGGTTTCCCGATCTCTTTTACGAGCAATGCACGCTGAAAAGACATCGTTCGTTTAGTTGATGAAGCCAAGCAATCAACTGGAGCATATGGAAATATATTTCGTATTGTATCGAGATGATGCTTGTTGATTGATGCAAAATAAGCACTTCGCCAAAATAAAGATTGTTGTTCGTAAAATTAGAAAATTGAAGAATCTTATTCAAGTGCCACGGTAGATGAAGATTTCTCTCCAAAAAATGGTCATCGCCATTTGTCATCTCGCGTATATAAATTGCCGAAAATCGCACAATACCACGGCCAGGATCGCGAGACCCCGTCCTGATTGGTAATCGAGTAATCAATGAAGTATTCATAAGCACTTGCTAATTCGGTGATTGAATCAGGTACCTTGGTGCGGGAGTTCCTACTGATTTCGTCAACCGGCACGTACATTGCTGCAAGATTATTCAATATGTCTACACATCAACTTGCCTTTTGATCTAACCTCTATTTTGTAACTTTAACTGATCATTTTGGTCAAACTTTCTAAAATCTTTCTATTTGAGATATAGAGAATGCATTGTATGCTCTCACATAAAGATATAGATAGTCATGCCTGGGGGACGATCACATTAGAAGTGCTTATCGGTTTCATGCTGACCAAGAAAAGACAATTATGACAAAGGGCGTTACAATGATTCGTCACGAGTCCTGTAAATCTATATTTCGCTTCAACAGTTGCCAATGGTTTGTTTAGTGTTGCGTAAGAGCAGAGCATAGCGCATGGCGCACTTCGAAGGAGGGTAGGAGATCAATTTATTTGTTGGTTTTGTGAACCAACTTGAGGGTCGATAAAGTAATTTGTATTTGGCATTTCGGATAAATTTATCGCGCCGTATTGTCCTTCCTCAGTCCGTAGCTAGAACAGGCTCTTTTGGAAGTCCTCAATTAATCAACGACTTAAACATCTCGGCAGGTGTATGCTTGATCACTCCCATATCGAGGATTTCCGGACTGGTGGAACCGGACGATTTGCCTTCCCAACTCGCCTCCAGAGCATACCTAAGAGACGAAATCACGTTCGGGGATTCGTTTTGAAGTCCCTCTAATAACGAGTCGACAGACGACATATCCTTGTAGATGACATTTTCAACGCTTGTTCCAACGGCTTGTTCAACCAACTGGACAATCTGTTGTCCAGTCACGCCCTCAGGCCCGTTCAATATGTATTTGGCTCTGTTGTGCTTTGCCGTATCCTCTTCAGCCAAAAGATGAGCAGCAACAACTCCAATTTCAGGTGGATGAATAATTGCCACAGGAAAATCCTTCGGGGCCATAAGACTCAAGGTGTCTTGCTTTCCTGTGCTTCGGAAGTTCTTGACGAACTGGGCTGCTGAATACAGATAGGTGGGACCGAAGGCGTTGGGCTGTAAAGAAGTGAATTGCAATTTCTCGTATTCTGGAGAGCTGAGCAGCGCTTCGATTGCCCAGTGTGCCCTCTGGTAGTAGGATTTGCTATCCGGACGGACTGCTGGATGAGCCGTTGAGATTCGCACCACGTACTTCACATTGGCGTGAAGAAGCGCGAGGTGGAAGGTAGATTCCTCTGCGAACTGGTTGGTTTGGAGATGTGGTGCAATAAAGGCCCTTTCCACATTGTGCTCTTGAAGCCATTCGGGCGTAATTTCAACCCAACTCTTTTCTTCAAGTAGGACGAATGGAAGCTTAGCAAGACGTTGTGCAGTAGCACCATCCTTGGACCGAGTGAGCGCAATGATTTTATAGTCAGAAAATGAAGGCTTAGAACTCAAAAGGCGAGATAAGGTTTCCACTGCACTCTGTCCTGTATTTCCGGTGGCACCCGCGACAAGAATAGAGCGAGCCATGGTTGCGTTGCGAACTGTTGGGTCTCGCGAACTGGAGCGGCGTGGTACAGTTTAACGAAATTTATTAGGAAATCAGAGGGCCAAAATGATTTTACTTATATACCTTTATGAGTTACTTAACATTGGAAACGGAATGCTCTAAAGTCCGCAAAAATCCGCCAACTCCGCCTGTTTTGTTGCAAAAACGACCTCCACGGACGCCACGGAACTGCTGCTGCGATCTAGTTGGCACAAATACGAATCTCCCTCGGTGAGCCTAACCTACAATCAGATGTAGTTAGACGATCTACTCTTCATTCGCTGCTTTTCTCGATCTGCACGGGGAGCTCGATCTTTGGCCATAAAACCTGTAGTTGCTGGATGTTATTGTATTAAATCTTAAGCATAGCTAAGATAGGTCGTGCTTCAATTCCTTGATTAAAGCCCACATTGAGATGTTGGAGACACTGTTCTTTATTTCATTATGAGGCTCTATACATACCAATTCCCAGAACTTCACATTATTGTATAATGTTCATGGCTTGCCAAGTCTTGTGTGGTCCTCGAGGCTGGTATCAAAACTCTGATATGCTATGCGAAGACGTGTTCACATTACTCCATGCAACCGCCGTAAATCGGGAGTTGTACCTAAAGAGGTGAGTGTCTTCCATTTCTTTTCTGTGCTCAATTGACTCGAATTCTTTTTCAATCTACCTCTATTGTGGTGATTCATCGATGAAGCGGAGTCGAGCCCATACTACAGAAAAGTGGCTTCACATTAGTATCATGGTCCATGTGAGAGGTACCGGCATGCCATCAGATTTGCCCATTACATTCAAATAAGCACGGCGTTTCTGACTGCAGCTGCTCGCGTTTGCTCACTATCATTGTTGAGGCGCATGTCTGTGAAGAATTTTCCTCATCTACTTCCAACCTGATAATGATTGTGATTACATCTTGAAGGGGGAAGCAATACATGAACGGTATTTATTTTTCTACTTTCTTTTTCTCTTTCATTTTCTGCCATCGGATCATCGCGATTGACGTAGAAATGCAATGAGAGGTTGGTCAGGAGAGACTGAGGGACAGGGGACCATTTACCACAATGGGTGGGAAGCATCACCCAGTCAGCGGGCTAACTTAGGGCTGGCAGCAATGCGAATTTGCTTTTTCAAGTGCCTGGGATCTGAGATTACTGCTGCTCAAGCTTGTGCGTCAGAGTCAATGATGTGAGGCGGGATAAGCGTCAGGGCTGAAACAAATATCTGCACGATCAAGGGGCGAGCCATGGCTCACAAGAGGGAGCAGTTTGTTGGTCACTTGTTGCAGCGAACGTATGATACGATCCCCGCCAAAGGCAGTTGGTCATCTTTAGCCCCTATTCAGCAGGATGTTGCGTAGGGCAAAGGGTAAGCCAATGTAACATTCTCCGCTCTTGATGACGTTCCCATTTCAAATCACAATGTGTGGATTCTAATTGATGGCTCTGACTGATGGCACGATTACTGCTAGAACTTCAAGCAATAATTCGCCCCAGGAAATGGAAAAGTGACTCCCGGCACAACCCCTCCGATAAAACCTTGGATCAGTATCTTGATACCTCTTTGGGACTGGCCTGGAGCAGGAGGCGGTGGCCAGCTGCAGGTATATGCACCTTTGGTCAGAGTAAGCGCCGACTGAGTGAATAGTCTGTGAGAAAGAGGCGCCAATGGTCAGCCGCACGGATATGGACATGATTGTGGATGATATGGTGGCTGACCATTGGCTTACATTCGATGCCGTTGTTCGCGAACAGCCAACGAGGCAACCAACTACGAATATTACCCTTTTTGTGGTGCGATTGGACCACTAGATTCGGCAGTCAAGGGCAAGGGATTCGGCCTCGATAGCTTGAATATTGTTGGTGATCTCTTGGCTATGATTCGGATTATGTCTTGGCCACGACGACTGTTCCTAACCAGACTTATTGGTCCTTGGCATCCCAATCTATAAATGTAATGATGTCTGCTCTCTACCCCAGCCCTGAATCTGAACAGAGCACGACGTGAATTTCTTCCATTACCAGATCATCCATATTATCCCCTTCAGTCTTTACAGTTGACAACAATCATGTCTGAGGAAGCAGAACCAACACCAATAACCCCTGCCAAGAGGTCTGCCAAGGAGCACCCCCAGGCGCTCATCTCGAAGTTCTGGCAAAAGTTCCACCACAAGAATCCCGGCAAGATTACTTCTATCTTTCCTAGGGATCTCTACAAGACTGTAGCCCCGAATCTTGCACCTCCCTCTATCGGTGTGCGCAATGCTGCTCAGAGCTATGAGATTGCTCGGTCCAAGTGCCTCGAAATGGTCAGGAAGGCTGTCGCTCGCTGCGAGAGCACCAATTCCAAGTTCATTGACCAGGAGTTCGAGATTGAGAGCGACCACTATACGTGGACGCACCACTGCCTTCGTGGCTTGAAGTCTGATGATTTTTACTATGTGCCCGGCTCTGTTCATCGTGTATCTTGGATCTTCGACAACCCTCAATTTACCGTGGACGGTTTCTCTGGATCTGATATCAAGCAGGGTTATCTCGGCAATTGCTGGTGGCTTGCTGCAATCGGCAATATAGCCCACCGCAAAGATCTGATGAAGAAGATCTGTGTGGCTCGTGATGAGGAATGTGGTATCTATGGCTTTGTATTCTTCAAAGATGGGGAGTGGATTCCTACGATTATCGATGATAATCTGTATCTGGAGGAAAAAGACTATGGTAAGGACGAGGAGGTATATGATGTTACCGGAAAGAAGGCCAAGCAGTGGAAGAAGAACAAGCAGACGGGGTCTGAGGCTCTCGCATTCGCATCGTGCGCTGATGAGAACGAGACATGGTTGCCTCTGCTTGAGAAAGCCGTAAGTATCACCCACTGGAACCACAACAACCTCTGCTCCTCTTCTTCCATGCTATTGAAGCTCACATTGTGTTCCCTCTGTTCTAGTTTGCAAAGGTTCATGGCGATTATGAAGCTCTTATCGGTGGTTGCGTCGGAGGGGGTGTTGAAGATATGACTGGCGGTGTCTCAAGTATGATCCTCACCACTTCCATCCTACGCAAGGAGAAGCTCTGGCGCGAGCTGCTTCAGGCCGACCAGGACGATGGCGAGTTCGTATTTGGCCTTTCGCCTTCGTATAGCCCCTGGGTCGGAGATCAGAACGGCATCGTTCTAGGTCACGCCTATTCAATCATCCGGGCGGTTGAAATTACCGATGAAAAGGAAAACAAGATTAAGCTTGTCAAGATCAGGTACGCATACCCTCTACAAAGTGTTATTGTAGAAAAAGCGCTTGCCCTACTCGATCATACTCCGAAACTAAGACTATTCCCAGAAACCCATGGGGTGAAACGAGCCGCGGTGAAGGAGAATGGCATGGCCCCTGGTCCGACGGGTCCAAGGAATGGACCGGAGAAATGCTGAAAAAGCTCCGCCATGAGTTCGGCGACGATGGTGTGTGGTGGATGACGCTTGATGATATGCTCCAAAATTTCCAGCGGATTTATCGAACCCGTTTATTCGATGCAAGGTGGACAGTTGCTCAGCAGTGGACGAGCCTCCCCATCTCGTGGGTTGCTGGTTATCACAAAACCAAGTTCGTCATTACTGTCCAGGAGGAGGGTCTTGCAGTCATTGTCTTGTCAAAGGTAATCCCAGCCGAAAACCCTAAAGCTCAAGTGGGAGGTTGCTAACTTCATGATCATCTAGCTTGACGAACGATATTTCTCAACCTTAGCCGGTCCATACGACTTCGCTATGAACTTCATCATCCTGCCCTCTGGGTCGGACGAGCCCATTGGAGAAGCACATTATAGCAAGCTCGATAGCAACGATCGATCTGCCAGTTGCGAGATATTCCTCCAGCCCGGGAAGTATGACGTGATCCCCAGGGTCGTTGCAGAGCATTCCGCTTTGCCACCCGTCGAAGATATTGTCAAGGAATACTCCACTGCCAACCCCCTTAAGCTTCAGCAGAAGGGGCTGCTTTACGACATCGCTCACGCCAAGGTTGGAGTTCTAGACGAGGACGAAGTATATTCAAAGAAGCAGCAAGAGGAGAAGGAGAAGGCGAAGGCAAAGAAGAAGAAGGAAAAGGCAGAGGATGCAGAGAAGAATCAAATGAGGCAGGCGATGGAGCAGATGACGTCCGCTATGGCAGCGATGCAGGTGGAGCTCGATAAAGAGAAATCAAAGGAAGAGGAAGAGAAAAAGGACAAAGAAAAGACCAAGGAAGGAGAAAAAAAGAGTGGAAATGCCTCGAAAGATGAGAAGAAGGAAGGTGACTCGGACTCCAAGGCTACGCTTTCGTCTGGTGAAAAGGCAGCACCCTCGGCAGCGGATAATGAAGGAGGAAAGAAGAAGGAGAAGGAGGAGAAGGAGGAAGAGAAAGAGAAGAAGGAAGAGGAAGATAAGGAAGAAGAAGAACCATCCAAGGAGGAGGAGCAGGACAAAGATGAAGAGAAGGAGGACGAAGACGATGACGAGGATGAGGATGAGGATGAGGATGACAGCGATGACAGCGATGACAGCGATGATGATGACAATGAAGGCAGATTGCCTTGGAATGCCGTTTGCGTTGCAGGCCTGCGCGTTTATTCGGAGGACAAGAACATTTCAGTTGAGGTTGTGCAAAGCGAAGAATAAGGGGTTTGTCAATACAAGTCTCCTCAAGCGACACAATCAATAACACACATGGAACTCTTACTTTTAGCAGCTAGACGTAGGTATGAGTGGACAAACTCTATATTCAAGCATACCGTTCCTCACATATTTAAACCTCTCGTGCAGGTTGAGTCCCTGTTCCTCGGAAAGATATCTGGGTTCGTATAATTCTTCTAGCTGCCAGTCGTATTTCGGGTGTTTCTATGGTACTCAGAATAAGAGCGACAGGTTACATTTTACTATGACTAGCATTCCTATTTTGGCTTACGTTCCATTTGCCTCGTCCTAGTGAGCAAGATGGCTGGGAATGTCTCTTATTAAGCTTCTATTCTTATTCTCATTGGGTAAGCCGGCATGACAGTTCAACATAACCCCACCAATTATTGAATCAGGTCAGGCGTCTGGATCTTACTTCTACATCATCATCACTCTGTCATCATGTCGAATATACAACGCGTCCCAGACGAGATCTGGGGACACATCTTCGAAGGCTTTGAATGCACTTTGCCTCCGGGTCAATGGTGGATGGATAGAGTCCTCAATAATAGGACTCACCGCCTCACTCTTGCATCGTTGTGCCTTGTCTGCCAGCAGTTCAGACGATGCGCACAACCTCTCCTCTACAAGAACCTCATCTTGGAGGGCGCAGAGCCAGACAATGACACGGCCTTCGTAAGAGCCATACGGGAGCTGGCACTGCATCCTAGCCTCGGTCAAAACACTCGCATCTTAACCGTTGAGAATAAGTTCGGGAGGAGTGGATACGACCTGCACGTTGACAGTGAGCAGCTCGCGTCGGCCATAAGCATGATGGATCTGCCACCCCGGTTTCGGCAGTTTCTTAGAAGTAGTCATTTTGATGTTGGACGTATCAGTCCCGCATCTCTCTGCCTTCTTTTCACTCCAAACGTGCAGTCGCTAGACATTACGGTTGGGGAAACGCCACTACTTCTCTCCTGGATCCTGAGCGGAAATCTTGACCTGGAGAAGAGCTCATTTCTGCCCAAGAGAAGCGAAGAAGATGAGCCTGGGGATGATGCCGACTATGGCCTTGGATACGATGATGATCAAGTGGTTATTAGAGCGTATTCCAACTTTGGGCTACCACGGCTGAAGGAAGTGCATCTGAAGCCCTGGAGTGTCGTGTTCACCACGCCCATCACCGATATAGAGGCAGCTTTCATGCACCCGGGTGTCGAGACCATGCGCATGGTGGGCCTCGACTGGCGAGCCACACACGTACCTAAACGACGATGGCCTGCTTCCACATCCAACATAAGGGTTTTAGAATTGACGGAATGCATCATGGATGCGAGAGGCATAGAGGATATGTTCCAGCTTTGTCCCAAGTTGGAGAGCCTCAGAATCTTCCTCGCCGATAGTAACCGAGCAACGGAAATTCAGGATGCTGATTATGAAATCAAAATGGATTCCGTCGGCGTTGTGCTTCGGAAGTATGGAAGAAACCTGGTCGAGCTCGACCTAGAGACTGCTGAGTTCGGTGGTTACATCAACAGGGCCATTGGCTCTCTTCAAGATCTTGACAATTTGCGCCACCTCAAAATAGCACAAAGAGATCTCGTTGGATACAGCACCTTTTATCCTTTCGACCCAGCGGTGCCTCATCTTGTAAGCGTTCTACCGCGCTCCCTCGAGACGCTTTATTTGCACTACGACAGGCTGTACATGGCACTGGCGGCAGATGAATACAAACGCAAGGGCACAAACAACGAGATTTGCGAGTTAATCACCAGTGGAGAGTTTCCAAATCTTCGCGAGGTCAAGGCCGAACGATATTTAGAGGATTCAAAGCCTTTTGAACATAGCATAGATGGTTGGCGGTCCGAGATACTACAGGAACCTCTTTGGAAAGGACCATCTACTGGCTGTCGGCGTGTGATTATCATGGTTGTATCTAAAATATGATGAAGTACACAATGCATGAGAAAGAACTCAAAAGAACTAAAAGGTATCTCAAGAACTTTCTTTTTACTCAAGGCGGTGACATTTCGCCATCTACGATAAGCAGCGTGTTTAGGTAGCAATATAGCAAAGTCGCAGTTGGCTAATTACCATGTTACTGAAGTGTTTTTCTTCATCTCCTCTGCTACAACTCTACCTCTCCATGAAACGGGGCGTTGCCGCCAGTTTCCCGCCAGTACGAAGCATCTCCAAACAGCCTTTGTTTCTTTGTTTTGCTGCACCAGACCAAATTCAACAAATGCGACCTATGTCTTATCGTCTCGGTTGTGCTCATTGTTGTCATCGTCGTTTCGCGCGTCACCCTTGTCAGCTTCCTCAACTTGATCACACTCGGATGAGTGGGCGCATGGGTGATCTGCGTTCTCGGGCTGATATTGGCATTTGCCGTACACAAATACTGCTGCCAGTCCGCCTTTGGGCTGATCAGGTTGTCCCTCCAAAAAGACCTGGATGGTTCTATTACGTCGTACCCACTGAACGTATGGCTCGTTGTAGCATCCAGTCACTTTCGTTGCATCAACGAGGACATCGGGTCCAAATGCATCACAGTCGAATTCACTCGCCATGAAACTCTCCTGGTCAGGTTGCCCGACCAGAAGCCGAAGCCTCACCCCCGGTGTCACGTAAACAGCACCCATCATTATGTTCCGATCGGACTGTAACTGCGCCACTCTTTGCATCCTCCCAGTCTCAATCGCAGTCTCGGGATAGTTGATGGCTAAAACTTCGTGTGCCGGAGGACGGAAAGTCCCAGTGTTGCAGTTCACTTCGCTCAAGAAACGAGCTACATCCCAGAACACGTGGTTCCACATCCAGTACACCATGTCGCGGAGCGGAGTATGTACTGAGGAGGTATCCAGATTCTTGAGGGCCGCGAGTTCTTCGTCTGGCAAATTCTGGATGAACCGGGCTATCCTGCCGAAGGCTTCGCCGGGGTCCGGGTTTGAAAACGTGCCATCGTCGAAGTCGAAGGCTTCTGGGCGACATAGCCAGATCTGACGGCTGCGTGTCGTAACTGTGCGCACGGCGCCATCGTCATCATAGTTGACTGACCTGTGTGGCGGATCCAGCGCTTCATCGAGAGTTGATCCACCGATTGTGCGAATGGTGTGCATGTTGGACAGATGAGTAGCTTGTTGGTCTTCCACAACGAAATTGAGGCGGGTGGTCTGTTTATATGCCAAGTTTCAGATTGCTTCGACCGAGTGGCATAAAAGAGGCGCGCCCTTAATATGACCGTAGTTGACTGCGCCTGACACTCTGAGTCATCTTATATAACCGTTGGTTACCTGTTGGCTGTTACCTCGATGTTAGGCAGAAACCACGGCGTTCCACTTTTATGCATCTTCCCTGAGGAAGGGGGTTATGCACGAAAGACGACATGAAAATAATCTATCCATTTGACAAAAGCACCCTTTTTATCGTTCGGGGATGGATTTTGGAGCGAATGAGGTCAAGTTTACGATACCCTTGACGCTTTATCCCTGGCGTTCTGTAGTTTGGGAGCAAAAGACGAAACCAAGACGGAAAGATATGACTCATACATTGTTACAAGTAACAAGGGAGCAGCGAATGTTGAAACCATGGGTCGACTCGTCGCCTTCGCTTACTCAAGTCAACCCCATATGTACCGCCAGTAGTATGAAAGACATGATATTTAGACCATAGGGTCTAGGCAAGTTGGTGACATTGAAACTGAGTCGCTGAAACATTAACCTGCTTATTCTCCAGTCTGCGACTATTATTATCAGATTATTAAGTCCTAATAATATTTCCTCAGAGATAATGGTATGTATATTACCACTTTACTTTATTTTTATACTACTGAATTTCTCTATTCATTGCAGAAAGTAGTCAATTAATCTTCGCTCCACCACTCTTCATCGCTATCTGTCTCTCCATCACTATCTGTCTCATCACTATCTGTCTGTTCATCACTTTCGTCTTCTTCTTGATAATCAGGTATAGATCTCAGTGCAGCCTCATGCACTATCGCCTCGACTGCTTCAAGCCCGGGCTCTTCGGCATCCCGGTCATGTCCTTGGTTTAAGAGGCTTTCAACATCATGGCCAATCTCCTTCGCAAATCCAAGCAACTGAGTCTCTTTGATATATCTCCCACGGGCCCCCCAGTAGCGTGCAACTTTGCGTACTTCTTGGTGCTGAACGTCGCTGTCCCTGTCTCTTGGGTTCCACGCCGTTCGGAGAATAGTATTCAAATAAGTCCACCAGACGTATCGTGCTTGTGGTCGGAAGCCAGTCTTAAAAATCAGCTTTCGACCATCTAAGTCTGCTATCTTCTCAAAACCCATGTCTTCAGCCAGAAAGAACTTATGGGTGACTTCGGGGTTGACCTTGTCGATTACAATGATCTTGTAGTCCTTGATCGGCCGATTTTCCCATTCCCTAACCCTATCATTTCGTTCCTGTTGATCATTCAGGGGAAACTGGGGATCAACGGGTTCCAGGTCGATATCTGGCACAATTGCAAGAAGGCCATCTTTAAGGGCCTTCTCAATCCTCCTGTGCAGGAACAAACCGTTCACTGGTTGAAATAATTCCTTACTTGCGCCCTGCCCAAAGATTTCGTCCATGCTAGTAGATTGACGGTACGGAAAAAGGTGAACAGCACGTAAAGCCGGTCTCCATTTCTGCACAACGGGGTCCCAGCGATAGCGGTGGGCGGGGGGATCAGGGCAATAGACTTTCGCCATCGCAGGCAAAGTTGGATCGGTCAGTTTTTCCTCTCCTGCCCATGCCTCTATCTATCAGAGGGCCAACTTTAGATGCGGTAAAGAGGCGGACAAAACTCTCACTGCCCGAGGTCAAACGCTCTTGGAGACTCTTCGTATGCTTCTTCATGATGCTTTCCCACTGGCTCCAGCTGTCATACTGCAACTTGAAGCGCTGGGCATCTGGCTCGCCGTACCAGGACTCTGCATCGCCACAGGTCTCATTGAACTCTCTGCTTCCAAGCTGAGACTCTGCTTGGGCATGGAGCTGGTGGAGCCGTGCGAGGTGCAAGTAACGGTCCCATAACTTATCGTCCATTGGGACCTTTCGTTTTCGTTTCAGTTTGTAGCATGCAACCCTCAGCTCCACTCGGATTTTTTCTCTCATGTCACGAAGTTCATCTGTGCTTGAACTAGCGAACTTGGCATCCCACACACCTGATCTCTTGCTGCTTGCTCGTTGAGGGATGCTTGGTGCTATGGAAGACTCTCCGGGACCCTCTGTAGGTCCATGAGTTGAATCAGACATTGCGAACCAGGGCACGAAGGGAGTGATTAAGAGCGAAATGTGAGATGTGGTTCAGTCAAGCTGGCGATAGCGGACATTAAATAAGACAAAAGCAAAATCTTAAGGTTCACAGCCAGATATTGTGGCTGTTATTGTCTAAGGAGAAGTTGTTGTGATTGATGGGCTTGGAAAGGTGGATGTGGTTGAAGGATAATGAGCTTCCCCTCGTAGTGGCCATGGGCTAAGTTATATACTTCTGGCTATGTGTAAAAGGCTGATGACTGTTATTATAGAGTTTTTGTGAGGTGTTGATGCCTATGCCGAGGCTAAAGTGTGATATTTTGACTCATCTTGAAGGTTCGAGTATGGACCACTAATTGTGCATCTTGAAAAATGGAATATGTATCAGATCTCATTTCGTGCAAGCTGGAGACCTCGATCTATTACAAATAATATTTCAAACAATAACAGTGGAACATCATATTATTGTGTATTATCCAGCTTGATATTATATCAATAACCGGGTTAATTGTTTTGATATTGTGTCGAAGATGAGGTGGTATGGAGGCTTCGGTGTGCCATGCTTCTTTTAGCCACATGAGTAGGCACACCGAGGGAAGAGTCATTATGTCAGGCACAAGCAATTTTGAGAAATAAACTTTGTGTACCTTATGGAAGAGAGTTCGAGCATACCTAAAGTTAAACAACAATGAAAGATGCCAGACCCGACATCTCAACACGATGAATAAACCTTGTGTACAGCCGCACAAAGAGGCTGAAAATTCTCATTAATGAACGTCACCAGAAAATTCATGTTGCGTCCAAGCGAGCCCCGGGACTGGTAGAGGCCATTCGCACATAAGCCTATCGCCAATTTTGCTGACGAGCGACGTGCCATAACAACAATTTAACAGGCTCGAACATCTGTTAGACCATCCCGTTCATCACATAGCGGGCATCGGTCTACTCTAGTTGCTTGATTTCTATGGTCAGGCCCGTAAGATTAGAATCTGTCCATCGATACGTAGACCGCCACTCGAATTGCAGTACTCAACCATGTGGGCATTTGGTTCTGTTACATGTTGACTCTCCGTTTGCTGTTTGCCCATCTACATGGCTCTGCTTCGTTTCACTGGCTCGATCATATATGGGGCATGCTCGATCGCTTACCGGGAGATGTCCATTTAGGCAGGTTAAGCTTTCCTTTGCCCCGTTCTTTGGCCTCGTTGTGGGTGGCAATCTCTCTAATCATTCAAATCGGGGAGGAGATCAATCGCTAGCCTTGCCGGTCTTTCCGAGTGACAACCGAGGCCTACAATGAGACGCTGCTAAGTCATTCACATTGAACGGAATCTGAAGCCTCCGGCACTTCTGAAAAGCAGGACTTGACGGTATCGAAATGGGCTGTTCTGAATAAATCGGAAAGAAAAAAGCATAACTCTCGTAGCAAGTCACATATACCAGATAATCCTTTCCATGAAGATCTTACCCGATGATTACAAGGCAAGTTCGCTGGCTCCTACGTATTCCTCTTGGCCGAGCCAGGAATCGACACAGCCACTTCCAAGAGCCATTCAATGATTTTGGTCAAAGGAAGCATATCAGTTCATGAAGGGGATGTGCGGCAATAAGCACGCCGCCCAAAGCCAGGGAGACCCGGCATCCCACTCAGTCTCCACCACCACGAGAACGCGACTAAGGTGCAATCTGGGATGGCAAAACCCAATGATATCTATCTTATGTGAACGTAGAAAGGCCTTTCTCTATTTGTTCAAACTTCAAATTAAATATTCCAATTTTTTCTATCTGAAGAAAACCTGCATCGTGACTTGAGTCAACGTTCAGTCAGGTTGGCTTGATGCCCTTCCTTTAGGACGTCAGAATGCGGAACCAAGTTCCAAATAGGATGTTCGCTCTTCAGATATAAACCTTTAGCGTCTTGGCAAGGATAAAGATGCCGGCGTGCCTGCCTCGTGTCAGAACTTCTGATCGCAAACCGCCCTTTGGGCACTTTGTCATTGATACCCTTGTTAGAGTAATTGAATTAGGCCATTGGATTGTAGATCTTCTCCCATTCCTTGGTCCCTTAGTAGCGGTCCCGTCACGATGCGACCCAGACCGATCTCGGCTTTGGTTCTCCTTGTCACTTGTGCATTCACCAATACCAACTTGGAAGGACATAACGATTCGCCTTACATCCTCAACCTCACCGGCCGCCTCCGATAGGATATCACACGACTTCTTCCAAATTGAGCGGAGGACTGATAGCACTTCCAGTTTCATGTTGCAACTCACAGTTGAAGTTCATAGTATAAATATGGCCGGGTGTTCCCAAGGTTGAGTATAGTTCTCAACTCTGTACCCAGCCTTCCGCCCTCTACTCTAGATCCTCACTTGTCTGTAATCCAATATCAAAATGGCACCCAAGCTTGCTCTGGCCGCCCTTATGGCTCTGCCTGCCCTCACTATGGGAGCAGCAGTCCCAGACATCGAAAGCCGTGGCATCGAGATCGTTGGCGGAAGCAAGGCTACATCTGGCCAGTTCCCCTACATTGTCAGTCTTACCACTGACTCGACCCTCTGCGGTGCGGTCCTCATCAACGCCAACACCGTTGTTACCGCCGCTCACTGCACTGTGGATGAGTCTGGCAACACACTGGCCGCTTCCTCCCTCACTGTCCGCGCTGGATCCCTTGTAAGTGCACCCAGAGCCTGGCGTGAGCTTGGCCGGCTTAATCGCAGCCGGCCATTCTATCACGCTTATTTTTGAGTAAGGAATAATTTAACTAATACTATATATCGGCAGAAATGGGCCTCTGGTGGTAAGACCTCCAAGATCTCCAAGGTCACCCACCACCCCAGCTACAGTGGTTCAACCACCGACTTCGACGTTGCCGTTCTGAAGCTCTCCACCTCCATTGCTACCAGCAGCACCATCGCCTATGCCACTCTGACCTCGTCCGGCGAGGATCCCTCTGGCACCATCACCGTCGCAGGCTGGTATGTAAAGCATCTTTCCCTGAAGAGACGAATCTTCACTGCACCTATTTCCCAACTATGGCGCTAACCTGTCTCATAGGGGCCTCACAAGCGAGAACAGCCAGAGCATTCCCGCGGATCTCAGCTACGTCAAGGTCCCTGTCATCGACCGCGCCACGTGCGCCAAGGACTACAGCGAGGTCAACGCCATCACAGACAACATGTTCTGCGCTGGTCTTACCCAGGGTGGCAAGGACTCCTGCTCCGGAGACAGCGGCGGCCCCGTCATTGGCTCTGATGGCACACTCGTCGGTGTTGTGTCTTGGGGTGTGGGCTGTGCTCGCGCTGGATACCCCGGTGTTTACACCAGACTTGGAAACTTCATCTCTTGGATCAACAGCAACATCTAAGAAGCTTGGGGTCGTAGAGATGCTGCTACTACTAGGTACACATTGTAGATACTGTGCTGGCTGAAATCAATGAATATAACGATGTTTTACAATACTAGAACCGTAGAAATACTCACTTTGAACAATGGACCTTGTGACAGAAACAGGAAGTTCTTGGTCATAGTTTGCATCTCGAAGTTTTGAATACATCCAATCAGAGATGATACAGCTTTCTTTTTACCAAGAACAGCAGTTAAACAGCTTGATTTATTAACAGCTTTTCTCATTGGATGAAACGTAAAGCATTCTATAGCGGAGTCAGTGGATCATCAACCTATAGGACGATAATACCTGGATAGAGATAATAATATTGAGATAGAAGCAATAATATCAAACGAAACTTTCACTTACAACTCACCTACGCTTTGCTCACTGCTGCTGACCGCGTAGAGTTTCGACTAGTTAGCCTTTTCGAAACCAAAGAAACCACCCACTTCCTGATATTTGACTCTCTGGAACTCTGAGCTACCTAAAGTCTTTGTCTATTGCATTGCATGTCACCACATTGCTTCAACAATGTTATCACATGCCGGCTTCTTAGGTGCTTGATTCAACCGACTATAAGAAAGCCGTCAAGAGCTCTCAGGACGCAAGAAATAGCAACGAACTCCACTTTCAATAAATGCATGCTGCTGCTCCAATAATGGAGAGCTTCTTTGTTTTCTTTTAAACTTACTTTTTGCCAAGTACTGACACATTCCATCCTTGGATGACCTTCTCAGTGGGGCCTCCCAACATACCAGACTCTAGCTTAGGCACTCCTTGGAATGAGGCATGCCAGGACTCCCCTCGGCGGAAAAAAAATGTTGACACTGACGATGAGGAGGAGGATACTGATGAATAAGCTGAGTAAGACGATGAAGAGGACGAAACATATTATGATGAGGATAAGGACGAGGGGGGGGTCTGAAGAGGAGATAGACCGTGATGACTTAGCGATCGTGGTTGAGAAAGCGATGAGCATCTGGCATGATCTCAAATACTATGCCTAAAAGATATGGCTGCCTCAATTGGCGGAAATATAGGCCAAGCTGAAGAATAGGGTACGTCAGAAGATTTCAATCATTCAAATTATACCAAAGCTCTAAGGACGTCCAGGAGCTCTTTGGACAAACCCCCTAACATATCCTTCTCATACTGTGATATTCTTCCGTTGCCAATCACTGGTTTCTTCTGTGATTATATCTTTAGCTTCAAGTAACTCAAATTCGACCGGCTATTCATAATATGGCTCCAGAAACACTTTTATCTTGTTCGTGTCATGTTCGAGTAGAACCAGCAAAGTAGAATCCTCGATAAGTAATCCGGCAGCAAGCAGCATGCCTTGCGCGTTTGCATATGGGTGTGAGCACCCTACACCCACGTTAGACCTGAGCGCCGCTCTAAGTAACAAGGGCTTAATTACACTAATTAATATGCCTATTAGGGTAGATCACTGATAGCCCCTTTTCCCCCCATAAGATGTAAACGCCCTAATGCCATCTTCATAGCTTTTAAGTAACGATGAGCTTAATTAGGTCATATTCTTGTGCTGAAGCCGTTCTGGAAAGTATCTGGGGGAGAAAGCAGACCCAAGTTTTACATCTTACCCGGGGACAAGTGACTGGCTATATTGATTTACCACGGAGAAAGTGCATCATTCACATAGGGGGACCAGGCAGTTTGAAAACTAGCGAAGCGTTCACTCGCAAGATATTTTTTCAATGAAGGGCTTAAGCCAAAGAGACACATGTTTTGATATGTGGATGAAGGCGACCATGTTTCCCATACCAGTCCTACGTTCAATCATCCTGCTGCAGGTAGTCATGTCAAGGAGCGTTCTTCCTTTCGTTCAATACAAGAAAATACTCCAAGCATGCAACGGTCTTAGTAGAACTTCCACTCCAGAAGATCCAGCAGCATGTCAAGTCTAGTGTCTTCTCCTAGCCAGCTATGTGAACTTTCAAGGATATGCGTGTCATCTGCTTTGTGTCTCATTTGGAACATGGCGGATTGTCCGTGGAGGTGAGGTCTAACGGGCTTATGTCCTGGGAAGATGTGTGGCTCTGATTGAATTGGGATCCGACGGCCAATAGGGCAGTCCAAGAACTGTCCTGATTGTCCTGGAGAGACGTAGCATCTGATACCAAGGGTTTTGGCTTGTGTGAAGCGGAAAATTGAGTGTTGACGACGCAGACTTCATCTCTTAGCCTTTCAAGTCGTGCCTGTAGGCCATCACGTTGTGCCGCCATGTTCTGTTGCATTTCTGGCGTTTGCGGCATAGTGAAGGGCTCATCTATGATAGACTGAGATAACCACTGCCGAAGTGGAGAGGTGTGTTGGACGCCATGACCAAGCTCTTGGGCTACTGGCTTGCCGGACATTGCTCAATGTGTGGTGCGAGATTGGTATAAAGTTGTTGGATTCAAGTACAGCATGAACGTCTTGTAGTTCAGGAAGAGAAATGTTGGTAAGAGCGGACGATGAAGAAAGGAAAAGTAGTAGAGCGTGGTTACATATCACGTACAGCGAGAGAGTGCTCGGGGATGCAATTTATATAATCTGTAGAGAATTACAATGGCCCGTAATCCTCCCTTGGGTGTGGTTGGGACAGAAGCTGTACGATATTGGTGTCGCCTCCCCTGGCAGTATAAAGACGAAGAGATCCACCCGCATCCCGACTCCAATGCTGCCCCCCTGTGAGAGTGTTGCTTGTGCGGTGTAGTACTGTGGGGGTATTTGTTCATTCCCAAGCGCTCGCTGCACTAAACCCCTTTTGGGAGGGAGGGGTGGTGGTACGTTGGTCTACAGCTTGTTTCGAGACATGGAAGCATGGGTGTCAAATGTACACTCGCACGCAACTGCAAGCCAGAGGCACATTGGCCCAAGTCTTGGTTCGTCACCACTAAGGTATGTAAGGTCTGGCCGAAGGTGAAATTTGCCCGCACGCGTGTTCCATGTCTTGCGTGCACCCCCTGGACGTTACATAGTACACATGGAAGCATCAATGATGGGATGGGGAGGAGTGCGGTCCAGCAATTCATCTGGCCAGCAACCTGTGGGAACCAATCATGGAATAAAGATCTTTCAATAGCGGATCTTTGACTACGTAGCGTAAGGCATTTGCCTAGGACCCATCAGCAACGCCTTGACCCTCCATGGTTATATTGGTCAACTGCTACACGATCAAGAATCGTGCAGAATTGCCTCAGCTACAGTTGCTGGTGCGAGTCCGGACGTCACAGCGTGTCAGCTCCAGCGACCCCGGGGTTGCCTACATCCACTGACATACATACATGTACACAAGGCAGACACGCCAAGGGACATGTTCTGAGGAGGGCAGGGTGGTAGGAGGTGGCCGGCGCATGTCAGCGGCCGGGTACATCTCTACGGCCAGCAGGCTATTGCTAGTTAGTTCTCCCCAAGCCCTCGCGATTGGTCCCTTCGTGTGATTGAGCAAAACAAGGGACATCGGCAGGTGAGGGCATGTCCGGGCTATCGACAGCCAGTATCACATCAGATCATGGCACAGGGAGCTCAACCAGTTGCACCCCTCCCCGGCAGACCTGTTCTAGCCAGTGGAGCCCGACCCCTCACTTGGCTGCAGACCTGAATAAAAAATGTGAGGTAATGTATTCAATCCCACAACATGGTGGCCGGCCGCGAGCGAACTGATGGCCATCTTGCCATCCGCCCGTTCTAATCCTCATCCACCACGACGATGGTCCTCTCCCCTCTCCCTACCGGCACCGCCAGGCTCTACCGCCTCTGCCTGCACCTGGCCGTCGGCGCGTCCATCTGGGGCTACAACATTGGCATCCTGGCCTCCATCCTCGTCCACCCTGGATGGCGCTCTGCTATGCGAGACCCTGATCCCTCCGCACGGGGGACCATCACTGCCGTCTACTATCTGGGCACCCTCCTCGCCTACCTCTTCGTCTCACACCCCCTCGCCGATTGGCTGGGCAGGCGCTATGCCGCCCTGTACGGCACCCTTGCCCTGGCTTTTGGAGCTGTCGTCATGGCCTCGTCCCAGAGCCTGGCTGTCATGGCCGCCGGGAGGTTCTGCTGTGGACTTGGAGTCGGTGTTGTCAGCACCACTGTTCCTCTCTACCAGAGGTATGTCCGCACCCTGTCCCTCTACTGGATCAGTGAATGGATATGGGCTTATAATATCACAGTGAAATATCCCCAGCCCAGGAGAGAGGCAAGTTTGTCACCATCAACCACGTTGGATTTATTGCTGGTCTTGCCAGCGGCTTATGGTGAGACACAGCCACCACTTCTTGCTCTGGCACACACTTTCTCCTCTTCATCAACTCACACGCACGATCATAGGGTTGGTTATGGGATGAGCTTCTGGACTGAACCCTCTGGAAAAGCTTGGGGCTGGCGCATCTCAATCCTCATCCAACTTCTGCCCGCCGCCATATTCGCTGCCGGCCTCCCCTTCTGCCCAGACACGTGAGTCCCCTCATCTCCTAGGAAGAAGTCCGTTCATCAATCTCTAACCTGCTTTGTAAATGAATAGACCTAGATGGCTTGTTGAAAAGGGCCACACCGAACGTGCCCGTCAAGTCCTCATCTGGCTCCGTCAAGACGCCGTTCCTCCGGATGCCATCACCCAAGAACTACACGCCATCACCCTAGAAGTCGATTCTCATCCTCAGTTCAAGCGCTCATCCCTTGCCCTCTCGCTCTCGCTCTTTCGCGAGCCTCCTCTCCGCGCTCGCCTGTGGCGTGCGTTCCTGCTTCAGTTCCTAGCCCAAATGTGCGGCGCTGCAGTCATGAAGTATTACCTGCCCAGCTTACTCAAGGCTCTGGGCTTAGACACCCAGTTGGCACTCATGGCCGGGGCCATTGAGATGACCATAAAAATTGGCATGACCATCATTGAAATGTGGATCATTGATCGCATTGGGAGGAGAGCCTGTCTTGTCGGAGGCTCGCTTATTATGGGCGTTGCCATGCTTGTGAGTGGAACCCAAACCATCCTCCAGGGAGCAAAGGAACTAAATCAGACTACAGATCAACGGCGCTCTTCCAATTGCGTATGCCAAGAGTGTGAGCAAGGAGGCTGATGTCGTCTGCATCATCTTCATATTCGTCTATGCCATGGGGTACAGCCTAGGCCTTGGCCCAGCAGCTTGGGTATATAGCAGCGAGGTGAGTCCAGGCAGACCAGGTCCCTTCTACTTTTGAGATACTGACTCTTCACTATGGAAAGATCTTCCCAACGTCCGTCCGGGCTCGTGGCCTCAACTTTGCCGCAAGCGGCGGGTCCATCGGCAGCATCCTCGTCTCCAAGATCTGGCCCTTGGGCCTGGCCCAGTGGGGAAGTGGCATTTACTTCTTCTTCATGCTCGTCAACTTTGCATGTGCTCCGGTAGGTCGTCAACTCTTATGACAACTGATCGATCATTCAGCTAACTGTTGATATTCTAGATTGTCTGGCTGTTCTTTCCCGAAACCAAAGGCCGTGCTCTCGAAGACATGGATGAGATCTTTGGCGGGGACGCGCTCCGCACTAGGATACTCGGCAATGAAGGCATTGACGGCGATGCTCAGGATCTAGAAAGCGAATTACAGTCACCAGTACTAGTGGAGGACGAAGAGCAGACTCGTCTCCTGAGCTAGAGCGGCAGCAGCTTTGGACACTTGAAAGTCGGCATTTACATCCAATTAAGGGTACCGAAATAACCATAACTCAATTCATACGAACAAGCAAACAAGTTCGCCGTATGTTCCTGCTATCCCATACCTGGCTCTGTAGGCTATCCAGTTTCACGGTCTTATGGAGTCAGTCCGATTTTACGGAAAGCTCTCGTTCATGTAGCTTAGAAGAATTAGCCTATTCATCAGCAATTAGTCTAGATGCTGTATCGTACCAGTATAGAGATCTGAGAATTTAGAAAAGTGTTTATCTAGTCGAAGAGCTTTAAAACAGTCATCCAGAATTATCACCTCAATACAAGTAGTCTTGCAGATACGAATCATTGAATCTTATCTATCTCTCCCTTATGCCTTCAATAACCAAGCAGATCGCCTACCAATCTAATATAAGTCTTTCCAAGTGAGTGAGGGAGCTATACAGCTGCTGAAAAAAAAAATGAAAAAGAAAGAAAAGGGGAGGGGGTTCCCAAAAACCAATAATTTAACAGCTTGACACCATACCCAGGTATCACAACACATTAAACCTCAGGCTTTCTGCCTGGCTACGAGCCTTGATAAGTCTTTCCAAAACAGCCCAGGCTCAAGTACAACTCGGTATCACAAAAAGATCGCAAAGACCTCGGCCGCGAGATTCTCTCACGTTTAACATCCAAAACACAGCCCCCTAGGTTCAATTGGTTAGATTTATATGCATCTAGATTCCTCTTCAGCATGTCTTATGATCCATATATTTAATAACTAGTTTGCCGGCCGTTGATGATAATAACGTCTTCCAAACGCCCATCCATTAATTTCATCAGGGCTTTCTAATCAAATATCATCAGTTGAAGTGCTTCCCAGACAGCCACAACGGCTTCGCAGAGCCTTTGAAGTGATGTGTTGTTCTTCGGTATGTCAGGTAATTCAGGATAGCGGTCAGCTATGCGGTCTTTCAGAATGAACCACAAATTCTCAATTAGATTAAGATCAGGGCTGTACGGAGGCCACTTCACCACCTCGACCAACAAATCTGTTGCTTTTGGGCACCCCGAGCGTCTTTGGACTTGACAGGGGGTCGAGGCATAGTTCTCAGTAAGAGGTGAAGCTATCACCAGTAGCAGGGTATTTGCGTTGTTCTGAGGGCGAACCGCGTAAGCTAAACGGGTTGTTTTCAAAGCTAACGCCCACAAAACGAGCTCTTTGCCCATATACATTATCACATATCAGATTCTCTTCATCCAGGTAGCAGAAGTTCCAATGACGTTCGTGGAAAACACCGCCATGGTCCACAGAGATCCCGTCGGCCTCCGCTAGACTCGCCTCGAGGCCTCCACTATCCTTCTCGTCCTCGTGATAACCTTGGGGCCTTACTGCATGCCGCACTAAGCAAATTCAGCGGATCCCCTCCTGCGCACTAAGCATATTCAGTGGACCCAGCAACAATTGCTCCAATGAGATAAAGTATCCATTTGGTGACTGTTATAAGGAAAACCCCACCATCGCTTACTCTGGGGGCGAAGCCACCATTTTTCATGTCTCTGATGTAACTCTCGGATAAACGGCTTCTTGTCGATTAATACATGTGCCAGGACGATGTAGAATACCAAAATTACACAACGAGTGCATAAATAGTTGGAAGGTCCTTTCTCTTTCGCACGAAGACTCCCCGCAACATGGCAAACTGATCATGGCGCTCTCCACCGAAGCACTTATCTCCCTCCTCGGGGTCCTAGTAGCTATCCCACCCGCTGCTATCATTATCGTGTCCCTTGTCAAACTCTATTTGAAGCGTCCAAAATTAGAGCATGGTTAGTTGCGCGATTCTACTTGGCATTTGACTTTTCTGATAGTCCCCTGTTTAGAACCTCCAGATGTCGAAGCAGATGTCTCTAATCCTCCACGAGTATATTTCAGGACAAGCCCTCCGCGGTTGCCACCGAGTGATATACAGCGGCGGCAGACTGGTTGAACTGTCGTTGGAAGCTCAAAGCCGTATTTCAATAATCTCCCACATCGCGTTTTATGTGAAGAGTCGTGGTGGATGTCGCGGATTGTGCAACCGCGTCACTCTTGGACCCGCCCAAATCCCAACTTAGGACAGGTCTCGTGGGAACCGAAACTCGTTGCCACAAGGAAGAATTGCAAGGAGTGACTGGGAGTGGTCCGTAGAGATATCTAAGAGATAGCAGGCGGAGCAAATCTATGAGATATGTGACTCCTTGATAATACAAAGAATGATCTCTGTGACACGATGATATCTGGAGCAGTCCCGATGATTGCCACCTTCTAGAAAGAATTACCAGTGACAGTTTGATATGGCGGTCATAGGGTGGGTATGGTAGAGTCTTATTGCGATGTTTAAATTGCTCGTGATTGTGGTTATACAAACAACACAAAATATCGGGAGGTGCTATTGCTTTGCCCTAACGACTCTCTCTTTCGGCTTATTCACTTATATTTCATTATTTCATCACAACTTAGAAATCAAACGCATCCAACACATCATGGTCATCCATGAGTGTGCAAATGCGACTGATAAAGTCCAATGATGCTGCCTCCGTCTGCATGTCAGGCATGGCCTCGGAAGGCGTCAGAGTGAGAGTCCAGTAGGCCAAAGCGCCAAGCGACTGTCTTCGAAGCTCGAACCATGCCTCCTCCACCGACGTCTTAGGCCCGCCGGCCTTCTCCAACTCGGCGACATAGAGCTCAACAATCTCTTGCTCCCAAAGCCTGCGAGACTCAGCAGGGACAGCAGTGCCCATGACGTATGCCAGATCGCGGGACCAGTGGCCTCTTGCCATGGCCTGCCAGTCTGTGAGGCCCATGTGGCCTTCTGGAGTGATGTACCAGTTTCCTATGAACGTTAACTTTATTGGAATTGAAGACTGGGTGAGAATTGAAACGGTAACATACCGAGGTGGACATCCCCATGTACAACTGTTGGAGGCAGAGAATAATTACGCTCAACTGACTTCAAAGTGGCGGGCCAAATCTCATCTTCTCTCTCGAACAGTCTCGTGGGAATAACACCCTTTGCCGCGCGGAACCCGTTACAGCAAGCACTCTCAATACCAACATTGATTAGATTCTGAAACCTCTGCCGATAGGCTAGCAGGCGCTCGAAAAAGGGCTCCTTGGATCGATAAAATGTTCCATGTACCTTAGCAAGCATCTGGACCTGTTCGGCGAATTGTTCCTTGCTTAGAAGAGTCTTGTGATTGCAAAATGTGGTTGAAGCACTCATGTCTTTCAACATTATGATAGCAGCCCAGGATTCAGGGTTGTACCCGGCATAGTAGGCCCACGGCGCCTCTATATCCATTTTAGGACGGATCTCGTTGTAGAAGCAAGTCTCACTGTAAGTCCCACCGACCGACAGGATGATTCGATTTTCCAGGGAATGCGCTGCTTTGCAGAAAACAGATGTCGGAAGCTTATCAGCATCAGCTCCCTCCCATTCAATCACGATACGGCGTCTGTTGGCCGATCCATTGTCCTCCGGGCCAAGGGTAAAGTTCTTAACCACAGCGTTTTTGCAGTCGCGGGCCAAGGTGGCTGTCAACCAGTCCGTAGTTATCACGTCGTAAGAGATGGGTATGTCTCCATAGTGGCGTGGGATGGGAGGATTTCTGGCTTCGTCTTCGTAGAATCGCCGAATCTGATCTACAGTGTCGCTTCGGAAACCGCCGACAGGAAGCATTTTATTTTGTTTATGGGTTGAGCAGAAAAGCTATGTTGTTCTGTTCTACCTCTGGAAATATGTTTCCAGTAGCGTGTGATGGAGAGAACACTGAACTGTGTAATTCGAGCAGGCACGCTGCCGTGCCTTATATATGAATGCAATTTCCATATACCTATGAGGCAGTACTTACAGGAACTTAAACTAATTGATCTACACCAAGCATTAAATCCCTCGGTTAATGTCATGTTCTTTCAAGCCTCCCGTTCACATCGTCGGAGTCGCTGTCACCTTACCCCGAGGCTGGTCCGAAGGATAGCTTTAGCCGAGGAAGCCCTCCTTGCCATTATAAGTATGAGCTCTCCAGAAATCTTTCTGACATAGCCCACAGTTGTTGAGAAAAGTAGTTAAGGTTCCCTGTCTGTGATACATGGCTTTTCATTGAATACATGAATTGTTTAACAAAGATTGAGTCTCTTCGCGAAAGGTGAGTATTCAATCCAAGGGCTATATAACCGAGGCAACCTTTCTCTTACTCGCGATTTTAACTACTCAACTTCTCGCAACGGCTGGAAGATGTTTTCTGAATAGAATGATCTCTATTTGTGTATCTATGAAGTAACGTGGTGATATTGAAGCAAGTAGCTAATGTAGGCTTCGTAGCTTCATAGCAATTACGCCATGCTCTTATACTTACCTACTCTGTCACAACTAGGCAATGCGACAAGATTAATACTATCAAAGTGTCCTGTTCTTAGAGTAGCCAAAATGGTCATCATTGAAAAACCTAATTCCCTTCGTGAGAGCCACCACCACCAAGAAGCAGGTTTTCGTTCATAACTATCCCAACCGTTTAGAGCTCAGGTGTGGATGCTTCGGGGATGAATGACGTTTTCTAGCCACTTGGACCAAAGGTTCATCTTGCGGTGTAGTGAGTACCTAGTTACTTTTCAACGAAGTACGTAGTCCGTAAGTAAGGTTCATGCGTATAGCCATCTATGATCGTTGAAGCAACATTATATCAAGGAAAGCCTCTGTTGTAAAATCATGAATTCAAGCCATACAATCAGCTACCTGTCACGATAGGCATGCATAAAGCCCGCTACATCTTTTCCATCTCAAAACAGGGCAGTCTTCCACATTGTCACTGATCGAGGTTTGAGAAGTGGCGAGTGTAGGGTAAGCAGATTGATTAGGCACATGCCGATCGAAATCTCAAGATTTGATTCAAGCAAATATCGTAAAAAAATAACAATGCTCTAAATAATTATCATAGAAATAAATAGGCAGGGGTATAAAAGCCACCCGTAGGTATATAAAGTGCCAAAGATTGTCATTCGCGCCGCCATTTTCCTCGCATCCCGAGTCTGGCTCCCTCCCTGGATGGTGTAGTCATCTAGCAGGGGCAAGGGATGGGGATGATGCAGCAGTTGCACGGGATCGGGCAAGGGATGCAGAAGCAGAATCTTCCGGGGCACATGCCTTCGCCTTCCCGGCCGCCGCGCAGGCTCAGCTCGGACTCTGCGTGAGGGCGCTCAGGATCTGTGGATGGTTAGCGGTCGGTGATGATGGATTGGGTTGGCGACAGTGGGAGGTGAATGACAGCGACATACCCATAGCCATGTTCATCTTGGGCTGTGCGACCTGGACTTGCTCAGGGGCCTTGGGGAGCTCCATGGGCTGGTTCTCGATGGTAGGGGCCATTGTGAAGGTTGGAGGACACGCGTCGTGGTGTTTAGGTGAGGTGTGAGGTATTAGGTGAGAGAGAGACTGGTGGTTCGAGCAGGTGAGTGCAGGAGGGAGAATCGAGGTTTACGACGTGGTTGCTGGAGATAATAAATGCCGATGAGCAGGCAAGGGTCAAAGGGCTGAGTTCGATCAATGCAGACTAGCAAATAGCTTCGTCAGGTGGCAGATTTCCTGGGCCAGTGTGGCTCATAACATGGAAGCGACCTTACGTATGTGTCCCCACTGATTTCCTCACAGTGCATTGGGATTAATTGTGGGCGTGGCCGGCAGTGGGTGAATCAGCGTGCAACGCCCCTGGATGGTGCTGACGGGGTACTGTGGCTGCTACGACTGAGCGCTGCACGTTGTGTCATGGATACGAGCCAGCTGAAAGAGGCTGAGCGGCTGGAACGTGGATCTGGCTGTGCACCGGAGCGGATTATCATCTTTCCACATCTAGTGACAAGAGCTGATGATGCTTTGACCTCAATATCAATAGTAAAAATAGCGAAATACAATCCGATGCCTCATATATTGCTCGATAGACTGGAGCTATTGTTGTTTTATTGTTTCGAAATGTTAAACATACGAGTTGGGGTTCAGTTGATAGGTTTCTTGAATCCCCCCTACGCAATAATGGCTACCCTAGACTCGCCGCCAATAGAACAGCTAATGGAAAGCAATTCAAGCGCAATATCTAAGTTGATCCTGAACTGAATGTTTAATTGGGCGTCTATATATTTTCACATTGGAATCTTCTAGGCCTTGTATCTACAGAAAGACCCGACCCACAAAGGAGCATTACATCCATCAAACGATGTCGCCAGCAGCTCAAAGCTCATCCTTTCCAGAAGGCTCCTTCTTCTCTGCAGGCTCGCAAGCCGCCGGGGTGCCGACCTCCATCTTGTAGACGCACTTCTCCGACTCACTGACTCGCCACAGCTCCTCCGTCTCGGCACAAGCCAGCCAGACATCCGTCCTTCGCTTGGGTCCGTTCCAGCACTGCTGTCCATCGTCGTACCTGAGAACCATCCGCTTACCCTTGCCGAGGCTCCGCCCGTCCAGGCGCTCCTCATCGTCCGCCTCCTCCCAGTCAATCCGGTTGAAGTTGCCCATACCCGTATGGCCGTGACCCTTCTTCGACTTTTGTGACGTTTTAGACAGCCAGCAGAGCTCGTAGGTGTACTCGCCTGAATCGACGCTGACACACTTATCCTTGAGGGCCCGGAAGATGTCTGAAGGCCCGTACTCTTTGCTAAGGTCGCCCTCTTCCCTCTCAAGATCCTTCCTCTTGTTATTGAGGTCTCTCTCGGCCGCTTCGACAGCTTCTCGCGCTGCTTTGACAAGTGCTGATTCGGTTCCGGGCTCGTGGTTGTCTGCCAGCATACCGTTCTGGATGAGCCAGACTCGGAGACCCTCGAGCTTCGACTGGATGAATGAACGGAGGAAGGGCGGGAGGTAGGCTTCGATATTGTACACTGGGAAAAATTGTTAGCAAGTCGATATTCCAACGTAGTTTAAACTTGTGACGGTGTGGATAATGTCAGACGTACGAATGTCAGTGTCGCCCACTTGCTTCAGCTCTTCGAATTCCTTCCAGTTGACACCATTCGTCTCAGTGTCCTCTGCGAGAACACTGTCAATATCCTCCTCAGTAATACCCTCACTACCCGCGGCAGTTTCCCTTGCAGCATAGTCTTCAAACGCCTTGACAGCAGCCTTCACACCCTCATCGTTGAAGTTGGGGTTGTATTCTTCCTTGAACTTGCGCAGAATCGTCTCAAGTTCCTCCACCTTGATACGCAGGCCGTCCCGCTGACCGACAACCTTGTCAAGCGTATCTCGGAGCTCCTCAACCCGTGCTTTGGCCACACCAACCAGCACTCCAAGCTTGCCACCAGACCCTGTCTTCTCGCCACGAACGACCTTGGACTTCTCCTCGGTCTCGACCTCCTGGTGCTTGCGGACCAGCTCCTCCTTTCGAGTCTCAAGGGCTGCGACGTCTCCCTTTAGACCTTCAACCTGTGACTCAATCCGCCGTCGCAGCTCCTGAGCCTCTGAAAGCATCGTATGCCGCTTCTTGTCCGCCCGCTCCATCTTGGCTCGCTTCTCGGCCGCCAGACGGCGGTGCTCCTTGCCGATCTGGGCGCATTTGTTGGCACACTTGACACCTCCCTTGTGGCCGAACTCCTCGGTGCCGTCGCAGCAGAGGTCGTAGTCGCACACGCCGTCGTTGACGTACGAGAAGGGCACGTAGCTGCCAATGTGGCCCTTGTTCTCGCACCAGAACCCGGGCAGGACATTGGATGTGTTGGTCGTGCTCGAGGCCGAGCCGGGGAGGGGCTGTTCGGGGGACAGAGGGTCGATCGAGGCGCAGGCGGCGGTTCCAGGTTCGTCAGAGCCGTCGGGACAGTCGCAGGTGCCGTCGTTGACCTGGCTGAGGCTCAGCTTGATGGCGGCGTTGGTGATGCATGTGAATTGGTCTTTGTTCTGGTAATGCGAGGCAACTGGAAGAGGGCAGAACAAGCGGCCGGTTAGCAAAGGTCAAGAGTCAATGGATGCGTTGGGATTGGCAGGTTGCGGGTGTGTTTGGTTGGTGGTGGCCACGATGGCACTTGCTACGTACATTCGGGGCTGACTCCTCGGGGCAGGCTGCCTGCAGCCGCTAGAGTAAATGAATAGATGGCGTTGAGGAGCGCCAAAGAGCTGTTTGGCCGCATTGTGAGGGTGCAGAGGGAGGAGAAGAGCCTCTTGATGGGCAGATGGAGGAAGCGAAGTTGAAGCTTCCAAACAATCGACGAGGAGTGCTCCAGGTTAAGGCGAATTGGAGACAGCTCAGCAGCTCCAGGCGGTAAAGTGGCTCTTCAGGGGGTTTCTCCCTGTTCCTCCACCAGCTCCACCACCTCTCACTGTTACAGCACAAGAGCCTTTCATTGTCGGCCACATCATCGGCGTTCACATTTATGGCTGCTGTATCTGCTCTATTCGTGATATCTTATCTATTGAAGGCAGACATCTCCAATGATAACCCTACAAAGCTTCCATAGCGACCAGGCGCCGCAACGGTCCGCCCTGATCCAACTGTGGCCCGTTCCAGCATGTCCTACGCAAGGAGCACGATGATTCGGCAGCAATTCAAGCGTGTTGGGAGATGCATGGGCACAATGATCAAAGTCTAGGACAACGTACAGATCACCAAGCAAACGCAAGCCGACCCAATGGGACCCATGATGATTGCCTCGTCACATCTCATCAATCCTGGAACCAGATACGGTAGGATCATCCCTTCGCGATCTGGCAGCCTCAAATGGCCGTGCTTTTAGCGGCGCAGCACCAGTTTAAATCGGGGTCGATTGACGCGTGAGCTAAACTGATTTCCGGGGAGCTGCCTGACGCAGGAGAAAAAAAAAATAATGTGCCCCTCCATTTGCCCCTCCATCGCCAGTTGACTCACAATCCTCTGCACAATAACCTCGACCTTCTCAAAACTAGGGTACAATTTTCTATCAGAGTCCATTCGTCATGCCGCCCGCCTCAAAAGAGCCCAAGGGCCAGAAAGAACTCGATGTCATCGTCAATGCGACCCTCGAGCTGATCCAGCGCCTCCAAACCGTTCTCTCCGACATCAACCGCAACCCCACAGCCACTTCGACATCCTCAACCCAGAGCAGCGGCCAGGCACCTCTCAACAGCCTCGCGCTCGCCCAAGACTCCGCCGCCCTCGTCCGCGCGCACGCTACCAAGGTCTCTCTCCTCATAGTCAACGAGCCTTTCACCCCAAGCGCCCTGGTTGGCGTGATCCGCGAGCTCGCCCAGGGTCCCTTGCCCTCCCTCGCCGCCTCGGCCGAGACCTGCACCGCCGACCGCTATACCGCAGTGTTCCGCAAGGAGCTTGCATGGAGATGTCGCTCGGTTCTCCTGGAACTGGCCAAGCTGCTGGAGAAGATCCCAAAGGATGGGAAGGCTCTGTCAGCGTCCGAGCAAGGCTTCTCTGCCGACAAAGGAAGCATTGCTCTAACTGGTGTTCTCTGGGCTGCGTGCGACCAGGTCGCAGTCCTGACCAAGGGAGGTGTTGGTGGGTTCTTTGTCAAGAAGGTGGAGGAATGGCGGGACACTCTGAAGGATGTCATGGAAGAGCTCAAGGAGTGGGGAGAGCAAGAACCCGACGACGACGAAGATGACGATCCAGTGCACGACAGCTCCGAGAACACGAAGCAGAGCCTGATCGACGACTTCATGAGCTCCGACCGAACCATTCCCAAATCCGACCCCGATAAGATCCGCCCCCGCCTAGAAACATCTCTAAAGCGCCTCCGTCTTGTCACCCTTCTCTACCAAGCCATCGTCAAGCGCCGCATCAAGAAGCTCCCGACTATCCCCCCACCTGAAGATGCAGACGAGTCTGCTAAGGCCGTGCCCACGAAACTCAATAACGCCGCCCACGTCCTCGAGGTGCTCCCTGATCATTTCGGGGACCTTGCCGCGGCCATATACGATCTCGACCCTGAAGAGATCGACGAGATAATGGACCAGTGCTTTACAGATGCCGAGACGGTGAGCAATGTGCTGGGGCAGACGTGGGAAGGAGGCAAGGATGAGTTTACAGAGTGGACGGAGAAGTTCAAGACGGAAATACGCAAGGCATAGACTACGACGAAACAAAAATAAAAGCCATGAAGCAAGTCAAGATATTCACGACCGCACATCTCATGAAACCAAAATCAATGCTTTTTGTTCTTATAAACGCTAATAATCATAACTATATACTGGTAAGAAGAAAAAAGGTTGAATACAATGATGCTCATCGGTTAGACTACCCACGAAACCTCTCGTCAATTGCCACCACCCTGTTTACAGAGCAATAGCCAAGGCGTTGAAGTTGACGTATCCGGTGGAGGGGAGGTTATTGGTGATGGAGGGCCCGACAACAGATCGGTCACCCAGGGTGAGAGACACAGCGCCGGTGAGCTCGCCAAAGGGCACCTGGACGAAGTTGGCAGGCTGCCCGCCGCTCCCCGTGTGGAAGGTCTGGGAGCTGCCGCCGATAGCGACCTGGATGTCCTGCTCGTCGACGGTGATGGTCAGCACGTTGACCGTGTCTGAGGTGCCGAGGCTGGCGGACTGGGAGCCGCCCTGGCCCCAGACGGTGCCGCCGTCGCCCCCGAGGGTGGCCTTGGTGGTGCGGTACCAGGCGATGGCCTGGTCGCCGTTGCTGGGGGAGATGGCGCGGTTGCCGGCCTTGTAGGCGGCGGTGAAGTAGGGGAGGACGGCGCGGAAGGCCGAGTGGTCGTAGCCCTCGACGTAGGCGTTGGCGCCCGAGACGATCTGCTTGCCGACAATGTCGGTGATGTAGCTCGACTCGCCGAAGTCGTTCCAGGTGATGATCTCGATCATGTCGGGGAGGAGGTCGATGGCCTGCTGCCAACGGTCGTACCAGAGGGAGTCGCCGGTGGAGAACCAGTTCTTGCCGTACTGGGGGAGGTCTAAGGGGAGGATGGCTTGTTAGTAAAGTGCGTGTGTGCTTTTTCTGGGCTGGGATCACTCACTGGTGTAGAACCAAGGGCTGATCCCCATCATGTAGGACTTGTCGCCGAGGATCTCGATGTAGCGCTCGTCTTGGACGGACGTCAGGTTCTTTGATCCGGGGCCGGGCCAAGCATTCCAGGAGACTGTTGGTATATGTCAGCGCCATATTCTGGGGTCTTTGAATGGGAGCGATCACGTACAATGTCCGTCGATCTGGTCGAGCTTGCCAGCAACGCCATCGGGACCCAGGCTGCTCCAGTCCGGAACAAGGTAGATGCCGCCCGTCCCTGATCTTACTGTGGCCCAGTTGCCGGACCAGCCTGGGCCCTCGAAGGTGCTGATGAGAGGCGAGCCATTCTTGGTGGCATGGGCAGAGGAGGACTTGAACTCGTTGATGATGTCGATGACGGTCTGCACACCCCATTCGCCGACGGCCATGTCGAAGGACGGGAAGAGGGTGAATCCGCCGACGCTCTCAGCCGCGGCGAAGGCCAGGCGCATCTGCTCTAGGGTGTAGGAGTCAGAAGGGCCGATGTTCAGAGCAAAACCATCGATGCCGACACTCTTGGCGTCGTTGATGTCGTTGGTCCATTGGTCGCTGGTTTGGCCGCTGGTGATACCAACCTGTGATGGTATCCCGTGTTAGTGATGAAGGTAGACGATGCCGTCTTCGGCAGCCCTCGGGAGGGATCATGTACGCCAACTCACCATATAATGGGCATAGACTTTGCGGTCAGACATTTTGAATGAATGAATAGAGTTGGCTGAGGGAGTGTGTCAAGTGAACGACGTTGCTTCGGATCGATGAGCTCTTGAAGATGTCCCGCTCGAGATCTTGGTCACTTGGGAGTAGCGGATGAGGCTCTAGATAAAGAAACCCGCCGAGTTCTATTCTTGAACCCCGGTAGTGGCTACCGGTAGTGTTGATGCGACACTTCACATCTCATCCCAAGCCAAAGGCCCATCGGGTCTCGTACGCCAGCCTCTCAGGATGAGGTGCAGTATGGAGATGGCCACCGGAAGCGAGGACCGGGGGTCTGCCAGGATGGACCGTGTTTCATCCTGTCAGTCCCTGGTTAATCTTTGGGACCCGCCTCAGCCCAGCTGAAGGCCCAGAAAACGCAAGTTCTTCTTGGCTGACGCGGACGAGACCTTGGTATCGTGGTTGAGAAAAGGTCGCAAAGGCTCTGCTTGTGTGATGATGTGATGCCATGGTATCTCACCTTTGCTGCCCCAACGGCAAAAGCATCATCGAAATTGCTCTTCAAGATTCAGCCCTCCCGATTCCATCACGACATTTACTTGATCTGGCAGCACTAAAATATTACCCGTTCTACCGGTGGAAGGATTCTGGCCATGCTTTGACCCCACTAACTCACCGTCCGAGACCAGGATTCAGGTCTTCGTACGCAGCTTCATTGCGACGCGTCCTCACAGATTGGGATACATACGTACTGTGCCCCAGAGGTGGCAGGAATGTTCATCTCTTGCGTGTGCTATTCAACAAGGTGCATAGTATGGGCTGCAGGGAGCGGAAGGTGACGAGATGGGACACCCTGGGCAGCAGGCTCGATTCTATTTAAAGACAGATATTCACCACATGGCAGGCAATCAGGAGCAATGCTGCACTTCCGACCCGACCCACGCCTCGTGGGCTGATTTGGGGCATCCGTATCTGGCGACTGCCCCCTTGCTGCCTTGCTGGATCTTGGCTTGGCTCTCGTCTTTTATATTAGCGAACCAGGAGCCAAGACTAGGCCCGAGTGAACGAAGGAATCCTTTCGCATTCTCGTCCACAGAGGCCAATCACTCGCTGCGTGATGATACACGCCTTTTGTTGTTTCCCTCTTTGGGCTACCCGAACCAAGCCGCCAATATTGCGGATCTGCCCACATGACGTGCACTACGGCACTTGAGACACTGCCTGCGCGGTGTTGTGATGTCGATGCTTCAATGGATTATCCATAATTTGATTTGATTTCGATATTTCCTGCCAAGATCGTGAGCTTTGGTGCTGCTGGGCCTTGTCTCTAGCATCTTCGCCCCTGTACCCAAGCACATGGTACTCGTGTTCATCTTTTAGTTTTTACCGATCGAGCCAATTAAATGTAATTTTAGATATACACGGGCTTGTTTGATTTTCTCCAACCCCGTTTCAGTGTTACAATAATCACCGAGCACTCCAGAAGGATCACCTTCAGCGAGGTGGTATATATAAGCGATTTTCTTTGTGACGAGCAATGATGGAAATCGTTTCTATAATAGTCCTTCCCTTTTGATGAAGCTGGTAATAGAAGGCTCAACACTCGTAGGACATCAAACCTGCGATACTTGATGAGAAAGAAATCTCCTCGAACTTTACTACTCTCCAGCGTTTCTTGGGCTTCTATGTAGACGCCTACTGTATACTTCCCTTGCTACTCGCTGAATTCATCATTGCCTGACACGAATCACTATGGTGAGATTGGAGTTTGCTATTGTAAGCAGATTTCTTCTTAAAGTTCGCCAGGTAGACTCTCAGGACTGTCACTTTTCTAGTTCTCTGGTAGATTAGCTCGCCTGCTACAGTGCCATCTTCTAAGCCATAGGTGTATTTCGATTCCTTTTCGAGTAGATAGCCTTGGTACCTAGTGGCTTCTCTTCAAATAAGCTCCTCTTTCTAGATTTCTTGATACCCACCACTTATTTGCTGAGCGGCCTATTTACTACATTTACCATATTCCATGGCTTAGTGCTAATGGGCAATTCCAATGCTTCTATTTTACTTGGATGACTTGTTACAGAAAGCTTCCTAGTGTCTATTACTTAGCGTCAGGGCATCTCATCCAGAGGTAGTGGGTGTCTAACCTTTACATATGCTGGGGTACGATCGATTTATTAACTTCTTACTTTTGATTAACCCCTCTTCAAGAGTTATAATAGCTCCGAGTAGAAGGACGGAACGGTATTGTGGAGCTGTAGTTAGTATATATATTGCGTGCTACTTATTTTATCTGCTAGTTATACTGCTTCGGGTCGTTCGCGAATTTCGAAAGCTTTTCCTTTCACACCCTTGAATGAGGCAGTGTTATTTACATAGGAGTAACTGAGAGGTGCGTCGAGAGTGCTTGGGTGAGCCAGATCTATGCAATAGTCTTGGCCTGCTCGACAGCAACAACCTTCTCATCTCGCTGTTCTGCCTGCTCAGCATCTTCAGCATCCTCGCCCCGGTTTTCGATTAAAGCCAACTGGGCCTCCTTTTTCCTGTCTCGCCACAAAAGTAGCTGAATTGCGCCTGTTACCACAACTGAGCAGATATGTTAGCTTCTAAACAACTCGCAGGGAAGGCATCATGTTCAGCTCACTTAACAACCCATTCAGTGTGCAGCTCCATGTGTAACCTTTTGTCGCCGCCGGGAAATCGGTGGTTTTCCAAACGAAATTTGGAGCCTAAGGTTGAGGGGCTTGTTAATTTGACGGACGGCCAAGGGTCGATCAGGTCTTTATGAACTTACAACAGCCTGGACAACATAAGCGAAGTCGTTGCCCATTGCCACAAGCAAAGCTCGTTTTTCAGTGTCTGCCGAGCAAATCTCATTGATCCAACTCAGAATTAGGGGACCGGCACCATTCTAAGGATAGAAATTAGAGCCAGAAATCTGTAAGTTCGCCTTGTGCATCAACTTACTCCTATATTCTCTAGCCAGTACACAATCTTTCGGCCCTCGATGTTGGTGTATAAGGGCATTTTAAGCAAAGCCATGTTGAAAATGAACTGTGAATTGTCTGGATTAGCTGTGCGATCATGTGGAATTCTGGGGATCGATATCGACGTACCGGTACGACTGCACCAGCGTAGATGAAGGGATACCGGCGTCCTTTGAAAGGGCCATCTGAGAGCCAAGCCCAAATCAAAGCCATACCAATAAAGATCCCGGTGGTTGGCAGAGGCACTGGAGATATTGTAAGCAAACGAACCCGACAATGCATATGTAGGACAAGAGACTTATCGTACGCTGATTGATTTGTGGGACGGTGAAGGAGACTCCGGGAACCGGGGGAGGGTTCGCGTTGAAGCTCTTCAACCAGTATCCCATTGCGTTCTGTGAGCCAGCATTATTCCAGACGACATAACACATAGCTGTGACATATGTTAATTTGCATTTCTCCTTATGCGACCATTGGGAAGAACGTACGGAGGAGATAAAAGTGCCAGCTTGAAAGGATCCTCTTGAGTTTGGCCTTTGTCCACGGTTCCTTGCCCGCTCTTCCAATAGCTTTCATTCTGGCCTGAGACATTTGTTGCTCTCTGTCCGTCAGCCACCATGTTCTCTTGCCGTCCTGAGGTAGGTTAGGGAAAAACACGTAGCCCAGCAATGCGAGTGGCAGAGTGATGATGCCATCAATGATGAAAAGCCAACGCCCTACTCTGAATATTAGAACGACATCTTTTAGAGAGCTTCATCAGTTCACCAACATCCTGAACGGCCATGAACGCCATTGAGATTTGTATATGCTGCTGCTTGTAAGAAGCCACTGAACATGGTGCCAATGGACCCAGCCAGCCAGAACATGACGGCCCGCTTTCCAATCTCGCGGGGTGTGTACCAAGATCCAAGCATGTAGTGAATGCCGGGGTAGAACCCTGATCTAAGATGAGAATGTCGGCTGATTGCTCGATGCGAGTTAACATATGAGGGCTTTACATACTCGAAAAATCCTACGAGAAACCGTAAAGCGTACAAAGCCGAGTGAGAGTGGACAGCTGTAGTGGCAAAAGTGGCGATTCCCCAACCAACCTCCAGACTAGGAATGACCCAGCGAGGCGACAGTCGAGTGAGGAGGAGATTGCTCGGAATTTGTCCGATAACATACCCGACAGTCCAGATAGATGTGCCTATTTCAAACAGTTAGTGATGGGTAAGGAGCAATAGTATCGTGTGTCTTGTCTTGAACATACTTGTTACCAACTCATTTCCGTACATATGGAGTTCCTCCTTCATTCCGCTGAGAAAGGCATTGTTGATGTTGTTTTGGTCCAGATATTTGAGAAAGTAACCAAGAGACGCAAATGTAAGAACGAATGCATCAACTTTGAACAACATCCAACGTTGGTCAGGGGGGAGATCCCAAGTGTCCCAAATGTATCCTCTCCAGGTTTGCACAGGTTTCACGACAACATCAACATCAGAGCCAGTAGCCTCTGTGTCTGATGCGTCGTGAGCTGCAGTCGGAACGCGTGTCTCCTTAGACAAGCTCTTCTCGGCCATGATGGGCAACACAAAGAGAGTGCTCTGGTAGACAATAGTAGTAGCAAATGGTTAAAAGCAGGGTTCTCTGGGCAACATAGAGAAAAAGCAAAGAGACAACTCGAGTACCCCAGGCCCTTTTATACGATCCATATAATAAGGCTAAAGATATGCACTCATTCGCCCATATGATCACGTCAAGTGGCCCTACTCCTTTATGCTTATCTTAAGGCCGTGGGTAGCGGGACCATCCACAAATCTTGTTACAACGAACGATAACCATATTCGATATCAGCAGACAATCTAGTTCCAATTGAGCATGGAGATGGAGTCTCGCGCATGAACTCAGTGGTGAAATTCTCTGTCGGGCTTGCGCCATTGCTTCCTCTGCCCAGTCATGATGGACCAGACCCCGACATGATATGCATGCTCCCCACTCGAGCGAGGATAAACCCCACAAGATTTGCCCTCTGCGAACTTTTTGACAAGGGTGAAATATGCGCAGATGTTGGTAATGAGCCTACCTTCTTGATTGTTGCACTCACTGCGTGGACCCCGGCTAGCTTGCTGAAAGCCTAACTTGGGGTCTCGGCCCGTTTAGCTGTTTGAGAATTGAGGCTATTCTGACCCAATGTTTGAACAAAGGTTGAGGTCAATGTTGCCAAGAGCCAAGATTCATGACTTAATAGACATGATGTCTGTGACATGCATCGGGCCAAGAGTTTGACACAAGCCTCTCCCGCTGTCAAGTGGCTTGGTAGCTTCGGGCCACTGCCGAAATTCTACGATTGAATACTATTTTCAATCAAACGACCGAAAATGTGCATTCTAGCAGCGATGGTAGGTCGAGGCCTCCAATTCTAACCGCGCGGGCCTCCGTAGTGTAACTGTAACTCCAGTTCTGGAGCCGAAGCGGGACCTAACAAGTCATGTTCTCAATATTGACCATGACATGCATTGTTAATAGCTGTGATAATCCATCCTACAAGGGAGCCTTCAGTTGCTGGGCTAGCTGATTGGGGTGACCTTGGTTGGTTTCGAGCCGAGCTCGGAGGGTGGAAAGGCGTCATCCCGACCGGTATGTCGCAATGTCGCAGACTGTTGCACTTTCTAACGGCTAGACGCAATCCCAGGAGATATGTCGCAATCTCGATCACAAACCAAATTAGACCCTTTTTAGATCATGTCTACCGAGATGTTAAATCGCGGGCTCTCGCTGGCATCAGATCTGCCATTCCTAGCTACTTGTTGCAAACCTAAATATCAACATTATTGCGGCTTCGTAATCACCATTGGGAAAAGGTCAGCTCTGGTGACGTTCCCATGGCGTGCTGATACCTTGACCTAGAAGAAGAAAGATTGGGAAGAGAAGAAGCTACAAGTTGCGATTTTCCCTTCACTTAGAAGTCAGCTTTGCCACATTTCTCTTATCTGTGATTCAATGAAGCGAACCGTTAGCCAAGAGGAAGCCTACTTGAACAGATCCAGGTTAATGACAATCTCCAGCTTCCAGGCCTTGGCAGTCTTTTAAAGTCGCATAGGCATGCCTCCGAGTAAAACCTTACAATGAAATTATTTAGAAGGGAGTTATCAAAAGCGTGTCTGTTAACTGACGAACTGCTGAAGAAATCAGTGGCACCAAGGCACATGCCACTTCTTAAGCAGAGGTCCGGTCTTTCAACCCAACGACATTTCTCAACTCCTTTTTCAAGCACACATGCTTGAAACGGAAAAGCTGACCCGTTGATTTCATGAGCTTGGATAGATAAGTCAGTAGGACAAGTTATCATGGGGATGCTTCGAGTTTTCTGACTCGATATATCTCAACGTTGGCATAGTTAAGATATAAAGGCCCCAGGTACATTCAACCAAAAGCTAAAACAGGGCAGATGTGCCTTGTTTTAGATAGTACGACAAGTAGGTGCTTACATTAGAGCACGTTATCGAGTCTCATAGGTGGGTTGCCTAGACTTTGAAATTCTCGTACTTGGTTAGTTGGTTTAAACCAGAATAATTCAGTGTCAAGCAAAAAGACTAGGCAGTGCAAAAGATAGTCAGTAATCGAATTCAACATTAATATTTGGCCGCTGAGAAATAAACCAGACCACAGTCGCTTGCATCTTGATCTGGCATTTCAATTCGATACGGTTACATCAATGACTATCTTGTGAGATATAGGTAGGTGACAATCTGCTATCTCATAGTAAGTGGGATCGCTAGAACGGTGTTATAGACCCGAATAGGATTCAAGGCAACAACAGTCACCTGTGAAGATCTCAAATTTATTTCAAATTCTTTAGCTGGTGGGTTTATCATAATCGGGAAGCGTGGCGTGTCAGGGAAGGACCAGGGCCGACAGTCGACTGACTAGATTTATTACTCATCACCTCGATAAAAAAACGGACAGTAACATCGTCTTACATTGAATTTGTACTGCTGGAGACATTCGGAAGACCTATTATCCCTGAAGTTATATTGGCAAGTGGCATTTACATCTATCTTACTTGGCATAAGCCGGCTTCTACCAATGATAAGCGATGTTCTATTAAGCATTCAACTTCCATCATGAACTGTCTTGTATTATTGTATCATAGAGAACATATATCTCCTGAGTTTAGCTGTTTTATCAAGGTAGTAAATACCTGTACTTTAGCGCTTGGCTTGTGTCTGTAGCCCACCCCTAGCATCATTCTCCAGCAGTAACCACGCCCGAAGATTGGATTGGCCCATTTACGATTTTGGTTTGATGCCTGATCCATGGAGGTTTTCACATGTTTCAAATTTCTAATACCCCGCAGTTGATATCGGTTGTATTGAGCAGCCTGATAAGAAGAACAGTACAGCAATAAATTGGTACGATGTTTTGAATATTCTTCCCCTTATCTTATACGGGGCAGCATCGGAATCCGCGAATCCGTATTAGTTCCGATTCCAGTTGATTCCGGCCTTTGGAACTGTGATATCAGTGGGTGTTGATTGGGTAGTTGAGTTTCCACGGGCCATGATACATACCTGCATCTCAGCCGCAGCACCAGGGCATTTCCTGTATCGATCATCACCTCTTCTTCTCATGACAAGAACCGAAATAATACAAGATGCTTGATAACGCAATCCCAGAGCATTTAAGGGGCGATAGAACCCTCCAGGCAAACACACCCTCGGCTGATTTTCAACCAGCGTACCCATCGTACAGCGCGCGGTTCCCTGAGAAGGCCACCGAGCTTGTCATGGCCCTTATTGGTGCCCAATATAAGACAAAGACTGAAGCGGACGGTGTTGGCCAATCCAAAATCTCCAACTTCTTGGTGTCCGATGAAGCACGCCCTTCCTTCCATGAATGGGCATCGTTCATAGACAACAAGGGATATTACAATCTGGTGGCCTTTGCTTACTGGCCAAGCACGGCTGATTATGAGGCTTGGGGCAAGGAATCAGGCTTCAAGAAGTGGTGGGAGTCTCTTGACGTCGAGGATCACTCTAATGGCTGGTTCCTGGAGGTATTCCATCCTCCCATGCACCGGCTCGAGACCCTTTTCAATACCCAGACCGCTGAAGGCTCAGGCCACCTTATGGAGGCCTGGAGTGGTGAGATCCAACAACATGGGTATTGGGGTAGTATGCGGGATCGGCTGCCGATAGCCCTCACAGATAGTCTGGAGGGCACCAAAATGAGCATCGATCCTTCAGGGGTTCAAGGCCGCGTGCGTGTTCCCGGCAAACACAATCTTGCAATCATCCGTTCCGGCCAAGACTGGCTCATTACCACGCCGGAGGAACGAGAGCTGTATCTTAATACCATGCAACCCGTCCTCATCCAAGGCATGGATTTCCTCCGTGATCATGGTGAGGAGGTAGATTGTTACAGCTGCCGGTTCATGGACGTGATTGACCCAGCCACTCGTGCAGCGGATAAGGATCGAACATTTGGACTCGCTTATTTTAGCGATCTGAAGTCACTTGAGAGCTGGTGCAAGGAGCATCCTACGCATCTTGCCATCTTTGGTGGATTTTTCCAATATGCAAAGAAGTTGAAATATAACGTGAATCTGCGAGTGTTTCACGAAGTCATGGTTCTCGAACCGGAGCAGCAGTTCTTTGAATATATACGCTGCCACCCAGGTACGGGAATGTTACAGTGATAGACCCAGTCAGGAATGAATCAAACTATTTGATAGTGTTAGCCGACCGTGCGCTTTGGCAAGAATACAATTATAAATGTCATTGTATGCTTCCATTTAGGAATCAATAGTAGCCTTAAGGAAGATGAGTCGCTGTGTCCCGAAGATCGCACGGCGAGGAAAGTAAACCCTCCATGCCAAGGCGCGGTATATCAAAGTGATCTCCGGGCCTGTCCAACCAGGTAGGCAATATATCAAGTTTATCTCTATATACAAAAGAAAGACGGGTTTCTCTTGAGAGGAAGCAGCGAGATAGCTGCTCTTATAGCGCTTTATGATTAACTGGCCCCGGGGTTGGGAAACCCTCAAGTGACCGGGATCACTCTCGCAAGGCCACGCAACCCTAGCGGAGCTCTTCGTAGGTTTAGCCTGTAACACCTACCAGTCAATTTTTGCTTATACAAAACTAGAGTATGTATCCTTCGATAGAGACCGAGCGGGTCAAGGATATATATTGAAAATGAAATTCTATGTCATGATCATCGTGTCTATTCTATTCATTCATTAGAAACTGCGGCAGTGGTGGACTGGACAAAACCACTGGGTCTTTTCCTTTGACCTTCACTGAATTTGACCGTGAAACACCTGGACGCAGCTCAAACATCTCTAGCCTTGGCTGGTTATCCGGTTTCCGATCAAATTCGACCGAGACCTCCGTTTTTAGCGTGATACCTCCGCCACGGTGGTTATGCCGGCCATCGAGGATACTACTTTCGCTTGCAGAGTCGTCAAGGAAAGTTTGATGGCGAGACTCGGAGTTCCTTCGAGATTCGGGTCGAGGCTGGGTCAAGAATCGGTTGCCATCGGATCGTACATATCCAAGCACTGTCGGAGTTGATCCATATCTTGTACCCAGAGCTATCTCACCGACGAGCACACGCAGAATGGGTATCGAGGCTGCGATGATGGTCGAGCACGGCTCGGCGAGCGAAAATATCCAGTACAGCATGAGATGCCAGTTAACTATAAGAGAATGGTCAGAGATGGTTCAAAAAGCCGGTTAGGGTTCGTTCTTACACTCAAATTCCAGTGGGTTGAGGATTCTGATAGCCTGGACTGTCTTCATGACACCAAAAGCACATCCGCTGTGGTATTGTCAGTAAAGCCGAGACATCACGAGAAATAGCCTACTCACAATATCTCGAAGCTCATAGCAAGACCGACTCCGATTCTCTTCTTCTTCTCTAGGTTGGTATTCCAAATGACTCGCCATGGAAGCAAGGCAAGGACGAGATCCGTTGCCGCTGAAAAACCTAGAAACTTATAAGACTCTCGCACAGCCGAAGCAGAATGTGGAAAAGAATATTACCTGAACCTGTAATGTTCACGATGCCCAGGTCGTGGGCTTCCCAGCATGAGCCTGGAAGAACGTACGGAACTGTGTCACCGCAGAGAGCCCTCCATTGCGCGAAGACGTGATAGATGCAGAGTATGTTGATGGATCCGACAACGAGCCAGATTAGCACTTTCTCGACCCTAGATGAGAAGCGTAGCAAGGAGACGGCAAAAGACGTCTTGGAGAGAGCCAGCGCGAATAGGTGGAATGTGTGTGATAGCCGGACCAAGGCACTGACAGTCGGTGCCTCGTTACTGTCTGATGTGAGATGTCCGTTCTTAAGAGCAACAGTGAGTGTCGATCCGGCAGCGATAAGAAAGATCCAGCTGATGATCAACAGATAGTCGTCCCACCAGGTTTGTCCACTTCGTGTGATGCGAGTGTAGATCTTCGAACAAAAGAACGCTGTCGTGATCCCCACCATGGACCAGATCGCCGGGATGACTATCGAGTCTGCATTTTCGACAGGTTTGCGTGAGTCCATGGCATGTGCAAGTTCGACGGGCGTAGAGCGAAGCCGTCAAGTAGGGAGCCGTGCCTCGTAGACGATACAGTTCATTCTTGTGTCGACCCGTTCCTCAGTTGCGTAATTACTCTTCAGTCGTGTTTGTCGTTTTGTAGTTAGGGATAACGAAGGGTCGAGGAATGGGTCGATCGGAGAAAAAAGGCCGCGAGCCTCAATCTTAAAGATCCCGATGGGGCTGACACCGCATTTACAGCCCAAGTCTCCTTTCAAGGAAGCAAAACAGGGTAATAAAACGTGAGCTGCCGGATCTGGCGGCCGCTTGTTCTCATTTGGCGGTTCGGCCCAATGCAAAGGACAAGCTTCCTGGGGAGCCGCTGTCAGCCGGGTCATGAGTGCCCCTTGTCGTGTTTCAAAGTGCTTTTCTGGATGCTCATGGCCTTGGACAAACCCCAGTTTCCCCCATGATGTCTTAGGAAGTGATCGCTCGGTCAATCGCCCCAAAGCGAATATTCTCCGTTGACAGCGATTTAGCCTACATAGACCACCAATACTTGACAATAACCCGATCTGACGAACTCCATCATTTAGTCATCAGTGGCAAGTGCTCCTCTGCACTGCAAGTTCAGAGAAGTTGATTGTCCTGACTATTTGCAGGAAGTATATTGGATATCACACGGCATTATCTGGCTCAGACGTCCGCTCACAGAGAGAATTATCATTTCTCTCTGTGCACATTGTCTACGCGGAATCGAGGGCGCTGAATTGAGTTGCTAGCACAGTTTCTAGTGCCGTTGTGAGGGATTTCCTCCTTGTTTTTGTGATTAGGCTGGCAGGGACCAGGATGTGGTCAGTTAATGCTGGGAGGCAAGAGGCGCTAGGCCAGTCCTTTGTTCAATCAAAATTCTCAGCATCCCTACTGTCTAGATTCCCATAATCCGAAAGGGTAATCGTGTGCTGTCAGCAGGGAATGATGCCTGTTGGCAATCTTACCAAGAAATGCAAAGCTGCCAGGGGCACAACCGTCACGACCCCCTTACCCAAGTAGTTACCAGCTTTTTGTGTGACACGTAGCACACGGGCGTATCGATCGACGATCAAATTGTTTCTGGAGATGTGATGTATCTTGGTAGCTATACTGAAGGACATGGTACAGTGAACCGTTCACTAAGAACAATATTCGGGCTCTTTATCCTTCCCAAACGTCACATAAATTTGGCAAGAGTCTAGAAGATCATGAAACATCAATAATCTTTTCCGAACTTCCCGTGATTGTGTTAAATTATCCATCAAAGCGACAGGGCTTCTGGAGGAGGTGAGGCTGATATCTCGGCTGACTTATTACTTGGCTCCTCTTAATGATCCTTCCATTGCTTTCCGAGCGCGCTGACTGGCTGTCACACTCAGCTCTCAGTCATCCATCTGTTTCCCATTTAGTCACCTTGTGCATGACTTATTGCACAGCTGTCACCACTTTGCCCTTCTGGGCACATTATTCATGCAGCGGCTCATGTGGCTGAAGCTCACTTGTTTCACATCATCCTAACTTACCTCGCTATTATTCCTTCCTCTAGCTAGCCCACCGATTTCAGCCATATGATCGGAGTTATCAGTTTGAAACCGATGTCAAGATTTTGCCAATGCATGGACTACACGAACCGCCTGCTTCTAACTTAAGTAATGAAGGTTTCTCTTATATCATTTGGCACTAAAAGCATCTCCTTTAGCTCTGTAGCACTGATTTTTCATTTATTTGTACTTATTGGTATCGGTGATCAGACGATATCGTCAATGAGGCATTGCAATTAGGATGAGTTTGCTTCTTTTAGACAAACAAGCAACAAGGCCAGAGAGCCATATTGCTGCACACTTTCAGCCGATCTTTGATACAATCTCAGAGCTTGTTTTGCCGTCCTTATCATACATCATAAGGCTAGCAACATCCTAAGGCTTTGTTCAATACTGTCATCCTTGTCACTAGCTCCAACACGGGGCGTGTTGTTATCAAGAGACTTTACAAAGTTTAGAGATACCGTTGAGAAGATTGCTGAGCTATCGAGAGAAGCAATCACGTTTTATATTGCCAAGGTCATGATACGCGTCATGGAATTCACAATGCTTATTCCCCAAAATAAGACCAATATCATCATCTTTATTCATTAGCATTATGGCACATTGTATGGTAATCTTGAGCAACTATTGGCCCAGCAAAATCGATGGAAGAACTACCCTTCAGCGTTTAGTTTTCCTCGCTGTGCTTCTTGGCCTTCTTAGCAACGCGGTTCTTCCTCTTGCCAGCCACCTTCTTGCTGCTCTTGCTAGCCTTCTTTCCCTTCTTGGTGTGGTGCTTGGGGGCCGAGTCGTTTTCCTCCGCACCACGCTTGTGGGCAGTCTGGGCAATCTTCATTGAGGTGTCAGCAGTCTTAAGAAGACGATCGTAGGTCTTGCCCTTGTTATTCACAACAGTCTTGGCGACAGTCTTAGCGGCACCGGCAACAGCGTTCTTAGCCTTGATGGCGCCGGTAGCAACAGCTTTGACGGCACCGAGAAGATTAGCGCGCTCCTCGAGATCAAACTCATCATCGCGCTCCTCAAGATCCCACTCATCACGTTCCTCAAGGTCCCACTCATCACGCTTTCCTTGAGCAGGCTTTTGGTTGGTCTTGACGGTCTTGGCAACATTCATTGAGGTGTCGGCGGTCTTGAGAAGGCGGTCGTAAGTCTTGCCCTTGTTGTTGACAACCGTCTTGCCGACGGTCTTGGCGGCCCCGGTAACAGCGTTCTTGGCCTTAACAGCACCGGAGACAGCACCAACAAGCTTCTTAGAACCAGGGAGAACGTTCTTAATATTCTTGAGGGCAGGAGCAACAGCCTTGACGGCTTTGAAAATATTGGCTCGCTCCTCAAGGTCCCATTCGTCACGCTCCTCGAGATCCCACTCGCCACGTTCCTCGAGATCCCAATCGTCACGCTTGGTCTTAGCAGTCTTGGCAATGTTCATCGATGTATCAGCAGTCTTGAGGACACGATCGTAAGTCTTGCCCTTGTTGTTCACCACAGTTTTACCAACTGTTTTGGCAGCACCGACAACAGCGTTTTTGGCCTTGACGGCGCCTGAAACGGCTCCAGCCAACTTCTTTCCAGGAAGGACATTCTTGATGTTTTTTAAGGCGGGGGCAACGGCCTTGACGGCATTGAAGAGGTTGGCCCGGGTCTCAAGATCTAGCTCATCTCCGTAAAGAGCTCGGACGACAAGATCGAAGTCCTCAAAGTCACGCTCACCAAGGTCGAGAACGAGGTCACGAGCGGCCAGGTCAAGGTCGGCGAGCCCGTTGACATCTCGGACGGCAATGTCAGGCTGAGGGGCCAGAGGAGCAGCCGCGGCAAGGCCAACCAGGACGGCGGGGATGAAAACTTGCTGAATGCCAACCATTTTGAATAAGGATGATATATTGTTTTAGAAAAAATATTGACCAGCAATAAAAAAAAGGTAGTAAAATAAAGTAGAAAGAAGCGAAAAGAGACCAGCTCTGTATTGTTTTGGGTGTTTAGGTGGTGTTTGATCGAGTGATGAAGAGAAGAGATCTTGTATGAAGTGGAAGATCAATCTATGGGTTATATACTTGCCACTCTGCTCTCTCCGTATTCCACAACCACATCACAGTTGCTGGAGGCTATCTTTAGCTCCGCCACATTCCTGCATGGTGGGCCTTGGCGGAGCTGTGATGTATTTCTGTTTTAGCATGCCTATTCCAGATTCCACGTTCTCCCCATACTAATTGATCAGTCATGGCCGTTGAACTTACCGGCCAATCAGCTGGATCCTAATGAGCACGCCCACCGCACACAAATGGATGTGATCCGCGGTGTTACCGAACCCATCTGCCACAATCATACGGAGTAGGTATGTGAATAACAAAATCTACTTAATATTGTGCTTGTCCCTTGCAGTTTAGGCCCCGGTCACATTCAGCCCTTTCCCGTACTACGTATGGATTGGGAAGTTGGGGAAGTTACCCAACCAGTGTTGATTCTTCATACGGAGTCTAGGCTCAAGATCCCTTCCGCCTGTTTTAGAGCAAGCTTCCCAATACGATTTCTTCAGGAGGAATGCTTCCTTGACATAGCCCTGACAAACGAGACATGAGCAACACATGGTTTGCTTTGGCTTAAACAAAAGCAAAGCTTGGTTTGGCCCATGGAACTTCTCTGCTAGATAAAGTGATGAGCTTGGTAAATGCTTAGATAAGAATATTGGTGTAGACATATATGAGTATTATCGTGTCAGTCTATACTCGTTCAGATGGCCAGATGCCATGATCAACCGGAGATCTACGAGCATGACCCCATGAATCTCATTCTAGCTCTAAGTGCTTATCCGGCCTTCGTACTTCCTACCTAGCTAGGCGTTGTAAGTCAAGTAAGGCAGTAAGATCCAGCCCTCTTTAGCGTGACAGGTGCCCAATCCATAGAAGTTCATTGGTGGTGCTCGCTCGGATCCTCCTGGAACTGGCGGAAAAGCTTAGCGTTCGTCATCCCTGTCTGACTGCCGACCTTCACCGACTAAATTAACACATCTACCGAGCAATGAGAAAGCGAGCTTCCGTAAGGAGCCCTTTTTCCTCCCTCGTGTCCCTTTTGGCATCTGAAACATTTCTGTAATGTCGTATTGCTGGATTAATGTGTCTGCCTAAACACCGAGCAAGCCTGAGTTGGTTGGAGGCCTGCCACTAATGCCGGTAGGGGCAGCTGCTTTCCCGGTTAACCGGCTAGGCCCCCAGGCAAAGGATCGGGTGAGTAGCCATCTCAGCCGCTTGTTAGCAGTGGCCATCCGCTATTTGCTAATAATAGTTCCAGCCCTTCAAGTAGCTTCTTTATTCTCGAAGCTTTTTTTCTCTTGGTGATAACTAATTAAGCTTATGAATGGATGATTTACGAGACAAAATTGTTCTGGAGTTCATTTGCCAGGGTTGCAGCTCGTTTGGAAGATCCCTCGTGCGTTGGAAGCCCACGTGGGTTGGCAACCCACAACGTTCCCGTCTTGGCCACCCGTGCGCCTTCGGGTTTTGACCCATCGCCTTGTTTGGATTTCTGACTCTCGTGAAGATATAGCGCCAGGGCTGAGCCAAGGCCGGGTTGGCGATGGCGTACACGACTTGGGTGGTCGTAAGAACTAAGCTTCCCGACCCTGCCCAAACCCCTTTTCTCGCGGGATAAGGTCACCTCACCCAGCACCATCAGATTTGTATCGAGTTCTCGCCAAGTCTAAAGCTAATTCTTAAATTCATCCTTGACATTCAATGATCTTAAATGATTCCGAATAGATCCATCTTTATTTCCTTGGGCCTAGCTGTGCTGACTACATTTGGTAGTACACTTAACCACAGCCTGTAGCTACACAAACTATTATTCTAACTTTTCTTTTTCTGTTGTTCGGCTTTAGATAGCTCAGCATAAACAAGGTGCAGGGAAGTGTTATTAAAGGTCAGAATGCGGAAGGCTAAGCCTGCTAATCGACCTCGACAACGTAATCCTTCTCTATCGACTTGGCAAAAGCACTGCCAAGGCTCCTATACTGACTTGACTTAAACAGCATTTTACTAAGCAGATACTTGCTTCTAAATGACGGTAAAAGAACATATGCTAATTTGGCATGTGAGGACTCGATGGTAATGATATGAATGTCACGAGCAATGTATAGAAGGGGACTGTAAAGACTTCTTATTTCTATGCCAGTGGAGGATCTTCGAGATCTTTTCAATCGAGAGAGTGCTCAGGTCCTACTTTCGTCGCCTCGCCTTGACCTTGGGCTTGGAATGTAGATGGCCTCAGTTCTCAAATTGTTCTGGTCCGAAGGTAGCGTTGAAGCGCATGGTCAGCAAATCCTTGCTGGTAATCTCTTCTGCTCGAGCGACCAGCTCGTCAACGTCCCACTCAACGCTAATCATCCTCCCGTTTAAAAACATACTCCTCGCTGGGTCCGCTGCCAACCACACCAAATTTCCACCAGTCAGCGAGAAGTCGTTCCAATTAAGACCGGCCGCCCTCAGGCCCGCCGGGACTATGTCAGTATCGTTCATGCCGGGATTGATCGCGATTGTGAAAACAGTGCCTGGATAAGAGGCGGCAACAGTTTTGGTGTACTGTATCATGGCCAACTTGCTCCCAGTGTATCCAGGCAATTCGGGCCATGTGCCCCAGGCAGCTCCGCTAGAAATATTGATCACTGTGGCTGGAGTAGCTGTCGAGGCCCACTGGACGGCAGCTTTGAGGTATTGCTGGGTCATCATGTGCGAGCCTTTGACATTGACTTCCTAGAAACTAGACATTAGCCCAAGAATCCTTGAAGGAACTCTAGAGAAAATCTAGACAAGTCACGTACATAGTTTCTGAAAAACGTATCAGGGTCTTGCTCGTGCGTCTTACTACTGTCTCCGACCTCGATACCTGCGTTATTAATGAGGACATCAACCTTGGTATACTTGGCACCAATCTTAGCCCATGCGTTGTTGACCTGCTCTGCAGATGCGATATCCACAGGCAAGCAAAGGACTTGAACACCAGGATTGATGGCCTTCAAGTCCTCCTCGACTTGGGTCAGCTTGCTCGAGTTCGTAGCGATGAGCACTATAGCCTTGACTCCGGCCTTGACAAAGGCCGGTGCAATGGCATAGGCTCCTATACCTCTGCTAGCGCCTGTCAAGACTACCGTCTTTCCTTGTAGCGAGTTTGCTGCATTGCCAGGATCGATGGCTGGATAGACAGAGGTATAAACATTCCGGGTAAACTGAACAGCCCTGACTGCCCAGTCTTTAGGAAGAGATCCAAGAGCGTGGTATTCATTCAGGGAAGCCATTGTGGGAAGGTATCTGGGTGGTGCTGGTCATGTAATTTACTCGTGTAGAATTCGTGGGAAGATAATTGAAGTCATGGGGATACTAGAAGATAAGTACGAAAGCGAGAAGAGGATTTGGCCACCTATTTATGCCTTTTCACATCATCCATACATTGTATAGATCTCTCTCGCTTCTGCTTTTTCCAGGTATGAGACCTTCTCTGATTCGCGGATACAAGTTACGAGGAGTGTCTCCTCATTTGCTGGACCGTGAATCTCCATTTACTGGTGCAGGACCGATACATTTAGAAGCCCTCCCAGAAAGGAGCTTCGTGATTGGACATAACATGTTACGGTAAACGAAATCTAATTGGCCATTAATGTTAGAGAGTTCTTAGTGTAGCCTATTATAGATTGCTTACTCTCCTGCGGATGAGTCGGACGGGTTCGTACTCAGCCTCCGAAACCCCGACACTTAGCAAATTCAGTCCTTCTGAATAAATCCAACCCTTTACTGGATCATCGACCGAGACTGTCCAGGTTTGCTACGGTCGAGATGCCACAGGCACATCGGCAAGTGGCCATCGCCCCGAGGCCGGCTGGGATAACTCCTATCGCTCCTCTACAGCCCAAAAAGAGACGTGCAAGTAAGCCCAAAGTACGGACTGGGTGCGTTTCTTGCAAAATTCGACGGGTTAAGTGTGACGAACAGAAACCTACTTGCGAGAGGTGTGAGTAATTCTATTCATTCGAGCGTATTGGGCGATTGGCCATAGCTGTTCTACATATCAGCACTAGTCTTTTGATCAAATACATAATTAACTAGCTTAAGCACAGGTAGCAAGGACGGCTTCAGTTGCGATGGTTATGGAGGGCACCCACACGGCACATCAACCGTAAAGGCAACAATGCCAAGATGGCCTCGTCCACATTGGAGAAATCCCCATCCGTCTCGGTTGATCAGGCAAGACGACGCTCAGTACTTTGATTTCTTTAGAGGTCAATTGGTGTATGAGCTCTCAGGATACTCACACTCAGAGTTCTGGCTTCGCATTGTCCCCTGCGAGAGCACCTTAGACAAATGCGCCTTGGAGTCTGTCCTTGCAATCGGAGCACTTTCGACTGCTATCAGACTTGCTCCCCATCTCAGCGCGCAATCTACTCGACGACCCTCAGCGCTCCATCCTTGGTCAGCTATAGTTATGGCCAATGTCCATCATGAAGCCGCAGTTCGCCACTATATCAAAGCCCTTGCTTTGTTCAGGAGTCGACTGGAAGCAGAGATGAACAAAGCATCTCCTAGGTCGCTGTTAATCGTGTCACTACTACTTATTACCTTTGAGTTGTTACAAGGCGATATGAAGTCAGCCGACAGCCTCATCACAAGAAGCATAAATCTTCTAAAGCATACACTCAAGTTGCATCGGCAGGAAGGTCTAGCTCAACAAGTCCAAACTCCTCGCTCATCAGAAGACGATCTAGAAGACATGGAGCATCTCCTACCACTCATCTCCATAATGGGAGGGTATACCCCGTTTCTCCTTTCTCAGTCATCCAACATTCAACTATGGGATACTACCTGTGGAAGGGTTCTTCCTAACTGCGGCCAGCCCAGCATCAGCAAACTCGATATCCAATGGAACAAGTTTCACGCACGTGCGGTCGCCTTTATTGGAGTGACTATGAAATTCCAAACACTACCCTTACCGCAACAACGAGACACAGAGGAACAGAGAAACCTTATACTTGCTCAGCTCCGGGTCTGGCAGATAGAACTCGACTCATGGTGTGGAGAAAGGACATGTGACGAGCCATCTCGTGTCAGAACTTTACAAATCATGCAAATACAGCGTCAGACGCTGTTGATATGCATATCGTGTTGCCTCGATGCTACAGACATGATGTACGACGACTTTGAAGCCGAATTTGATATTCTCCTGGCGCGCTGCGTGGAATACCTACGCGAGTCGCGTCCCACATATCTCTTCACACTTTCTACGTCAATCCTGAGCGCCCTTCTTGTGGTAGTGAACAGATGCCGGGTCCACAACATCCGCATGACGGCAGCAGGGATCATTCGTCAGATACAATGGCGCGAGGGTGCGTGGGAGCCTGCGCTGATGCTAAATGGCAAGCTGGCTGGGGTGTTGATGGAGGAACGAAGCAGAGACAAGGATGGACTTATTTCTTCGGACTGTCGTTGGTTTTGGGCAGCGACAGAGTGGGAGGCTGAAAGGAAGCAGCTTGTTGCTACTTACGTCAGAGCGGTACCAGATGATTATGGTCAGCCTGTTAACAAGACGCTGGTGCTGGATCCGGACAAGGTTCTGGACGTTTGCTCTGCTATTGGCTGTCGCGTGGATCACAACATAGAACACTTAGATCTATTATTGGGTAAGAGGTGATAAAATGGAAATAGAAAGAAAGAAACCCGATTTCAAGGTCTCAGATATCTTAGTTACAGTAAGGTTTGAACTTGAATATATAAATATGAAAGTCTTTCGCCAGTCTTTTCATTGTAATAAATTTCTCAACGTCTCAACTTCATATCCACTAAGTGCTTCACCAAAGGTTCAAGTATCTCCATATTCTCCTTCATTAGAATGGCATCCTTGCATCGGTACTTTCAAGAGCCAAGCCTCACGCGCAAAATATCAAGCAGCTCTGCTTCAAGGTGCCTTCTTGCTCAAAGTAATATCGATCTTGCCCTTCACGCTACCGGTTCCCCACTCCACTGTATACAAGCCCTTCTTGCCCTCAACGGGGAGCGCAAACCAGTTCGAGAGGCGCTTGCCACCCTCCTCGTAGAAGGCCCGGTCGCCGTCCAGCACGAATCCAGTCGCCCTGACGTCCTTTGGCATCTGGCTATATGATGTGAAGCGTGTCTGGGTGGAGGAGGAACCCGCTCCTGGGAGGTAGTAGGCCCAGTCTGAGAAATCGCCTCCATCGCGGCGGGTTGCATACCAGACACCGTGCTCATCTCCCCATTCGTACCCTATCATCAAAGTGGAGACGTTAGTTAATGAGTCGCAATCTTTGAAGTAGAACAACTCGTAGGAATTCTGTCTGCGGTGGAAACTTACAGTCAAGCTGTATTGCCCCTTGGTCAGGAGCATCTTTAGTATTTCCAAGATAGGCGCGGTCTAGATGGAGTTGTTAGAACGGGACTAGACTTTTATTCAAGAAAAGAGCAGCTGACCGCCAGAATTGATGACTTCCAGCCCATTAATACCCTCGCCATAGGCATAGAGGTAAAAAGTAGGACCGGCAAGGGCTTGGGCGGCCAAGGCCAGGGGCAGAGCGAAGGAGAAGCGCATTATTCTCGTGTGAGGCCAATGGATTGGTGTTTGACAGATGAACCTTGAGATAGAGGGTATCAATGAATCGCGGACAGGGCGAGCTTTTAAAACATTTCTACAGTCAGTGAGCTACATAGGTACTGTGGTACCTATGGTGGCGGTGCTCTCGGGGCTCGACCAAAACGTCTATAGGGGGTTGACTTGGAGGGTCAATAATATGGTCAGGAACCTGCTTAATTAGGGCCATAGAATATAGCCGAGACAGAAGATGGTTGGTGCAACGTTTCATTACCATATCCTTCTCCGTGCTTGAGTTGATGTTCGGGTCACATTTGGAAGGAGAACTCCCTTTCACATCAATGCATTGCTCAAGGGTTTTTAGCGGCGGCCGACTCTATGTCTCATCCAACCAAGTATACCAGCATCTTCACTAAGTGCACTCACGACATTGATGTGGCAAATGCCTAATGTCTTCATCCCATTTTGGAGATCGCCGCCTTGTCCCGGATAGATTAATTTAGGATCGGGTTGCATTAGAATAACCCCTAAATTCCGTGACCTGCCTGCTTAGCTATCCAGGAAAGGCTGCTCATATAATTTCCAATTACGTTATCGTGCTAAGAGTAAGTAGATCGGGCTTTAGCTAGCCATGGTATCATCAAGGGCGCCGATCATATGGGAGCATATAGCAATAACACAAGACTAGGTCATTGTGTGTCAACTTTTACTTGTAACTTGACACTTTGGAATCTTCAAATTTAAGCTATTCCTTTAAGTAAATCTTATCCTAGAAATAGCCAGACGTGCAAGTCCTTTCCAACATTGCCTATTTTTTTCTTCTAGGCCAATATCTGGGGGTAGAGGTTCTCTCTTTCCATTTATTAATAACGATTTGAATATGACCAATAGTAACAGATAAAATAAGTCCTTAATTAGATGAGTTCTTGAATCTTCCCTCTTGTCTCAGTCTTTGCAATAATCCGAATAGAGTGGACAAAGAGCTTATTCTTGTATCCGCGGTGTGGAACAAAATCTTTTAGAATATTCAAGAAAAAAGAACAAATGAAATACCCAATACTAAATTATAACAACGAGCACGCAATATATAGTTAAAAATACCCTCAACATGCATTACAAACAAACTTTCTGGTTGATCATGTAATAAGGGGGTATTTTAAGAATATCAGGACGGAGAGCGTTACTACCAGAAACAAAATGTAGCAGATCATATATTCAGTTGAAAGAAACAAAAAAAGTTCAGTCTAATGAACAGCCCTCCTCTCAAATTCCTATTTTCTTTTCTTCAAATTTGAAAATTGCACAAAGCACAGAAAGTATTTCAATACCCCCAGCATCAGGGAATTTGAAGGTCGGCAACTTCAGGATGAGCTTCTTGAATTATCTTGTCGATTTCTTCAAGCCGGTCCCGAATTTCTGCAATCTTTTCATTAATCGTGGCATCCACAGCTTTCGAATCGTCCAATTCAACTTTGAGATCTTCCTGTGTCTCCTCAACTTCTGATTGCTGGGTGTTGATGATGGCTTGTTTGGAACGCTTTTCATCCTCTGATACCGAAGTGCCTTGGAGTTCCATGGCCCGGTAAGAGACCTGAAGATTTTCTCTATCCATGAGAACCTGCTGAAGCATTTCATCAACTGCTATGAGTAGCCGGTGGAGTTCTTTTTCACGCCCAAACAACTCGTCCTTCATAGCAACTTGTTGAGTATATTCACGGGCGAGAACACGATACTGAGCCACTAGATCATGCACGTTTACCGCCCGATTGAGATCATCAAGGTCTCCAGGATTGCTGCCTTGAGCGGATTCATTCATGTTAGTATATGCGGTCTGTAACTTGTGCGATAGGAAAAATGATCAGTGGCACAATCTTGCTGGTAAGGAGTCAACATAAAGATAAACCGAGTTGCTAGGTTTATATACTAAGAGAAAAAAAAAAAGANAAAAAAAAAAAAAAAAAAAAAAAAAAACCGAAACGCAACTGAAAGAGGTCGATTAATCTTAATCAATAACTCACAAAAGACTTGAATATTTGAATATTGGATCTCCTGGGAACAGTTGCACTGAATATTGAAAGTTTGCTAGCACTTCATGATAGCAACAAAGATGGACTCTTCTTTTACACCGAGCACTTCTTGAGAGTGATTTCTTAATGAACTGGACATGGCAATAGTTTGTGGTCTTGCTTTTCCTATTTTGTTTGTTCTGGTCTCTTTTCTTATGATTATTGATCTGTTGCATTCGTCTCGGCCGATTCTTTCACTGTTGCTAAATAAACGCAGGACAAATCAATGATGTATTAGCACGTTGAGGATATCGATCCTAGCTCAAGGATATGTCGGTGAACACGACCTAATAAAGGTTTAGATACAGATGAGCACCACCTACTGACTCATTGCTTTTCCCGCCCCAGATTACACACGGCAACTCTATTGAAGGCGCTAAATAAAGCGGAACACGTATTTCTAAGCCTCGTCTTTTACCCCGTTGACCTAACCTTCATGGACGCATTGAAGCCTCGCTAGAAGTACATCAGATGTACTACACTATTAGTCTCACTAAATAATTCCGTAAGTGTTCAAATATCCGTCAATACAACCTATCCAAGGCTTTAGGTAGGGGTTGTGTGGCTATAGGGTAGCCTTGCTCTTTGCATAACTTTTATGCAAAGAGCACTGATTTATGCACTTAATAGTGCCATCGGGGAAACCGCCGAAATGGATCAACTTTGATCCGCGCCAAAAGCACGCAAATCAAGTGCGGCGGATTGGATGGAGGCTGGGACCAGGATAAGGTCGAGAATCTAGATTTGGTCGAGAAATGCGCGGATATCGCAATCTGAGTCCAATCCCTCCCTCTCCAGCGCCAGACTTGCAGCCCAATTAGGTTCCCTAGACCAGCCGGACACAGCAGCCATGGGCATCCTCCGCAAGACCATCTTTACGGGCCTGCTCGGCACCTCGACGGCCTGCGCCTATCTTGCGTCCAGGAACCCCGTCATCTCGCCCCTCTCGCCGTCGGACCCCATCTGGAGCTCGCGGCTGTACAAGAATCACAATCCCAACAGGAACCCCGCCACGCAGGATGTCTGCATCAAGCGCATCCCCGTGAGCAAGATTCGCCCCGAGCTGCTCCAGAGTAACGGTGCTCTGGCCCTTGAGTTTTGCCGTGGTGTCTGGAGCGGATATGGTATGTCTTGTCTGTTCTTTGGTTTCACTGACGCCTGTGTTGTTCTTATTCCGTGATTTTTATGGGACGGCTTATGTTATTACCTTCGTTGATATTATCACCATGTTCGCTCTTCTCATCTCACCTCTGCCCCCTCATATAAACCTGCTTCGGCCAGCATACTGATAACAACTTCACCCAAAGGCCTTGCTGTCCAGCGCAAATATCTCGCATGGAAGTGGCGCGGCCCGGAGACGGAGAACCAGCTCTGGGAGCAGGAGGACTTTGCCACCAGCAACTATGACAAGGGAACTCAGCTCATGAACCACTTTGAGGTCGTTGAGAAGACCCCGACTTCGATCACTGTGCGCTGCGGCGACTCTCCCCATAACCGCGCCCTCCGTCCCTCAGACGGCCTCTTCACCATTAGCGCTACCGTCGACAAGGTGCGCGGCGAGGTCGAGCTTAGTCTCAGAAGCTGCCTCTTCTCCAGTGAGGGCAAGGTTGAAGGGATCAGGGGCCCTATGCCCCCTCACATTGAGGAGCTTCACCAATGGTATGCTCGGCTTTGGTCCGAGACGGGATCCTGGAAGCTGCTGAAGTAAGATGGGAGAAAGTTGGGGATTAGGCAATGGTCTGCTTCTTTTTATGTTCATAAACGTATCAGCAATGTCACTGAAAAGCACTGTATTTTTCTCTTCCCTTCCTACTAGAATCCCTCCATTCGTCAATGAGCTAGGCGTGATATGCTAACAAACGGAAGAGCCCGGAACCCCCCCGTTATCTTAGATGGGGCTTGTCTTCGCCGGCTTTTGGCCGCGCAATCTAGTCGTCAATCAAAACATAGATTGATAATTAATATTGATTTACAGAAAAAGTCCCGACAGGAGAGTATCAAGGAGATAGATCCCGAATTCCGCCTGGAATTGCGTCAGAAATCCTATATATATTCCGGCCTTTTCCTTTTACTGAACAGGGGTCCACCGTTTCTGGTCCACGCGACACGATAATTATCGTCAGATATTGATCCTGGTCGGTAAACGGTTGCTCCGACGGGATACAGCAAGCTTGGACATCCATTCCCAAACGCCCATTCCTGATTCTCTCACCTCACTCGGTGCTTCTGCAGCGTCGTAACATGGTGAGCCCGCGGCTCTGAATCTCGGTATGACGACCCGCCTGAGACTCGTTTCGGGCGTCGTTTTGGCGATTGCCATCCTTTGGGTCGGTCCGCGTAGAGGCTCAGATCCGATAGCATCGGAAAGCGCCGTACCAACGGGGAGCGATCCCGCCCTGAGAGAAGATGTCGCCTTGTTAGACCGAGCCATTTCCCGCCCTGTTCAAGTCCCAGAGGCGAAAGAAGTCGTGCTACTCGTTCATGGCACCGGCATGACGTGAGTTGTCATCCTTGATACGATGGAGAATTCAATTATGCTCATCATAGCATCCACAGCCCAGAGATCAATTGGGACCATACTCTACTGCCACCTCTCGTGCAAGAAGGATTTCAGCCTTATTATCTCGCAGTTCCAAAAAGACTCTTTCTCGACATCCAGCATAACGCAGAGTATGTCAGCTACGCCATCAACAAGATCGCAAGTGAGCATGACGCTCGCATCTCCATCATCTCCTGGTCCGCTGGCTCGTTGACCACCCAGTGGACTTTGACCTTCTTCCCTGAGACTCGTGCCAATGTCAAGCGCCATATCTCGCTGGGCGGATCGCTTCGTGGTTCCTGGATGATGGCCCCCCTCTACTACTTGAGAATGTACTCCGCCGCCGTGGTCCAGCAGCTTCCTTGGTCCAACTTCCTCGCAACGCTCGCCAAGTTCGGCGGCACGAGAGCCCACGTCCCTACTACCAGCATCGGAAGCAGCACAGATCCATTCGTGCAGCCTGGATTTTACGGCGAGGGCTGGCTCGGCCGCAACGACGCCTGGAGGCTGGATGGGCCGCTTGCCCAAAACATTGACTTGTTCAAAGTGTGTGCTTCCAAGAGACTCTCAGAGTGGAAGCTGCCGCGCCCGATTCTCCATGATACACTGCTGTGGGACCCGGCGAGCCACAAGATCATCTTTGATGCTCTCAGGAACGAGAAGACGTTCGTCGGCTCGGCTGATGTGTTGGAGAGCTTGGACTGCGACGGTGGTATTGCTCCGCATCTGGGGTTGGAATCGAAAGAGGCTCATGGGGACATCTTGCCTGAGCTTTTTAAATATGCGCCCACCCAGCCGCCTACTGGCTGGCCAGAGGTTCCGCTTCGTGAGTATGCGCAGTAGTGGGAACGAGGGACCTATGTAACATTAGCTTATTATATCATCGTTTCCAAAATAGTCCCAATTCTTGATTACGTCCCCTTTTAAAGCACAATGAGGTGCATCTTGGATGGCATTAGGAGCGAATGATCCTAGATATCCCGTAGATGAGTACGTATATATATGAGTTAAAAGGCCATATAGAAAGGATAAGCCAAGAAAACATCCTTTGGGAACTGGGGTTCTGGTAGGCTCTTTAAGTTGCAAACTGCATATCTTGGTCATGCTATTGTGTTTTATTTCCTTCATCCCGAACAAGCTCTGATGCTAGTTATAGAGACAATGTTTCTCCTAGAAAAATGAAACAGCATTCGAATTGTTCCGAATTCTTAATTGAATTACTGAACAGTCGATAGGATATAAGAGCCCCCTGATGTAGAAGTAACAAGTATCCTTTTTAGCATATACACCCAAATCTGCGGTGCATCTGAATTTTTCTGCGGTGAATAAATTACAACAACAGCATGGTGTTATCTTCAAATTCTCTTCATTAATCGTGAGCTAGTTGAAATCCGAAAAGCAAAGACATGGCCTTTTGTGCTCCAAGTACTACGAATGCTCCCTCCACGTGGTATAATAACATTCCCCTCGCAGAAAACACTAAATCATCCTCCATATCCGCCCTCACTCCCCTTGGAACAAACGAGCCACATCGGTCTGTCGTAACCTCTGTGGTGAAATGAGAAGCTCTGGCGGGAACCAATCCTGAAGCATGCCACCAGGGCGTCCCGGCGCCTGGGGAATATCTTCATTCTCACTTCCAGCCACCATGATACCAAGAGCAACGCCGCAGAGCCAGGCGAACACCATTCCCTCGCCCGAGTATCCGGCCGCAATCCACTCACCCGGGCTCGTCCTGTCCGGCTCTGACGTCTTGTGCTGCTGGTCGATTATCCTGGTGGTCAGCCCCTCATCAAGACGCCCGACCAATGGCAGCTGGTCCCCCGTCATGCCCAAGATCCCCGTCCAGACCTTCTTCAGCTCTCCCCCCGAGCCCCAATTAGGGTGGAAAATGGAGGGGAAGATGCCCGATATGTGCGACGCCGCCAGGGCCTTGGGGTACGCACTGTCATCGTATACGCCCATCTGGTCGACACCACTCTTGGCCGACCTTCGGAACCCCCCGCCCAGTAGGATATCCCCAGGCACGTCACCGTCAATCTCGGACGGCCGCTGGGTCACATAGTCGAAGCCACCCGGGTAGATGACGCTCCAGGAGCGCTGGCCCCAGGTCTCGGGGAAGACGTCCCCCGGCCGCTGGGAGGACATGTGAGCCCTGGCGCCGGTGATCTTGCGGCGCAGGCCCGGGACGAGCTCGCTGGCGAAGGCGTTGGTGGCGTGGATGACGTGGCGGGCCAGGATGACCCCGCTGGGGGTCTGGACAGCGAAGGGGAAGCCGGGGGCCGAGGGCCCTGCGGAGATGTAGGTGACGGGCGTGTTGGTCTGGATGATGAGCTGGGAGGGGAACTCGTCGAGGAGCTGCTTCCAGATGGAGACGACGAAGCGGTAGGCCCAGATGGTGCCTGCTCGCTGGGAGATGGCTCCCACGACGCCCTCGTTGACGCCGAATTGCTGGGCGAGTGTTAGTTACTTAATGGAGAGTATATAGTGAATAGAATGACACGTACCTGGAGAACGTCTTCCTTCTCCCACTCAAATACCTGCACCTCGGGCAGCCATTTCCTCGACTCCTCCACATCTCCCACTGCGTCGTGGAACATCTCCTCGTCGACGAAAAAGTCGACCGTCTCCACCTCCCTGGCTTCAGCGATATCGATCCTCTCTTCACGACACAGCTCGATCAGATAATCTATATGGCTGGCTTGGAATCTAGTAAGGGCAGCTGCCCTGTCTTTCGGCATGAACGTAGATAATTGTGCAAAGGTATCGTACGGAGACGGCTTGATATGCCCGCCATTCCGACCCGTAGCACCGCTACACAGATCCCTCGCCTCAAAGACGACGACCTTCTTGTCCAGATCAATCCCCCGCCGGCGCCGCTCGTGCAGCAGCGACCGCGCGATGGACGCACCGGCAATGCCAGAGCCGATGATGGCGACGTCGACGAAATCCGGTAGACGCTGCCTGCTCTGGATGTTGGTCAGTTCTGGGTACGGCGGATCGTCGAGCCAGTAGGGCTCGGTTGGGTTGCTGCGCGGGATGCCAGGGGAGTCTGACGCGCGGTTGAGGGCATATTCGAAGTCGGTCGAGATCTCCTTGAGGATCTTGATCATGGACCGGACTTTGGCAGCTTTGTTGCGCAGCTTGGACGAGACGTGGCCCATGGTGACGGATCAGCAGAGGCGCCGCGCTGCTGCTGTCGCGATCAAATTGCGGTGTAAAAGGTGAACCGTACGATGGGATGCTGCAACTCGCCGGTATCGAGGAAATACAACGCATTGATTATGCATGGACGGCTATCCGTATGTGACTTAGGTGTCAGAGGGTTGCCCAAAGCCCATTCATGTGATGCCCGGGCAGACGATCAGTCATTTCCAGTTCGCACAGCTTTTGCTCATTTGTTTTTTTTTTCTCCCCGTCTCGTGATTTACCATGAGAATATCCCGGGCGGTTTTCTGGCGTTGGACCCTGTGAAAATTAAGGGCATGCAGAAAACAATTTAATATTCCAGGGCTGCAGGCAATATTACAGGGGTGGACAGCATGATGTGAACTCGCTTCTCGTTCGCAACAATTTATGCAGCATATTGTTTCCTTTCTCTAGTATCGAGTCTCTAGTATCAGACACAGCACACAGACAGTGATTCAAAACATGTAATATTCGAGAAGAGGGAGGGAGGGAGGTATTGCTCCTCGAGCGTTGCCTCTCCCAGAGGCCTGTAACTACACCCATGCACCCGCTTGCTGATCCTCTGTCAAGCCTGTTTTCATACAATAAAAATACAATTCCTTCTAGTTCACCACCCTCAAATATCATAATCAGCCTCAATACCAGAGCCCGCCGCCGTAAAAGAGACCGTCGCCTTGACAAACACCTTCCACTGCTCAAACTCCTCCTCATCCCTCGGCGCGTAGATCAAGACGTACGTCAAGGGCAGGATGCCCAGCCGCCCGCTGAGCGCATGCCGCTGGGCCCAGCCCTTGCGCGTGGCCAGGTCCGCGTCGGCGACGCTCAGCACCATGTGGGAGCTCCCCTCGTTGTGGACGTGCACAATCTCCCCGCGCGTCTTCTTGGCCAGCCACGGCGGGAGGGCCACGGACCCGACCTTGAGCCACAGCGAGGGGCTGTCGCGGTGCTCGAGGTTCGAGTTGCGGTAGGCGAGGAGGTCCCGGTTCTTGTCCTGCAGGGCGAGCAGCCAGGCGTTCATCCGCGTGATGAGGGCGACGTCTGCCACCTCGGACGTCTGGCGCTGGGGGACCGTGTACGAGGGCACCGTGGGCCGGTCACCGCGGCGTGCTGGGAGGGCGTCCTCAGCAAAGAAGCGGAAGCTGTCGTAGGGGGCCGTGTAGTCCGTGAGGGCCTTGGGGTCTCTGAACGGCGCGGGGTTGGTGCTGTTCAGGTCTGCCCAGGGCCTTGCGCTTGCTTGGAACAGGTAGCCGAGGAAGCTCTGGGGGACGCCGCTGGGCCCGAGGCGATGGAAGTCGCAGTATGATCGGTATATATATACCGCCAGAGGAGACAGGCCAACGGCTGCGGCGACCCAAGGCCGTCCGCGGATTTGATCAAGGGCTTTATTGAAGGTGAGGGTCATGTTCAGCTTATTGGAGAAGGTCGCTGGGAGTCAATTCAGTGGACTGAATACCAATGAATCAGTAGCAGCGAATGCCGTCTTGGGATGCCGCAGTATATTTGTACAAATGGGCTAGATAGAGCTTAGATCTACTTCAGAGACTCGATACTGGATGAGCCGGATCTTCTCGGACGGTCGCGTGATTTGGCACGATGTTGCTGCCGCATGAACTATTGATCACTACCAAAGTGCAGTACAATCTTACTGAGGAGCAAGCGCTAATCCCGGTTTTGGAGGTTTTCATGCCAACGAATGCCGAAATCCGACTCTTAAAGTTGGATTATGCAGGATATTGCCCAAACTGGATAACGCCGAGCATTCTTCGGAATGAACACGGCATTTTCCATATCGCACATTTCGTTGTGTGAAATCACCGTATAGTAATGTGTTCTGCTGGTATCAGAGGTGTACCTAAATCCCGCTATTGTGTGATAGTCAGCTTCTATTCAGCAATCCATCTTTTCCTTGCCAGCAACCTGTTATCTCCGAGATGAAATTACCACCATATCGTCTTGTACCGAGAAACATACTGCAGCTTTGTAGAGGCGAATCCATGCAAGATTTTCTACGAAAAATTAGTTTGTTACCTTCCCAGCATCACGGCAAGTGATATTTGCGTTGGAAATTATTGGCAAATTTGGCAACATCGGTTATGAGGCTGAATGAATCATCAAGCGAATGAGAAGCTACCGGGGGATATGAATCCCAAATGAAGAAGCCCATTAGAAATATAAAGCTCGCTAGTCTGTTCCGCTCACAAAACACCTAGATGAGGGAGTCTTCTGGTATTAGATTGACCTATCTTCGTAGTCCATCAAAGCTGAAGTTTCCATGTTTCCAGCTCTGTCTCAAACCCCCATTCACTGTTTGACCCAGTCTCTACAATCTCAAACCCCGCCCTCTTATAGATATTTCGAGCAGCAACAAGTGACTTTTCCGTCCCCAGATATACGGACTCGTAGCCTGCTTCTTTCGCAAAGTCGACGCACTGACGGACAAGTTCTGAGCCCACACCCTGGCCTCGCGCTTTATCGCTCACTAGCAGGAACCGCAATTTGGCCGCCTCCTCACGTTCCTGGTGTTGGATGAGCATCACGCATCCCATGAACAAATCTCCCTTTTCTGCAATCCAGCAGCGTTCCTTGGCGGGGTCAAAGTTTTCGAGGAAGTCTGCGGCGATCCTGGCGAGCAGGGCCTCAAACTTGTGGTTGTAACCGAGTCCTTGGCAAAAGACTAGGCTTTCCTGGTAGACAATGTAGCCCAAATCTCCTGGGCGGTGGGTGCGATAGGTTACTTGCTGCGAAGAATCCATTGTTTTGAAACAGTAAACTTGTGTTGTCTAACGGGAAATGAATGAGATTATAGAATAGGTGGGTTAGGACACTTGTGCGGATGTAGTTGTCTTCACAAAATCAATGAGTCAATCTGTCAAAGCTAGATGCCGGTTAATATAGATATGTATGCTGTCGTGTTGCATCCCCCAACCTATCTGGAGTCAGCTTTGATGGCCGATAACGCCGGGGTAATGTAGCAATATGCAGGCCACGTTCTTCCAGATTCGACGGCCAGCACTAGCGCATGTCACAGGGCGCACTGGTGCCAAAAACTGCCGAATGTGCGCCCTACAGTCTTGGCAGTCCTCGGCGTTGACATATTTGTGGACAAATTAAGAGACTCCCGCCCAGCCTCTGTACAAGATTGACTTGCTGTGCCTGGATTTAGCATAACACATCAGCGATAGTGATAGCAGCCACAGTGACATAGTAAATGGAACTAATTTTGCATCTCATCAAAAAAGTTTTGGTCTAAGTTGCTCCAAGATCGATCTCTGCCCGGATGTAGGCCTTGGTGTGCCACATTTATGTCATGCATGTGGCCGTGTATTCATAGGGAATAACAACTCGAACCAAGATCAAGACCGAATATAAGGAGGCTAGACAGTACTAGAAATTTTCAATCTTTGGGACACATGCAATCTGATAAGTGAATAGTAATTGTTTCCCATACAAGTAGTTATCTAGCCAGAGCGATAAGAACCGATACTCGACCTGCCATTTATTCGTTTGACTTCAGTTCCCTTCTTGTCTATCCCCTATATTGTCAATCATGCGGGCTCTACATTTATGTATAATTCAGTTTGCTGCCCTAGGGCTACTGACCAAGCTCATCACAGAAAGATTTATCGTATTTTGCTTGCTCAGGCTTTCGGTGATGAACACGGCCAAATCGCTCTATTTCGAGGCTTACAAATGGTTAAGAAAGGCAAGAGGGATGGACGCGCTATTAAGCCAATTAATACCTATGTTGGTAGTGGTAAATGGAAGGAGGAACGAGCGGAATCGGGAGGGCCAAAATCCTCATTAGAAGCTGTTTGAGCTGGCTCGAGATAGAACAATGACATCAGAAGCTAGAAGAAAGTCGCCGTTTCTGGAGTAGAAAAACTTGAGAAGAAAAAAAATCAATATAGTATCATTAATAAATACACAACTCCCGAGCGTTACCCTCGTCGACCTCACCATAGCGCCACAAAGCTTTGCTTGGATTGCTTCCAAAACCACTCTTCTCAATGGGGTTTCGTATGTTCTTTTTGCAATTGGCTGATTTCCCAAAACCACTTTTAAACATATGGTCAAAAGAAACGTCAAACCGACCTGGTGCCCCTGGCTGGCATTGTGGATGGAAATTGCAAGACCGCACTATGCGATCCCAGCGTTGGACGCATAAAATCGCAGGATCAGACGACGAATACGAGCATTCATTGGAAAGCAACCATCTCTGAACAAGTTCCAACTCTCACTATCTATTTCTTCAGTACCGAGGTGCTATAATATTAGTAGGATTGTACATCGTAGCCGGATATCAGATTCAACCTCCGGGCACTGATTTTGCGACGAGATCGTAATTAGACCCAGATATCTATATATGGAGACTCCCCAAAAACGATAGACTCGTATTCCCCATCTCGAGCTACGAAGAACAAAGCAAGGGCTGGTTATTTTTTGCAGCCCGGCACATGTAGCCGTACGTGGTGGATGCTCTTCTAATTAGCGGCATCCATCCTGCTGTTTAAGGATCCGAGAAGACTCCACCGTTCCAAAAATAAAGCCGGAACTACTCACATAGGCAAGTCGACTCAGCTGCGTTTCAGGAATCGGTACCGAACCACTCGCGTTGAAGATCTGTCTGCCGATCAAGAGGCGTATGGAGGCAGCCAAACGGATTAATACGACCAAGTCCCCAAGATCATGGACAGTCTTTCTTCTGCACCCAACCAGACAAGTCAACTCTCATACTCCTCTACGCCTAATCACCACCCACAATGAAGACCGGAATCGCCTACCTTGCTGCCGTCTTGCCTCTGGCAATGGCCGAGTCTCTGTGCGACCAGTATGCCTACCTGAGCCGCGACGGGTACAACTTCAACAACAACGAGTGGGGAGCTGCTACCGGCACTGGCGACCAGTGCACCTACGTCGACAGCACTTCCAGCGGCGGTGTCTCCTGGCACGCTGACTGGACCTGGTCTGGTTCCGAGTCCGAGATCAAGAGCTACCCCTACTCTGGGCTCGACCTCCCAGAGAAGAAGATCGTCACCAGCATCGGCAGCATCTCCACTGGGGCAGAATGGAGCTATTCGGGCTCCAACATCCGAGCCGACGTTGCCTACGACATCTTCACGGCGGCTGACCCCAACCACGCTACAAGCAGTGGTGATTACGAGGTTATGATCTGGTATGTCTTCGCTCCGTCTTCTATGCAGCGATCAAGGCTAATACTCTGAACAGGCTTGCCAACCTCGGTGGTCTCACACCCATTGGTAGCCCCATCGGCACTGTCAAGGCTGCCGGCCGCGACTGGGAGCTCTGGGACGGCTACAACGGAGCCATGAGGGTGTACAGTTTCGTTGCCCCCAGCCAGCTGAACTCTTTCGATGGCGAAATCATGGACTTCTTCTATGTTGTCAAGGATATGCGCGGCTTCCCTGCCGATAGCCAACATCTTCTGAGTACGTCTAATAATTTCAACCAACCCTCAAAATCCGAGTTGATTACTAACAATTCTGTTCCTGAAGCTGTTCAATTCGGTACCGAGCCCATTTCTGGTAGCGGCGCCAAGTTCTCTGTGAGCCACTGGTCGGCCAAGCTTGGTTGAATCCCGGAAACGTCCGAAGCGCATCGAGGTTTTGTGAATAAGTCGACTATTGGTGGCACTTGTACATTATATCTATGGCTAAATATGGTTGGTTTAATATAGAAGAAGTGTATAGAGAGATGAAGTGTGATACAACTACGAAGTAGAGAATATAAGAGGACCAAAATAGGTGTCCAGGTATTACCTTAATGAAAGACTTCAGGGCAAAATTGCGCTGAAGGAAAAGGAGCTACAGGGCCTTACGTAATATTTCCAAGGCGAGAAAACCTCCCTTTCATTCCATGACGTGAGTCTCTTCTCCAATGCACTAAAAGACGTAATGATATACCCACCGGCACAGCGAAGGAACCGATCCTTGCATCTGTACGGAATCCAGAATGTCGACGAGAATAGCGCCGGCATACGACGCACCTGTTCCGATCGCCCCCGCCCCTGCAGGACACTCTGCCGATGGAGATGCCTCCAAGAGTACGATGCCCTATTCTTGCCAGACATGTGCAAGACGCAAGGTCAAATGCGATAAGGTAGCACCCGCTTGCTCCAGCTGCCGCAAGAGTAGACTGGACTGTTCCTACCAGGCACCAGTCCCCCGTGCGCAGAAGCGAAGAGTGACGCGCGATGTGTTGCAGCGACTCGCCCGCTATGAACTTATCTTGCGCCAGCATGGCTTGCTGCCACATGAGGCACAGGAGACAGCCATCCCATCTAGTAATGAGACCAGCAGAATAGAAGACCAAGTCGCCTCCTTCCGTTGGGACGATAATGGAGCTCCCAGAACTGGAAAATTAGTCGCTAGTAAATACATTGATAGCAATCTCTGGCACGACTTGGGGGATGAGGAGATTGCCTATGCTTCCACCAATAGGGAAGAATCAGGGGATAATGAGGAATATGACTTACAGGACGCCGAGGAAGATGAAAGTATGAACCTTCCTTTGAGCATTGGGGATAACATATCCGATCCCCTCTGTGGAGCGTTTCTAGGTTCCCAGCAAAGCCTTCTCCAACATCACCCAACCCACGAAAATGCGATGATCATGTGGAAGGCCCATGCCGAGAACGTGGAGCCTATTTGCAAGATTCTTCATATCCCTTCTACCTTTGAGATGCTGGAGAGAGTTTCACAAAATCCCTCAACAGCGTCAAAGAATGAGGAGTGCCTCCTATTTGCCATCTATCATTTTGCCGTCTTTTCTATGAATGATAGCCAGTGTTTTGAAAGGCTGGGTCAGCCACGGTCCACACTGATGAAAGAGTACCACTTTGCTACAAGACAAGCACTGGTCAATGCATCTTTCCTAAGAACTACCGAGATGTCTGTACTACAGGCATTGGTTCTCTTTTTGCTTTCATGCCGCTATTTCTATGATCCGTCCACATATTGGATCTTGACTGGCGTGGCAATCCGTATCGGGCAACGTATTGGGCTTCACCGAGATGGGGAGAAACTCGGGTTACCGCCATTTGAAGTCCAGATGAGACGCCGCTTGTTCTTTCAACTGCTGCCCCTCGAAGGGATTGCAAGCCAGCTCTCTGGAACTGGAATCACTGCCGTGCCTGATCATTGGGATACCCTCCCTCCTCTCAATATCAACGACGACCAGATCTGGCCGGGCATGACAGAAAAGCCACAAGAGCAGAAGGGTGCAACAGATATGATATTTTGCATGGCTCGATCAACTGTGGGCAGCTTTCTGGCCAAAACTTCAGGATGGCTTCAGCCCGCAGGATCACACCAAGCCCAGAGTTTCGACGAGGCAGAGCGGATTATAAACGAGGCAGAGAGCGCGGTTGAGGAGAAATACATTCGATACTGCGATATTCTCAACCCGCTACACTTTCTAACAGTCGGGTCGATTAGATCAGCTATTACAGCGATGCGGCTTCGGATCCGCCTCCCCAAAGCGAGGAACAATACCGCTACTGAGCCTGAACGGAAGGAGATGTTCAAGTTATCACAGAAGATCCTGGATACAGATGCAGCCGCATATGCACATGCCAGCCTGGGTAGATACCTCTGGCACGTGAAGCCCTTCTTCCTCTGGGGCTCATGGGACTCCCTCATTTATACCCTGACAAGCCTCCGTGAAGCGGCTGAATGGTTGGCGCCTGCGGACATTGACGATGCTTGGACTCGGGTGTCGCAAGTCTACGCCAATCATCCGGATCTTCTCAAGCCTAAACAATCTTTGCACGTCGCCTTTGGGAGGTTAACACTCAAGGCTTGGGATGCAAGCCAGTCAAGCAACTCCAATAACTCTGAGAATAAGGAACCAGATTTCATAAACTCGTTGCGATCGTCACGCAAAACTGAGGCTCAAAATCGCGAAAGCTCGAAGATGCCTAGTTTTGGAGAGGTTTCGGGAAACTTGGCGCCTACTTGTAAATCTCAGCCATCTCAAGGAGGTTTTGAAAATACACCCTCCAACAACTCTTTGGATGCTGTGGCCCTTGACGCGGGCAATGGCATGGACGTTAACCTGTCCGACTGGGTGTTTTGGGATCAGTTACTGCATGATTACCAGGCTCAAGGAAATCAACAGGAGTAAGTCTCTCTAGGAGTCGCCCTCTTTTTAGACACCCATGGCGAGCTTTTTATATCTTATTTCATAAACATGAAGGGTGTGGTGGGTGATGGAAAATCTGGTCTCTGATTGGTCCAGAGCTCGGGTCTCCAGACGACCGAGCGATCGGGAGTGAGACGACCGAGATGATCTCAGATGCTCCCGAAGAACCAATCAAGAATCAGCCATCTCAATCTTGGGCATTCACGATGCAATCTATATAATCATCACTCTCCCACATAGTATTCCATGACCTCAACTTATACACACCATTCACAACAAGGCAAGATCACATACAATGTCTCAACACAAGGTGCTCATCGTCGGGGCCTCCATCGCCGGCCCCATGACAGCTTACTGGTTCGCCAAGGCCGGAGCAAGCGTCACTATCATAGAACGCTTCCCGCAACTACGGCTGAACGGGCAGAATGTCGATATACGCACCGTGGGCGTCACCGTCATGCGGAAGATACCCGGGATGGAGGAGGCCGTGCGAGCCAAAACCCTGCCGTATGAAGGGTTCAGCTTCGTCCACAGCGACGGACGTCCCTTCGGCACCATCAAACCCACGGGCAACGCGGATAAGCAGTCTCTCGTCTCCGAGTATGAGATCTTCCGTGGTGATCTATCTCGGGTTCTCTATGACATGACAAAGGACAACAAGAATATCCGCTATGTCTTTAACGAGCAGGTGGCTTCAATAAAGCGTACGGAGGGCGAGGATGAGGCTGTCACCGTCGAGTTTGCCAATGGTCTACCGAGTGCAGAATATGACCTCGTCGTCGCCTGCGATGGTGCAACATCAAGGACAAGGGCCATTGGGCTCGGGTGTGGCGTCCGAGACCACATCAAGCCGATAAACTGCTGGGCGGCTGGCTTTACTATCGAGAAGGCCATCCTCCCTGATCTGAAGATGGGGCAGGCATACAGTGCCCCAGGAGGTCGTTTTATTGCCATCGGCTCCGATTCGCCCAGTTCAAGCAAGATTTCCCTCCTCGGAATCAACAGGTCTGACGATGCAGATGCCATGCCGCCTTTCCGCAGAGCTCAGAACCAAGGGGACGCAGCACTCAAGGAGTTCATCTCTCAGCACTACAAGGGAGCTGGTTGGAAAACAGAAGAGATCCTCAAGGAAATGATGATGTCAAAGGATTTCTACGCAAACGAGATTATGCAGGTCAAACCTCCAACCCTGCACAAAGGTCGTTTTGTGCTGGTCGGTGACTCGGGGTATGCTCCAGGCCCAACTGGCGCGGGGACATCTCTGGCCATGGTCGGTGGCTATGTGTTGGCGGGCGAGTACCTCAGAAACGGGAGAGACATATCCGCCGCGTTGAAGGCCTATGAGGCGCAGATGCGGCCCATCATTGATGATCTGCAAAAGATACCTCCCTTGATCCCTGGTGTGCTCGCGCCACAGACAGAATGGGGAATCTGGCTGCGGAACCAGATATTCGCCTTTATTTCCTGGAGCAGAATGATGGAGATTGTTCCCAGATTCTTCATCAGTTCTTTTAACAGCGGGGACAAATATGCTCTGAGAGATTACGAGTGGCCTGGAAAAGAAGCATAAGTTCCTCTTCTCCGGGGCTTTCTTTGTTCACAAAATAATGACTCTCTCCTCCTGTATCCTCTCAACGACGCAGTTTCTTTCCCACATGTCCCACGAAGCGAGGCTTGAGATACCGCTATGGAGATCTGCTGCGAAGAACAGCTCGCTAGAATGCTCAAAGGTTATAATACATATTATTTGTCATTAGCTCTATCATTAAGATGAATATTCTATACTATGCCGCCGCCTCAGAAGAGACAGTGACCTCCCTCGTTTGCATGATTTGGTTGGGTTTGATCGGCCGGAGCTCGACCTCATCGCTCTCATTGTCGTCAACGGCATTGTTCCCTGTCACACTGTGCGTACGCCAATATATCCCCGAGCCTTGTGTATGCGTGGGTTTAGACTTCCCAGTTCTGGTCCGAACAGTCGTAGAGGCGCCGTACGTCCCATAGTATCTCTGGTCGCTGTCGCTGGTTGTGCCGCTCACAAGTTGAGCTATCTTTCGCAGCAACGGCCGCAGCGCAGTCAGTGCGACGACGGTGAGCGCTACAGATATCTCTGAAGCCGTCCACAGATCTGTCAAGGTTAAAGCGTGTTAGATTGGCTTCAGATATCACGGGGATATGATTAGATTGAGTGACGGGAATCTTACAGCTGGCAACATTATTTCCTCCCGATACCATTGTAATGAACCGTCCAATGCTCACAGCAATGGTTACCACTCCGAGTCCTAAAATGACACAGAGTCCAATCTTTTCCCGAAGCTTCGGGAGCTTTAGATCTCGCACAAGAGGGAAAGGGAACACGAGATCTGATGCGATGTTAGAATTTATACGATTGATAATAGTAGGAATCAGAGGGGCGTCCATACTGAGAATCTCAGTGCTAAAATTAAGTGCCCAGTGAATGCGCATCATCGTCATTGAATCAAATGCGCGGCAGGCGTCTTCGTCAGTAGACCTAGTCGTTGTTTGTCAGTGACCAGCCTCACCCTCTCAGATATAACGTAGTCGGTAAATCGAACTCACCAATTACTTGTCACATCCGCGCCGCACCAGAAAGTGGCATCAAAGAAGGTCGCGATACAGAAGACGGCTGTGATGGCCGTGAGAACATACAATGCGACGCGCATGTGTGGCTGGGTTAGGGGAACAAGTGTCCAGTAGAACGCGATGATACTGAACTTTGGAAAGTACATCCCCGTATCGAAGAAGTAGTTGGTTGCAAAGCGAAACTGCCATTGAAGAGTTGGTCAGGTGGTTCAGTGAAGGGAGAGTGAGACATCGGCACACAAACCTTGAGCGTGCGAACGCTAGGATTCTCATAATTGTCCAACTCGCCGTCCAAATCAGCCATCGTATCGCAGAGGGCCAACCCTACGGCGCAGAAGAGTCCGACCAAAAGCCAAGAGTCTGCCCAGTGTAGGTGATCTTTGTTCAGCTGGAGTCGAACAAACATGCGGGCTGCCACGCAGATGGTGGCCAACGAGGCCATCACCCATTCTCCCACCTGGATCCATCGTTCATAATTAGCCAATTATGGTAAAGGATACCTCGGAATGCGCTCGGAATGAATGGAATGGCTTACAACAACTGGTGTCAGGGCCATTGCGTTGGCAGCATCGGAGTGGCAGGTTGACTTGAGGTCGGCGACAGATCAACAAATCGCAGGAGAAAAAGGAAGAAGAAAAGGGAAAAAGAAAAGAAATCGAAAGAGCCCACATTGGACCCTATTGTGTAAAAGTAGTCCACCTTGGACCTCATTGTGTGTCTGGATGGAATGGATCAAGCTGAATTGATAGCGGCAGGCCAATTAGCACACGCCCACGAGCTATTTTCTGTCTCACCCAGCTTGCAGAGCTAAGACCAATCTGACACATCTAGAAACAGATATGCTAGCAAGCTTCCTTAACCGTCAAGCAGAGAGTCTAGTGAAAAACGCCATCCGAAGCCAACGCTAGCCGGCCGGCTGGAGATTGTCTGGGCTGAAACCCTGAAGCTTGCAGGTGTAAGTGGCGTGCAGCCATGCCGAGCTAGCTTGGCTCCTTGCAGATCGATCCAATCTTGAAGAACTCAAAGATCCAGCGATGATCTGCCCGTTGGCTTCGCTGCTGGATGTCGACGTTGGAACAGAGCTGGCTTGGCAGAGAGGAACTTCTCCATTTGCCCCTGAATCCCCTCTCCGTTGAACTACTGGGGGAGGGGCTGTGGGAATACTCGAGGACTCTAAATCATTTCTATTATTCACAATAACTGAATCTTCTCCAATTTTCTACCGCGGAGGGCGAAGCATGCCCCCCCCTCACACCTCGCTTCAAAACGGCTCAGACAGGGGGCTCCTGCGGCCAAATTTCCAGGACATGCAGAGGGCTGAATCGTGACCTTCACGCGAGTCATTCTGCAGACACGAAAACCGTCAAAACGGTCCTCTGCCATCCCCTCGGGGTCCTGAACTGCTTCTTGGAGAGCTAGGGTATTACTGTTAGTGCCGAATAATGGTGGCCTCGCTTAGCTACTGTTGGGATGGAGCATCATCAGCCGCCGGTAAGTCGACAGGGGAAGATCAATTAGCTCTTACGCCTTCATTCCATTATTCCATGGCCATGGCGACAGCCTTTCCGCCAAGCCACTGATTCTCAAGAAAGGGTGTGACCTGCGCCACCTACGATGTTGTCGCCCGAGTGACTTTCACCGGCTGCCACTCGATAGAGAAGTGGCCGTGGCTAACCCAGATGTAGAGAGGTTTGCCATGGTGCCAATTTCAAACTGAGCTGTGAAGGTAGTAGCTTCTTCTAGTGCATGGGATTCTAACGAGCTTCATACAAACCAGGGTACCGTGATACCACAATCCACGAACCGCCACCACTCCAGTTGCCGAGTCTGATCCATGTCTACTCTTAGATCGCACTGCTTCCAATACATCTCAATTGCCTTCCTCATATCAGAGATATTCCCGATACTTCGCGCGCGGTCCATCTCATCTAATATCTCGAGGATAATCAACCTTTGCTCGTCTTTCCGAGACTCGCAAGCCACGACGAAGAGCGGCCACGGGCTGGATACTCTTTGCAGTTTTGCGTAAGCATCGAATGCTTGATCAAGATAGCCAACGCGTCTAGCATGATCCCCTTCCATAGGGCACACACGCTGCAGATACAGAATTGTGGCAAGACGATATAGCTCCGCTGTGATTAAGGTCCGGCAGCGTTCTGCTGGAGTCGTGCAAAGATTTTCATCAGGGTGTAGACGCTGGATTAAAGCCTGTAACCTCCCGTCCAGCCAGATCCGACTTTCGATACTAGGCTGCGAGCTTCGGTTATCGGCACAACGAGAGGTCCGGGACCGAAGACCATTAATCTCGTGAATGATTTCCAGAATCTCCACAGAACATCCTAGATGTCCAATAATCTACTCTCAATGTTAGCTTAATATTTCTGTGTAGACCAGACAGACACTTACATAGTTGCCCTCCAACTTGGACCCCTGAATACAGACTGCCCCCACATCATAGGAGGATATATGGGAAGGGTGGGCAAAATTGCCGAGAACTTCGTAGTACAGCAGCCAGGTGAGAAGGAACGTAGAAGGGTTGCGGTGTTGGCATGCAGCTGACATTTGAATCAGGCCGCTAGAGCCATGCAAATGTATATGCCAACTGCCATCATTTTTGTCGAATACCTGAAATCAAGTCAGCAATAGTGAAGATCAAGTGGCTAGGATAGATACACGTACGCTGTACATGGCAAGCATCAAGCAAGCGGCTAGCTGCACGTCACTAAGGTGGCTGTAGGTAAGGCTGTCCTGGCCCGAGAAGGACTCGGAAAGTCGACTTACTGCGTCTGACTTGTATTGAGCTGCTGATTCCGGGCCGAGATGATGATAGGCCGATATTGCAAGCATCGCATTGGACAATGCTGAAGTCGAAGCATCCCGGCAGGACAATGCCATGGGTAATATCTCATGAGAAAACCCGTTGCGTGCACTTGTTGTAGAGACCATGGTGGATATTACAGACTCATCTGATAAGAGTTACCATACACGTTCGCCGCTCCGAGTAAGAAGTTTGCTCCAACATACAATAGTCCAAGAGTATAGCATCTTGACCAACGATAGGAGAATGGAGCGAGAGGGTGAACTGCGGTCGCCCAACTAAATATTTCGTCCAAAGATCTAGGCCAAAGGCATGCTGTTTGCTTGCAAGGATGTCCATTTCCTCAAAACTGATGAACTGCGTGCCGTTGCGCCGTTCGAGGGTGGCGTGGCTGCTGGGTGGCTCGTAGGTCAAAGCATCCCGCCCACGCCCGTTTCTATTTCGGCATCCAGGCCAAGTGAGTCGTAAGCCGTATCCTAGACACTTTCTTCTTGTTCTAGAACAATTGTTGCAATTTGGTATGGTTTTATCACAACCAATCTTGCGTTCTGTTTGAATTAGCGATATCGGAGGGGGGAGAGAGGAAGAGCGCGGCTCACTTTTACACGTCCAGCATCCGCTTTGAGCCTTCATTTCGTGTTATACGATGACGACACACATCAGAGGGCCAGGATACTTTGGAGATGTGTGAAATATTCCACAAATACTTGTACTGTTGTTTGCCGATCGCCACCGCGAGAGTGAAGGAGTCATGCTGGGCTTACAAATGACTGTAGTGGAGGATGGTTAGTCACAAGGTGTGTGTTCGGCCCGGCCATCCAAATGCAATGGTCGCCCATATATATCCCGAAAAGCAGTCATTCTTAATAGTGTCTTATTGTACGCCAAATTGAAGCTCTCTGAGTACTCGTATTTGCGTAGGATGAGCTTGAGGAGATATTCTGGCTATGGATCTTGACTTCAGCTACTCTGAAGCTAATCAATCATTTCCTCGGCTACTTGCGGCCTACATAGACGGCAATCAAAAGCCCTCCATCATACGGAGCTAAAGTGACCCTGAAACCATTTTGAGGATCCTCGAGGAAAGCTTTCAAATCAGTGTAGCCCTTGGCCGCAGCGATGTAATTATCCGTTACGATTGTAGCTCCAATTCTGAGCCGAGAGTGAACTAACTTGAGCGCCGGAAGCGCGAGAGGTGTCCAAACTGTGTTTATTGATATTAGAGGGATGGCATAAGTCAGTGTGATCAATGGTGAACTTACTGTCGAGCAATAAGAAGTCAATCTGCTCGGGTAGATCGGTCTTCAAGGTCTCTCGCAAATCACCCTCCCTAAGCTCGATGACCGATTGGATATCAGCTCCAGCTGCCTCCCAGTTCGCACGCGCTCTCGCCGCCTTGGGAGGCTCAAGTTCAGTGCCAATCACCTTGCAATCTTTACCTTCCACCGTGGCATTCTGGCTGGCAGCCAGAGCCAGGTAGATTGTGCTCACACCAAAGGAGGTGCCGGCTTCGACGATGTACCGAGCTCTAGTGGACCGGAGAAGGAGATATACCAGCGCGCACTTGTCGGGGTCCAGCGCAACAAACTTGTCCAAGGCCGCAGAGAGTGGTTGCTTTGTGCTGACAAAGGGAGTCTCGGCAAGCGCCTGAGTGTGAAGGTCTCGAAGTACCTGGATGGTGGTAGGGCTGGCATCCAGGCTGGCCAGGGCCTCCTCCAGAGCAGCGTTGTTGGACATGATGGGCGGCGTGGACAATTGACTTTTTTGCACGCACAGATTTCCAATGATGTTGAGTCTGGTAGCCCTCTCAGGTGGAAGATGGAAGCAGTCTTATACCTGGGAATTACGCCTTGGTGATTGATGATGCTTAAGATGGACGTGGGGGAGGAGTTGCGTAATAATGCACCAGATGACCGAACCGGCAGCGGGGTCTTCCGGCAGGAGGAAGGAAAATGCGATCGATGGAACAGGATAAGTCTCCTGGCATAGCACCGGCTAGCACATAAGCCAGGACAGGAAAGCCGCAGTGGGGAGATGGGGTATGTGACTCAAAGCTTACAGCCGGACCGTCGGCGTGAAACCGGCATTGGCTTGTGACCAATCATTTCTTACAAAAGGTACGTTCAAATGGTAGATTGATAAACAAAGGTCCTTGGATGAGGTACTAGCTACTTTCATATACTCGCCGAAGGTATTTGGCTTCGGTGGATTGGAGGAATTGGGTGGAAGGGGAATTCTCCCAACCTGCGTTCATGGGCGTTCAGTGTGTTTTTTTTTGGCATAGATACTGTTCACTCTCAAACACACTGGTATTCCCCGGGATATACTAACATAAATATATTTATTTGAATGACACGCTTCCCATATGAGAGTCATTGATGTGTCATTGGGGTTGTCTTAGTAACTAATAATCACAGAAATTACTTCACTGATGGGGGAAACAGGCAAGGGCAATCAAGCGGTGGTCATCCCCCTTAAATCAGGCTGCTATAAATCTCGTTTGGCAGCTCAATGACAACTTAAAGAGGAAGCGACGCGATAGGGATCGCGAATCATCTTAATATGTTGACCAACCACCTTCCTCTGTTTCTCCAAACACCTCTTTCTCAGGACTGCAAATATTTGACCCGATTACAGGTTCAGAGACAAGTCTGTACATTCCATTTACGAACAGTTTTACTTTTGGCATCGACAGTCGTATATTCTACTATTCTAACAGCTGGTAGAGGGGGTGCGGA